GCATCTGGCGGAAAAGGAGCACGAAGTTATGGGGTAGTCGTATTGAGGAAGTCGATACCTCGTCGCAGACGTTGGCAAACTACAGCAAGACGCTTCCTGACTCCCCGGCGGGTGGTCCCAGACGTAAGTTTTCTGCTTTTCTTTACCTTACTGAGCTAAACTGTACTTCAGCGATATTTAAATGGGTCCGTGGTGAACTCATCGGCAAAGGAACGTATGGTCGCGTATATCTTGCCCTTAATGCCACTACGGGCGAGATGATTGCTGTGAAGCAAGTTGAAATCCCCGTAACCGCCAGTGACAGAAAAGACAACCGTCAGATGAGTTTCGTACAGGCACTCAAAATGGAGAGCGAGACATTGAAGGATCTCGACCATCCTCACATCGTGCAGTACCTTGGATTCGAAGAGACGCCGACGTTCTTGAGCATGTAAGCGCTGCGGAAACCATCTTCGATAATATACTCATTTGCGTTTTCAGTTTCTTAGAATACGTGCCCGGAGGCTCGGTCGGAAGCTGTCTGCGAGACCATGGCAAATTCGACGAGGAAGTCACAAAATCATTCACTGGACAGATTCTTGAGGGTCTGGAATATCTCCATTCCAAGAACATCATACACCGAGTAAGCTTCATCTACGATTGTTTCTTCGTACCTCATTGTCTTGCGTAGGATTTGAAGGCAGACAACATATTGGTGGAGAAAACAGGGATTTGCAAGATCTCTGACTTTGGAATTTCGAAACGTACAGACGATCTGAATGGAATGGCTTCTACGGCAATGCAAGGCACAGTTTTCTGGATGGCACCGGAGGTCATACATCCCCAGAAAAAAGGCTATAACTCCAAAATCGACATTTGGAGCGTGGGCTGCGTCGTCCTTGAGATGTGGGCAGGGAAGCGGCCATGGAGTGATGATGAAGCTATAACGGTCATGTTCAAGGTCCGTTTCATCGTATATTGTGCAAAGTGCAGTGCGCTCATGACTTTGCTACAGGTATACCAGAATAAGCAACCCCCGCCCATACCTTCCGATGTAGTCCTGTCCGAACTTGCAAAAGACTTCAAGGACAGATGTTTCGCAATGCAAGTGTTGTAATTTACCGTCTTGTCTGTTGTGCTCACGGACGATGCTTAGTGATCCGGATGAACGCGCGAGCGCTGCGGACCTTCAGCTACACCCATACCTGGAACTTCCAGAGGGCTGGATATTCAACGATTTTAAGTAGGACCTCATTTGAACATTATTTTTCAACATCATTTCCTATATCACCCATTTCTTATCGCATTTACTCTCATTTGTCCCAATCGCGCATCTTTGTTGTTTCGCATGCTGTTTCATAATGACCATTATAATTTTTTTGTACTTGTGGAGGGTGTGCTCATACATAATTACTTCACGTATCTGAGTTGACTTGAACTGTGTGATTAGAGTTTGATGCCCTCATAGACGACCGTTCCTTTACGAAGTGACCCTCTTAATTGACAAATCATGGGACTAGTGTTCCTGGCCTTGACCTGATTTCCGCAGTATTTAGAATTCGAGATTTTGATTCAAACCTTGAAAATTCGGAGTGTCGTCTCACACCTCGTCGTAATCTAGAAATGCTTTACACACCGTAGACCAATTGTCTAATGTACAAAAGGCACATGTAATAAGCGACGCTTACACGGAATTAGATTCTAGGCTCGTTTAGGTGTTTTGAAAATGTTTCAAATTGAACAACCAACCAGGGTACCCCCTTCTAGATATCACTTCAGAAAATGTACATGCGAACTTGTAAAACACCGATGTTCGACGGCAGCACGAGGACATTCTAAACACTGCCGGAAGTTATCCATTTCCGAGTTGCGGAACGCTGCATGATCAGAAATGGAACAGCCGAAGTGACGGAACGTTGGCTCAAATACATTTTCAGCGTTTTGGTGACACGACCTGTGAACACTGAAAATATGGCACCAATGTGTCGGGCTCGAGAAAACACCGAACTTGCTGCTAGTCTTCTGGTGCCAGTGTGTGTGCTAGATCGACACACGTTAATGCCCCAGTTTTCTTCATTGATTGTGACCAGAAAACGACTCTGGGGTGTCCCCTTTCAAGCTTGACAAGGAAATGTGAGGATTTTTTTTAGCGAGACCGCGACACCCGGCGGAGCACGTTTGGCCCCTGCATCATCATTCTAGGAACCTGGGTCCTGGTCTACGATAGAGTGGACCAACCCTGCTGTGAAATAATATATAAGCTCAAAGTAAGCTTTCAAGCTGACTTCTATGGAATGCACATATCTGAATTCAATTATGAATTATTAGAAACGCTGAACTTTCTGGAATAGTTCAACGAACATTCTACTAACCGGAGGGCTGGCTCAAGAAGTGTGCGAGCGAAATTCAAGGAGATCTTGGAGCTCAGCGAAGCGATATTTATCATATTGCACTGACGAGGCGCATCAACAAAAGAGCCCGAAGCATATAAGGCCTTGTGAAGCTTACATGAGTACACAAGTCTGTTAACCAGCTTACAAGGTGCATATAAGGTGCATATAAGGCATTAAATTTTGATACAAGCCCTGATATTCAACATATATACTTCGGGCAGCATATATTGACATACATGTTTCAGGCTCTTTTGTTGATGCGGTTATACTATGGAGCGTTTGTCACTATTTGGTCGAAATACCTTGGACGAGAATCACGAGATTAGAAACATTGATGCATATTGTTCAAGGCAGAAGAAGACTGCAGGTGCCAGATGAGTACTTGAGTGCCAGTCTTCCAAGTTCCGAAGCTTGCCTTGCAAGTAAGTCAAGAAAAATGCGCAGGAGTCGGCTCACAGTGTCGCGATGTGATACCTGGCTCCCATCTTCCTCTGCTCTTTCCCAGCCTGTTAGCGTCATACTGTGATGACCCCGCCCGCGCTATTGACCCAACGCATCCCGCCGCCCGGTGGAAAACCCATGCCATCCCGAATTTCTGCTGCACCGCATTCACGCTGTGCCAAAGGCTGCGCTTTTGCGCCTAGAGTTCAAGGGGCGCGTCCTTCAGGTGCAGCGCTCTGCCATGATGTCCCCGGGATCCCGAAGGACTGCTCTCTAGGAAGCTAGATATGGATATGAGCATATACGAATAAAAGGGCGGCGGTGTGCATTAGGGTTACTTTCGAGCTTACCATTGTCTGGGTGCGCGTACAAGGTGGAGGCGGTGGTAAGGAGTGTGTGCCTGTAGAATCGGCGCTGTCGAAAATTGTTTGAAATTTCAAGTAAAAAAAATGATTGTTCGGTACACAAGTCGAGCCTCGCTTAGCAACTTATTTTCGACTACACCGTCTAATCTTGGGCTTGTATCGAATCTCCCCCCACATAATGGCATCCTCCAAGGTATGTCATTGAAAAAATGTTTCTTCTCTTCTGACTGGAACCAAGACTAGTACTGGTCATATATTTTGCCTTCTATTCTAAGCTACCAGATGCCGAGCACTTGAGAGTAGTCGATAAAGCTCGATGCGCTGTTGGGACTGGAACAAATCCTTGCCCTTGGCCCACATTCAAGTTGTAACCGAATAACCTGAAGCAAATTGCAACTGACGAGGACGAGCTCCCCACGCTATTCGACCTCAATGAGTCCGAGAAATACCTCAACAAGGACAAGTGATCTATTGATACTCAGAAACAGCTTCTCAAGCTGATTGTTGTCGTCTAAAGAGTCGCTCTCAGAGGGTCGACAATGCACTTACTATCCCATATGCAGATTATCTCATTGCCACCTGATGCGATCTTGCAGTGGCCGTATGAAAGAGTATACACTCCGCCTTCCTTCGTCTTGATTTGGTGCGCCTGAATTTCGGGCTCTCTGCGTTTTGAATGGGCATTCTTCTACCGTTTAATCCATGGAGAGATGTCCGCTGGGAGACTATGAGAGTGACCACACTGTCCTGCCATGGCCGATCCAAACCTTTCTATCATTTCTCAATCAGTAATTCATCATTGAACGTTTCTCCTCTAGCTTGCTTGCTGTCTGCTGACAGCATTAGTCCCAATATACTTCCACCCGTACTTTCCATGGTTCACCAATAACGGGCCCTGTATTGCAGGTCCAATTCCGCATCTTGCCACCGCTCACGATGTGTGCGCTACCGTGCAAGGAGACGAGAATACTCAGAGTTCTCATTTCCCTTAAATCCGTGCTTCAGACTTGGTCTTTCGGTTCGCACCAGCAGTGATACTTCCCTAAGGGTACAGGTCGGCTTTGCAGATGATTCAGGAGGCACAGCTTGTTATTACAAGGCGCCTGGTGTGTTGATCGGCCTGTGTCGTGGTCAAACAAGTATAGGCGGTAGCTGTTTATCAGTACTCGCCAGTTAATCTGCGATCCGCGGAGTAGGCGAGTTTCATGTGGATCGCATGCAAAGCGGTGCTAATCATGGATTGGAGGCGAGGCTGTGCCAGCCATGGTTCATACCCTATTACGATATTTGCAAACCACGATGGGCCACTGGTAATACTCTTGATAGTCTAACCCGATGCCTCATAGCGCGCGATGCACAGGCGTACGATCTCGAGATCTCAACCAGGAACGCTTCGAATACGTCCATACAGGCGAGCCCGAGGGAGTGCCCTTCCTCTCGCCGAGGAGGTAAGGGCAGGTGTTCCAGTTCGACAATTCAAAAGAAGGAAAATGGGGCTCCAGTCCCACACGTTCAGAGGCGCAATTCTAATTCTTCGACCAATACTATACAAGGCACCTTCGTGAATGTTGATAGGCGGTAACTGTTATCATTTATTTACTCACTGATGTTCCTAGACCTCCCTAGACTCACAAGTCTCTGCGCTGCAACGTAAACAGTTGGACCGGATCTCGTAGCCACAGACATGGAATGATGTTGTGGGAGGTCTAATTTAAAACGCTATACAGCGTGATGTGATACCCGTGTGAGGATGATCGCGTCGGTATGTCGGCTGCTAGACTTCAGTGTAGGCTGCCTGATTTCAACATTTTTTGCATCGCTTCCTAATCACCCAGCTCCATGGAAACGTGTTTCGCCAGATGTCAGCGCTCTTTTCTTTCATTACCACCCTGGGTGCCATGGATCCTGGTATCGATCACCTGCCCTGGTGTCTGCTGTGCAAAGATGCTTAATTTCAGGGAACTCAGGGGTAGCTTGGGCTCGCAGCCAACCAGCGTTCTCAGCACGATCAATAAGGCAGCTAGGAGGCTCGTAGCCTTCGTTATGCTGATCGGACGATTTGGAAGGCGGAGGGTCGCGATCAAGGGGCGTCCATCTTTCCACAATGAACCATTCCTGGTTTAAAAGGCAAAAAGGCTCCGTATGCACAGGTTGGCGATCTGCAACTCGATAGCGATCTTCTTCGGCAACCATGTAGCATCGGCCAGCGGGAACGGCGGACTGATGGAGGTATACCTCACATCAGGGCATTTGCGACTTGGGAGGACACTGGGGGTCCTGAAGTAATGTCCTGCATAGAGCCATCTCTTAATAGGACAAAATTGTATTTTTTTATCGTCGTGCACCAAGATGAGATAACGTGCTTTAATACCATATTGTCTGACCAGATGGTCCATTGCGATAATGAGAAGGTGCGAGTAAAGGACCGCACGACCCAAATGTCATGTAATCCGAATCAAATTGTGCCGGAAGAAGTTCCTTTAAAGGCAGGGCAGTTGTGATTCCACATCCGAGAAGTGGAGTTCGTAGTTGATCAGAAAGCACGAGCTCTCCGTTCCATCAAACCAGTGTCCTCCTAAATAAATCCCTGTGATGCGTTTAGGTGACGCGTACAAATTTTCTGCGAGACGTTGAACTTGATCGAGCTACATACTGGAATTCGACTGTAGAAGGACTGCATGACCAATGCATGACGCACCCCAGCACGATAGATTCAACACCTTTGCTTGGTCACGAGAGTTGCACAGGATGCTTGCTCTCTTTGAATGAAAATCTGTTCCTATGACTTTGGTGCTTTCGGTTATCCGTCCAAGAGCCGTAGCACCATGGAATCCAAACTATGCGTCGCCCATACAGCTCGGAATCTACACCTCTTCTCAGTCCACATCCGCGTTAAAGATAAAATACCCCTTGGGTGCGCGCACCCTTAAGCCCTGAGCCAACGCGGTTTTGCTCCGCGTTGCTCGCCGTGAGCCACATTCTCTTGTAGCACGGCACGTCACAGTGCTCATTGTGATCACCTGAAGAGTTACCTCATGTCCGGGGTTCGTCCGAAGATTCAGGTAGTTCGAACGGTAGATCTAACGCTCCCCGCTCCCAGACCATCTGGTTTAATATGCGATCACATGCGCTGATCACTGCGCGTTCTTAATGCATCAATCGCTTCGTAGCTAGGGTTCGAGAGCGTGACGAGAGCGCCCCATCCTGCCAGTGTGCACATTTCATGAACGTTTTCCCAAGTGGACTGCCCACGTTCCCCTTCTTTATGTGGTAACTTGTAGAAGACAAAGATCCCTTCAAGCACATGTCTTGTAGGGTGTCATCCGTTGGATCATAAAAATCAAGCTTCAAAAATCATCGGGTCGCAGAAGGTCCAGCCATGTTCCCGCGAGTAGAAAAGCGACCAGCCTTGCCAGGACAAACGGAGGATGGAGGTAATGCGATTTCGTACTGTCTTCCTTGAGCTTTGCGAAATCCCGGTACCTCTTCAGCTAAAATGCCTTTGATTTGGGCTCCTTAGGAGTGGGCTTCTTACGTCGGAGGAAAGAATCGGGAACAGTCGATGAGCACGCTGCCGTGGACTCGAGCTGTAAAAGGAAGAAGTCAACAGAAGTTCGGTACATCGACATCGAGACACCCCTGTTGAGTGTGCACAATACCGCTAGATTTCCCTGTGATGGATGTCCAATCGAGTTGAGAAAGCCAAGGATCATCCTTCCAAGACTCGTCCTTCATCCTGTCCTCGGCCTGCTCCGCGAGTTCGACAAGGCATCTTTTCGGTGCAGCTTTCGTAGCAGACTTTGCGAGGTTGAGGAGATGATGGAGGGGAGACAACAATGGGCGCATTTTCTACTCGGAAAAGAGATACAGCCAGCGAAAGACGCGCAATTGGAACCCATAAGAGTAGATACGACAAATACAGTGAGGGGATGATAAATATGCCTGAATGAGGCCCTACTTGAAATCGTTAAATACCAAGCCTTCTGGAAGCTCCAAGTATGGATGTTGCTAAAGTTCTGTAGCTGTGCTTGAAGTCTTTTCCAAGATCAGATATAGGAAGGTATGGGCGATGGTTGCTTCTGGTGTACCTGCAGCAAAATCATGAGTGACCGCAGGTACTAAGCAGCACATACGAAGAAACGGACCTTGAATATGACCATTACAGTTTCATCATCACTCTACGGCCGCTTCCCTGTCCACATCTCAAGGACGACGTAGCTCACGCTCCAAACATCGATTTTGAAGTTATAACCTTCTTTCCGGGGATGTATGGCTTCTGGCGCCATCCAAAAAACCATGCCCTGCATTGCATGTGACGCAGTTAGTAGTTACATCGAGATCGTCAGTGCGCTTCGAAACTCCGAAGTCAGAAACTTAGCAAATCCCGGTTTTCTCCACCAAGATGTTATCTGCCTTTAAAAAACAATGAGCTAGAAACAAATAATCACTTACTCGGTGTATGATGTTCTTGGAATGGAGATATTCCAAACCCTCGAGAATCTGTCCAGTGAATGATTTCGTAACTTCCTCGTCGACTTTGCCATGGTCTCGCAGACAGCTTCCAATCGAGCCTCCGGGCACGTATTCTAAAAAAACTGGAAATCCAAATGAGTATGGCTGCCAAAGATGACCATAGTTTCCATGGGCTTACATTCTCAGGAATGTCTTCGTCTCCTCGAAACTAAGGTACTGCACGATGTGAGGATGGTTGCAATCTTTCAATATCTCAGTCTCTGTTTTGAGTCCTTATATTCCATTTGTCGGCTGTCATTTCTGTCACTGGTACTGGCGGTTATGGGGATTTGACAGCGATCATCTCGCTTGTAACGGCATTGAGAGCGAGATACATATGACTTTTGACGATGAGTTCACCACAGACCCATTTAAGTACTAAATGACAACTTAGCTTCAAGTTAACGCCAAAAAGTAAGCCAGAAAACTTACTCCTGCCAGGACAACCTGTCTGGGAGTCAAGGTTCGTTTCCGTCTGCATCGATGCATCGAGGCATCGACTTTCTCGTACGATTGCCCCATACATTCGTGTCCACCTTCCGCCAGACGAGACGGTCGTGCCGGCTGATGGGTCACCCCTGGAAACGCGATCTATCTGCTTCGTAATGTTGCTCCGCAACATTACGAACGGACTTCTGTGGTTTTACTAGGGCTTTGTCTATCATAATCAACAATATTTGGCAGGGCGTAGTTGAGATGTATGATTGGACGGTGCTGAGGGTTTGGCAGGACACCATGCATCATCCTACCATGGCCAGAGCTCGGAGCCATGGGATTTAGAGGAAGACGTGGAGGACCAGCTTGAAGCTTCATGGCACTGAGATGATGATTGGCACCAGTGTCCTGAAAGATGGGCCGAAGCACTGCTCTACCCGAAACGACACCCTAGTCTTCCGTAGACAGATGGGCCGCCATATAGAGGAAAAGTAGTTGTTCCTTTAGCGGTCCGACAAAATACTGGAATATGAACGTTCATCCTCCTTCCACCGAGGTCCAGCACGAGATACGCTTGGACTCACCGACCGAATCTGTATTTCGTTCCCCATGATGCTTTTTCGAGTATCGACAATCCACATCTCTAAGTTTTCCGAGCTCCTTTTCCAGTTAGTCCGAGCATGAGGGACTCCCTCACACTGCATCCCGAAGTCTCGCTCACGTACCCACTGGCAGTGGGCGATGTTCTACACTAAACGCCAGTGCATACCGTCGGCATTGGAAAGCAAGACTGGCACAGCGTCCTACATGCAGCTCATCGCGAAGCCCTGGGTAAAATCGACGTTGAAGGGTAAGAGTTAGCCGTGAATCCTGTGCCAATAGCCACATGGTAAATATTATGAACCACGACATATGGACATGACCAATTGTGGCCTATATGCAGGGCAAACTCTTCGAGTGTGGCAGATGAGACGAGAACTAGCAATAAACCGAAAACTATCTTTCGCATCTATCAAATTGCGATGTACTGAAACTTTGAGAGGTACCTCACAAGACTGTATCTTGTACCTGTTGTGGATATACTGATGATATCTTCCTCCTGATGATTCACGCCCTGGTCCATTGGCTTTCAATGTTTGAAATACGAACATCGACTTTAGCCTGAAGGGGGACTCCGTGGATCGTCACGATTATAAAGTCAGGACGAAGTACTGCCTTACCTTCTCGTCATAGTCGACCCAGTCATCATCTTCAAGATCAACATCGGAGAACTTGGTGCCAGTCTCTCCCTGGCATGTCCATCGCCCTTTCTGTGACATTTTTATGTAATGAGATTGGAGAAACACGATAGAAGACAATACAAACTGGAGCAAAATCTGTGAACTCTAACCCACGACACTCCATCTTCAATAGGGTGGAAAATTGTCCATTTGATTCAGCGGAGTATGGTTTTGACGGTTCAGCAACAAAGCTGGCTGAGCTTTCCTTTTTACAATTACCACAACGCCAAACGAGGTGAGCTGAGCCTCTACTGTTCGAGATATTTCGTGTTTCCTGAAGAAACGAGATGGAATCCTCCATCATCATGAAGTAGACATACATACCAATCTTTTCAACGTGACGTACTTCGGGTGCTCCTCGTGACAACTATTGCAGACTACCTGCATGGGGTATTCAGAATACAGGATATGACGTGTCACCGAGTATCACTTTGAAAAAGTACTCGAAATCATCACCAGAAGGGGCGAGATCTGTGACGTTTTCTAGCTCAGCTTTGATTTCCAGTTTCAAGAACTTTTCAAAATTAACATATGAAGGTCTTTCCGATGTAGCGAAAGAAACTTACGACCATGATAGGATGATGTATCTTTCAAGTTCAGGATCGTGGTGTGTCGTTCATCGATGAATGATCAGAGTTTGTTCTTGTTTGCGTACTTCCGTTTTCGAGGTCGGTTTTACAGTCGGACGACTTCTGCCAAGTTGCCAACTCCAACATGTGGTTACTTCCGCCATGTCGACGCGGTCTGCCTTCAATGATGGTCGCCAGGCAATTTCATGCCACTACACAAGTGTCCATGCGGAAAAAGATGTCCAAGGCATCGAAAGCGGATGACGAAGAAATACTTCAGCACTTTCAGCCAGATGGGGGATTAGATGTACCAGTGGCCGGATACCTATTACACCGTCAGCAGCGGCAGGCATTATACTACATGCGACTAATTGAACACGAGATTCCAAAACTCGTAGGTCAGCCATGATTGACCCTAATTAAAGACGTCCACTCATTCGCATTTTAGCGTTCCGCAAACCATTCGTCCTTCCAATTGCCGCTACACCCCTCGTCGTACGGTCGGTTGACTTTGCTGGAGAACAACATCCGTTGACAGCTAAGCGGAGTGTTGTCGTTCCGGTCGCGCATCTTCCTCTGCGGAACGAAGTAGCTTTTCACAGAGCGAAACTCCTCGCAGGCGTGAGGTGGATGCCAGAGCCCCCAAGAGACTCTGGTATTTCAGCGGATGAGGATGCGGCCAAGCATGGTTTTATCAAAATTGCGTGTGAGGACTTTCCGCGAGCCAGCATGAATTTAAAATGGATCAGCGATACGCTTGATAAGTTGGTTCTCGAAGCAAATGTAGGTCGAGTTTGACGTCGGCTATCATCCATACTCATAATTGATAGGCTGAGGGCGAGGCACCATATCAACGGCTACCACTGGATACCCGACATCTCGATTCTAAAGTGCGGAAATCGAAGAAGGGTGATCATGTTCGAGGCAGAGGTGGACTGCGTCCAAGTCTCAAAGACTTTCCCACAGAATGGCTTCCAAAGCGTCAAGAAAATGTGATATCTTCTATACTTCCATCTCAATAATAGACTGTATCTCTGGATGGCCGCTGTTAATCGGTCCGACATCATGATCACGAGTGTATGGTGAATCATCCAAAATATGTTATAAGCTCCATCGATGAACAAGCCCGCATGCGTTTCTCCTTATCTTCCTCATGGCGAATACAATTCGTGCGTCTGTGATTCAATCCTGCACTGCCCGTTTCAATCTATCAGAGACATTGGACAAGTTTGAAAAGTTGACTAGACTTGCAAAAGAGCGCGATGGATCGCAGCTCGTTGTATTTCCCGAAGGCTTGTGAGTCCACCTTGGTCTGCATGTCGTTTTACCTATGACATGTAAATCTTGCTCAGCATCGGGGGCTACCCAAAATGGTCAACCTTCTCATGCTTCGTAGGAGAGAGAACTTCAGAGGGCAGGGACGAGTTTGTCAAATATCATAACGCGGCCGTTGAGATTCCTTCGCCAGCGACAGATCGTATCGCAGAAGTGAGCAAGGCGACAGGGGTTTTTGTAGTCATGGGGGTTATCGAGCGTGATGTCGGGACACTCTACTGTACCGCCATATTCGTCGACCCCGTTGAGGGCCTAGTGGCAAAGCATCGAAAACTACTGCCAACAGCATGTGAACGTTTAATCTGGGGGCAGGGCGATGGAAGCACCCTTCCCGTTGTAGCAAAGAAGTTCCAATCCTCCGTCGAGCCAGCTCGCACCGTCGAGACGAAGATATCCGCTACCATATGTTGGTGAGTGTCAAACCTGATCGCCCTCACCTAGAGATCATGAACGAGTTGTACCAGGGAGAATTATATGCCTTTGCGTGAGTCTTGAGATTGATCTGAGCAAACCTCTTAAACAGTGTGTTTCCTCCAGTCCGAACCTATTATTACTCTCTCGGGACGCAGATCTATTGCGTCCCAACAGTTGACGCGCGTGAGACTTGGGAAAGCTCTATGCGACACATCGCATTCGAAGGACGTTGTTTCGTGCTTTCTGCGTGTCAATTCGCGACCGAGAAAGACTATCCTCTGGACCATCCCGTTGCAGATACCAGCAATCGCAATCCTGATAATGTCATGATCAACGGTGGCAGCTTGATAGTCAGCCCTCTGGGAAAAGTACTCGCTGGTCCCACGAGGAAGCCCGAGGACATCCTGACTGCAGATCTTGACCTTGATGACATTGTCCGAGGAAAGTTTGATCTTGATGCTGTGGGGCACTATTCACGTCCAGATGGTACGACCACTTCATTTTGACTTGAGATGCGACTCATGGTCTGTGCTTAGTCTTTCAGTTCAAGGCAAACATCTCGCCTTGATTTTGGCAAGGGGGCCCATGTTCAAGAAAGTGTGATGATGATCTCTTATCATCATCTCCACTGTCAATAACGTGTCTTCTCAAGTTGATCTGTACAATAAACATCCACTGATATTGAATGTTGGACACTGCAAGTCATATCTTTCCCAATTAATTATGCTTTGTACGACATGCATGTGGCTCGGTACTAATGTGGCCGATAAGGACAAAGATCAAAGCGACATCCTCTTTCTCGTACTCCCACAGCACGCACAAAGTGATGCATAGAAATCCATTTGAAAACTTCCACAACTACTATGATATAAGAGCTAGCAACACATACAACTCCCCTTATCACTTGAAGTCACTAAGCTGCGGCAGGTCCAAAGTTAACCAGACTCTTCAGCCAAAAAACCCTCGCACTACTTGCTATACCCTCCATAATGTCTAACTCGCAAACTCCTGATGCACGCACTGCGCTTATGCAATCTATTCTGTCGCGTCACTTGCAGGCGAGTCCGGCGAGAGCACCCTCAAGCTCTCTATTGCGGAGACCAAGCCGCAATTTTAATGTGCAGGACTTTGCTGGCCACCGAAAGCAGGCAGCTAACCCTAGCAAACGCAAGGCGCGCGAGGACAAAATTGTCTTGGCGATTCGAGGTAGAACGATCTATGATCCACGAGCCAGCCCCATTACATACTCGGCACCCAAGAAAAGCCGCCCACGGAAGAAGTTGATGAAGCCAACCGCGCCCTCATACCACCCTGGTGCATCCTTTGAAGAGAAAGCATTGACTCTGAATATTTTAAAACGGATGGAAACCGAGGAAGAACATCCAGAGAAGAACCTAGGTTTCTTGGTGAAAGCCGGAGGTGAATCTACACCGAGCTGCTACTGGCAGGCGCAGGACAAGTCTCCTTGGATGGGCATCTCCGAGTCTGATCCGGACTGGCCAGGAAGCAGTGAAAAGGTCACACCCTCGGATATGGAGTATTCCCCGTCTTGCTGGAACGCGCCGCAATTTAACTCAGGGGAGGGCGACTGGGAGATGATGTTTGACATGTACATCAAAGAGCAGTGAAGCTATGATGCGGCTTTTGGGAAGAACTGTTGAATAATCATCATCAATACGGTAATCACTCATTTTATAATATTTTCTGTAGTTAGTTGTGGCAATATGTATATCCTGCAAGTGCACTATCATTTACGTACCATCACCCTTTATGAACGGCTGGTCCGCACCGCCCGGTCGATATTAATCGCTACGGGATTAAGTTATTCGCTTACCGAAAAGCGGATTTAGCGCGCCACTGAAGCCAAACAAATGCAACACATTTGTAGACAAGAACAGTGTTTGCTTCATCTTTCTCTCCTCGTTTGCAGTCAACCGAAAGTAAATTTTGGACCTTATTGCTAGTCATCTTAAGCCCTTCATCACTGACAGCAGCGTCCAGATGACTGACTCCTACACCTCTCGCGCCGGTGACCACTCGCCTTCTCCAAATGGCTACGCGAACGGTTCCAGTCCGTTGTTGGCCCAATCTAACAACGCTGGTATCTCACCTGTCATTCGCAAAAAGCTTATGGGCTACGTCGGCTTCGCCAACCTTCCAAACCAAGTACACAGGAAGAGCGTCCGGAAAGGTTTCCAGTTCACTACAATGGTCGTCGGTTCGTTGTTTTATGCCAACTTAGTAACATGCCCTCAAATATTCACCATTCTCTAGGCGAGTCGGGTTTGGGCAAGTCTACGCTGATCAACACTCTCTTCAACACGCCTCTATACCCTCCCAAGGAGCCCCTTCCTCCTTCGGCTGAACGACCCAAAACGGTTGCTATTGAAAGCATTGGGGCAGGTCAGTGTCATATGACAGCACGTGAGGTGCCATTAACACTTTCACTTAGATATCGAGGAGAACGGCGTTCGTCTTCATCTCACCGTCGTTGATACTCCCGGTTTTGGCGATTTTGTCAACAATGACGACAGGTATGTAAAAATTTGGCCAAATCAAGAATATCCCACCTATACGTAATGTTAGCTGGAGGCCGATTGTAGAAGACATTGAGTCGCGCTTCGACTCATATCTAGAGCAGGAGAACCGTGTAAATCGGCAGAAGATCGTTGACAACCGTGTTCACGCTTGTCTTTACTTCATCCAGCCCACAGGCCACTCGTGAGCAGTTTTGTTGTCTTTTGTTGTACTTCTATCTGACACGTTCCCTATTTGCACAGGCTGAAACAACTCGATATTGAATTCATGCGTCGCCTGCACACCCGAGTTAACCTAATTCCTGTCATCGCAAAAGCTGACACGCTGACGGACGAGGAAATTGTTGCCTTCAAAGCCAGGGTAAATCGTCTGTCCGTGTCGCATTTTTTGTTACCTGACCTTGCATGCAGATCCTCGCAGATATTGCTCACCACAATATTCACATCTTCCAGGCACCTAGCTATGAGAACGAGGATGAGGAAACCCTTGCCGAGGCCGAGGAAATTGCTAGCAAGATTCCTTTTGCAGTCGTTGGTTCGGACAATGTCGTGGACACCAAAGACGGTCGCCAAGTCCGTGGACGTGCATACCCTTGGGGTGTCATCGAAGTTGACAATGAGGAACACTGTGACTTTGTCAAGCTTCGCCAGATGCTCGTCCGGACTTACATGGAGGAGCTTAGAGAGCGCACAAACGATGTGCTATATGAAAACTGGCGAAGTGAGAAACTTCTTAGCATGGGTGTCGCCCAGGATTCTAGTGTCTTCAGGGAGATCAAGTAAGTGCTAGCTTTGTTGTTCGTGGAGAAAGTTGATTGACATCTCGTCGAAGCCCTTCTGCCAAGATCCAGGAGGAACGCATTCTGCATGAGGCCAAGCTTTCCAAGATGGAGGCTGAGATGAAGATGGTGTTCCAGCAGAAGGTCCAGGAGAAAGAGTCGAAGCTGAAGCAGTCCGAAGAGGAACTTTATGCCCGACACAAGGAAATGAAGGACGCTCTCGACAAGCAGCGCGCAGATTTGGAAGACAAGAAGCGAAGAATCGAGAGCGGTCGACCGCTGACCCCAGAGAAGAACACTGTAAGCCCAACAACCCAACCCTGGAGTGCTTACTAACTAACGTTCATATAGACCAAAAACCGTCGCTTCTTGCGGTAGATTCTCTTCGTCTCGGTACTTCTTTCTTATTGTTCTCTCTTCGCCTCTTCTAGTTTGCCATTTAGTATTCTTGCTATCGTACATTGCCTTGGCGTTTCACTCATTACCTCGCGCTCGAACATTTTACACTCTCTTTTGGATTGATATCCAGGTTTGGCTACCCTCTACCCTTTTAGTACTATGAGCAACTTCTTATGCAAAGTTTCTGGATGTTGAAAGACGTCGAGGAGACGATTGGATTTTTATTTTTGCGCGCGCAGATACCCAGTGTTGCCACTATGTCAATACTGATAAACAGATAATCTTGAGTTGTCACAGCTTAATGAGATTTGATCACGAACCACGACGAAGCTCAATCATGGCTGATAACCAGTCCGCTAACATTCAAGCACTATTGTCCGCATTAAACGTGTTCACTCGTGCACCTGACAAGACTTCTTTGGAGAACGCGAATTCCTGGCTGCAGGATTTCCAACACTCTGTAAATGCACTTTCGCCCTTCGCCCGATCTTCCAATCCGGTCATCTGACTTCGTCCATCCGCCCTGTCCTAGCCCGAAGCATGGTCGACATGTAACGTCCTCCTGCTATCTCCTGATGCACCCCCAGCGGCCAAGCTATTCGCTGCACAGACTTTCAGGTCAAAAGTTAGTCAATCGTGATTCATCTCTGCGCTACTGAAATCTCCCCGACAGGTTACTTATGATCTTCATCAAGTAGATCCATCGAATCTCCTTCCCCTCAGGGACACTCTTGTCACTGCGCTGGAGAGATATCAAAGCGGTCCGAAGACTATCATCACACAGTTATGTTTGGCGCTTTCAGGGCTTGCCCTGCAACTCCCGGCTTGGGACAATGCTCTACAGAGTATCGTCGAGACATTCGGAGCAAACCCTGTAACAGTTCCTGTTTTACTCCAATTTCTGACCATCCTTCCGGAAGAAGTATCGGGTAACACAAGGATACCTGTGACTGTGAGTGGCGCATAATCGGTAGATTTAGGAGTTTTTCATGACCCCAACAGGACGATGAATATCGTGAAAGGTCTACAAAACTCCTTTCAGACAACTCTGAGCAGGTATTGGAGCTGCTGTCCATGTATTTGCAGGCAACTGGTCGGTCTATTTATTTGATTGCGAAAAGGCATTGGTCACAAAATTCTGCAGGTGTCACGCATGCGGTTCAAAGCCAAATATTTGATTGCCTTCGTAGCTGGTTAGTCGCAGGAGAAATCGATATGCCCGCTTTTGGGAAATCTCCTTTGCTTGCATTTGCATTCGAGGCCCTAGCCTCGGAGGAACTTTTTGACTCGGCAGTCGACGTCGTCTGTGAAATGATACACGAGACGCAAGAAATCGACGACAATATGCCCGTGATTGAACTCATCGTTCCTCGAGTCATTGCCCTCAAGTCTCAACTGGAAGATCAGAAGGATGATCCGGAAAAGATTCGAGGCTACGCAAAGATTTTTGCAGAAGCGGGCGAAACGTACCGGCTACTTATTCTTCAGCACACCGACACATTCTACCCAATCGTCGAGGCAATTGGCCGGTGCTCAGCCTACCCTGACCTCGATATTGTGCCCATCACTTTTCCTTTCTGGATGCGGCTGGCTCAGACTATCGGCAAGAAAACAACAATTTCGCCCCTATTTGGGGAAGCGTACAAGGCATTGATGGGAGTCGTCATTCGCCATTTGCATTTCCCTCCTGATCTCGCCTCTATAACCGGCCAAGAGGCGGATAATTTCCGCTCGTTTAGACATGTGATGGGAGATACTCTCAAGGACTGTTGTCTAGTTCTTGGTGCAGATGCCTGTCTTCTTTCTGCTTACGGGCTCATCACTATGGCGCTCTCTCGCAGCCCACAGTCTATCTCCTGGCAAGAAATTGAGGCCCCTCTCTTCGCTATGCGCTCCATGGGTGCTGAAGTTGATGTGATGGACGAAACCGCCGTGCCCAAGATAATGGATCTCATTCCCTCCCTTCCGATTCATCCTCGAGTTCGTTATGCTGCACTGCTAATCATATCCCGGTACACCGAATGGATCAACCGTCACCCGGACTACATTGCATATCAACTACAGTACATCTCGGCAGGCTTTGAAGATCCTGACTCCGAAGTCAGTGCGGCTGCAGGGCAAGCGTTGAAGTACTTGTGCCAAGATTGTAAACAGGTGAGACCAAGCGTCACCTTTGTTGTTCAATTTTATTTTATTAACGCAATCGCAGCATTTGATTGAATTCCTTCCTACGTTGCATACTTTCCTCACAACAACCGGAGCAAAACTGGCTCAGGACGATCGGCGACAAGTATACGAGGCCATCGCTTACGTGATTTCTGCAATGTCTATGGAGAAAGCCGCGGAGTCCCTGCGAACCTTCTCGCTTGATATTCTGTCTCAAATACATGCCATAAGCAGCAAATCGACAGCAGTAACCAAACAAGAGCTCAAGGAAGTCGGATGTGAGTTTCGTGGACCGTGTTGATATTTGGCTAACGCCTGTCTTCTAGATGGCTTGGAAAATCTGGAAGTCATGTTGCATGTCGTAGGACCCTTTGGAGACCAGCTACCTGCCGCCTGTCAGAACAGCTGTCAAGAAGCATGGTCGATTTTTGACACCTTCATATCCAAGTTCGCGTTCGACTATGACACTTCTGAAAGAGTCACTCGCGTACTTCGTCACGGCATTACGCTGTTTGGCGAGAGCGCTCTTTCAGTTGCATCATCTGTCTTGTCACGGATGGTGACGTCCTTTGAGGCAACAGGTTTCTCGTCTTTCTTGTGGATTTCAGGGAAATTTGTAGGGAGGTTTGGTCACGAGTCGGACCCGGTGTTGCGAAATGCCTTCCAAAACATATACGAGAGAGCGACCAACAAAGTCGTTAGCCTCCTACAATCAAAGGATCCAAGAGACATTCCTGATGGTGAGCCTTTGCGTTCGAATCTTGACGAAAGCTGACTTTGGTTTAACAAGTATTGGAGGATTATGTTCAGCTCTTACTCCAGCTCATACGGATGGCCCCAGACGTCTTCTTCCAGTCCAGCGCATTCCCGCTGGCATTTAGAGCCACCATGGCTGCCCTCACTCTAATTCATTCTGACCTCGTCTTTGCATCCTTAGATCTCTTCCGCGACATCCTTACTCACGAGAGTCTTACTCCTAGCTCATCGCCGCCTCCCAAGTTCCCCATTTACTCTTCAGCCATCAAGGCCGTCATGGAAAAGGAGGGATTCGAGTTTGTCGGCTACATGCTCTCGGGCCTGGTTGGAGACTTCCCCGAAGACTCTACTGCGATTGTCGTCACCATCTTCCGCGCCGTAGCGCTTCTGTGGTCTACGCAGCTGGTCGCATGGCTGCCACCTATTTTGCAGCAGCTTCCTCCATCCAGTGCCCCGAACCAAGTGAAGCGGCAGTTTTTATTGGACGTGACAAAGTGCGTGTGCCTTATAACTCCTTTTGACTATGGTATTGAAGTCACCTGATTGTTAGCTCGTTGAACACCGCCCAATACGACAAGGTCAAGTATTCCATTCTAGCACTCCACCGCGCTTCACGCAAGGCTCGAGATCGTAGACGTGTAACTCCCTTGAACCAAGTGTGAGATCCAAGTGAGGAAAGCTTTCTCGTCTCACACGGACTTGGAGAGATTCAACGAAGGGAAGAGATGTGCACACTTACAGAACTGTAATAGGAATTTTGTACATGACAAAAAATTGTTTAGTATTTGCTTGTGAATGCGTTACCAGTGTCTACCATCACTCGGCGCCGAGGGAACGTTGCTCACGAAAAAGTGACATGGCAGAGAATGCTGCGAAGCGAGACTTTTAGTCCGATTCAGGAACACCAGGAACGCGAGAGTATCTCATGACATAGTACCTAATCGGGAAATACCGGGGTTTGAGGTTTTGGCACGGCGGGCGGGTTGCCACATATCACAACGCAGCGGGGAGATTTTGCATTTCTTTCCAACACCACATCCACTAATGTTTCGTCGTTCGGGTCATTCATTTGCTTCTGACCGTACGTTATTTATCTACTTTGCAATAGCAACGGAAGCTAATGTCTTCATAGTCGGTCGCCGGTCGTTCTCAGTTTCGGCTTCTCGAAAGAGTTACGCCGACACCATACACAACCTACGTATTCACAAAGACACTAAAGTACTCTGTCAAGGTTTTACTGGAAAGACGGTGAGCTCCCAACGTTCTCCTTGGATTTTAACGCGCGAAGAATTTATCATCGGAACAGGGAACCTTTCACGTGAAAGAGGCTTTAGCATATGGAACAAACATGGTTGGGGGTGTTTCCCCAAAAAAAGCAGGCCAAACGCATCTTGGCCTCCCTGTTTTTGGTAGTGTCAAAGAGGTATGAAGGAATCCGTCATTATTCTACCAATGTCTCATCATATCGAATAGGCTGTTCGGGCAACAAACCCTGATGCAACAATCCTTTATGTTCCTCCCCCCACCGCTGCTGATGCCATTATTGAGGCCATCGAGAACGAGATTGGTTTGATTGTTTGTATAACAGAGGGTATTCCTCAGGCCGATGAAATCAAGGTAAACTATTTTTGCGATACATGAAGCAGTTTGTGAACTTTATAATTTAGGTCATGAATGCCTTGAAGAGCCAATCTAAATCTCGTCTCGTCGGACCTAACTGCCCCGGCATCATCAACCCACTAGGTTGCAAAATGGGCATTCAGCCTGGTCACATCCACATGCCAGGAAAGATCGGTATGTCCCAATCAAGAGGCTTTCTCTAATCTCCCGCCTCATCAATATATTCCAGGCATCGTTTCGCGTTCTGGAACCCTTACGTACGAAGCTGTCGCGCAGACCACCGGTGTTGGTCTCGGTCAATCACTCTGTATTGGCATTGGTGGCGACCCATTCCCCGGTACTCAGCACATAGACGCCCTCAAAGTTTTCATGGAAGATGATGCAACTGAAGGTATTGTTGTCATCGGTGAAATAGGTGGTTCTATGGAAGAGGAGGCTGCCGATTACCTTGAAAAATACAACAAGAGTCGTAAGAACCCCAAACCTGTCGTTGGGTTCATTGCAGGACGCACTGCTCCCCCTGGGAGACGCATGGGCCATGCTGGTGCTATCATTTCTGGCGGCAAAGGTATAGACCATTGGATTCGCTTTACTCTCCCACTGACTTTTTGGATCGCAGGCGCTGCAGTAGACAAGGTTGCTGCTCTTGAGAGAGCTGGTGTTATAGTGACGGACAGTCCTGCAAAGATTGGTGCTGAGATGCTCAAGGTTTGTTCAATTTTTATTGTTTTCAATGGTATGCTGACTTTTGGGAAAGGCAATGAAGGCAGCAGGTCTCGTCTAGATAGATATTACCGCTATACCAATGTACCACAGTTCAATCTATTATTTTTATTAGGCCAATAATCTGATGTGTGCTTACATAATCGTTCACCAATCGTTCATCGATGTCATTTACTCCGTCCATAGATGAAGCAGCAAGCTATCTATCATCTGCACCGTCCCTCTCAAAGGTTTCCACAACCATTAAGCTCGAGGTCAACATGGTGCTCTTGACTTTTATCTATTCTCTAACTTGTTCATAGTTATATGGTCTATTCAAATATCTCAAGGTGGCCCCGAAGCCGCAGGGCTCAAGGCCACACATATTTGACATGACGGGACGCGCAAAGTGGGACGCGTGGAAAGCGGCGAGCGATACATATGTGAACAATAGTCACGCCGCGGCACAGCGGTATCGAGCAATCGCTCAAGAATTGGGATGGAAATCAGATTCTACTCCCAACAGTGCGTCTGGGAAGCGATCGGAGGATGAAGGTGCGGATGCGGGTGTTCAGAGTGACTCGGCTGGCTCGGGGTCTTCAAGTGGCGGCGGCGGCGGCATGGGAACATCGGTCAGCTTACTGGTCAATCCGGGCCCAGATTTGGGTGAAGCTCAGACGCTGCACGGTTTAGCTATCGCGGGAGACGCAGAGAAGCTGATGGCGTTCTTGCTTGTCAATCCAGCGGTCGATATAAACGCACGCGATGAATTTGTGCGTTTCACCGTTACTTCTCTACATGAAACTAAAGTTCCAGTGACAGGATTACACCGCCCTTCATTTGGCCTGTGACAGAGGGAACTTGTCAGTAGTCCAAGCATTACTGAGCAAGGGAGGGGATCCTCTGTTGAAAGTAAGGCATGGAACCTTATAATTCGAATACTGACCTTGTGATCCGACAGGATCCCGACGATTACACTGCAGCAGAGCTAGCTCAGGTAGCTGGACATCAAGAAATATATGACCTCCTGAATAATTAGAAGATGTTTGAATGATAATGGAATTATAGCTGCAATCTACATATGTGAGGCTGTAGTGGTAATATATGACTTCCTCCTCGCTCTTAACAGACGGTGGAACGAACCCACCCCAAATCGACGTCGATCTGCTCAAGATTCCCTCAAGATACCACGAGAACTACAATGTAGCTGAAGTCATTCCAGAAGAATTGTCTTTTGACGATTCCGTGCCGAATTTTGGTCCCAAAACCTTCGGGTGATACTTGGAGTCCGGCGGTAGCACACCACCCTTGAATGTTGACTTTAGTACCAACAAGCGTACGAATAACAATAACAAAGGCGGACTTACGCGTTCCAATAGCTTGACTACAGATTTGCTGGGCAGTGCTCCAACACCCAGCCAATATTTTATTCTGTCCACACTCCATTTGACAGTCTTGTGTGTGTCCCCGAGCTTAAGAGCAGGATCGTAGATGCCCAATAGCTCCATAGGCTTTGCGTCTCGTCTCGTGCGCTGATTAATGGCGACTAAATGAAATATACGGTTGTGTCTTTGGCCGTGCATGGCCATCCTGAGGCGCACAGGCATGGTGTAGTATTGAAGTAGTACGCCTGTAAGTTGGGAGAGAGCGAAAGTCGTATTTATTACTATTTGGTCAGACGCGAGCCACGGACTAAGCTGCTGTATTTATTTTTTATTCCAGACTGGAAGTGCTTGCGGCAGTGAAATACTGCTCAAAACATTCACTTTCCATCAGAGGGAAGCCATTACAAGCACGAAAAAATTCAGGAATTTTACTAGTGATTGACATTGTCTTCTAATACTCCTCTTAAATTTCTCCAACATTAGAATATGTTGAGAGATATAAATGTTGTACTAGGTACTATCAAGATGCATGGCGTGACAGGAGTGAGCTTTTTTTCGGAGTCGTAAAAGCACCACTCGGCAACTCGGCCAACACCTGCACACTAGCCTGGCAGCAGTTTCGTTCGTCGGAGAGTCAAAGCGGCAGTGTGATATAGTGGACTTTCATGCGGATGCAACTCTGCAAACACTGTTTCGCACCGGCTTCTCTCTGGCAACATAGCCTTGTCAAATTTTTTTTACATAGTATTAGAATATGTACCAAACCCTGCACGCTCCTGTTGTTTTCTTATTTTTATGTTGTGTCGTTGTTGTGTTCTCAAAAACTGGTCGGAACGTTTTGCAACTCTGGGCAAAAGATAGTACAAGCGGCCCTTGAAGTTAAGCTGAGAGTGCAAGAACAAAGTGTTGTATTTTTATAAGTCAGGAGTCTGACTCGGGACCTTCGCTGCCTGGAATCAACTGGGTAGGTAGATGTCAGCCCCCACTCGAACATTCAGTGAACGAATTTCACAAACCATACAAATATTGTTGCCGTTGAGAAGCGTCTGTGCAAGTCGTGTTTTCTTCTTTCCCTGAGGAGTAGTCTCGCTGAGGACGACCGTCAGCAACAGGAAATCGCTATCATCTAGTCTTACTGACTATTCGGTTACGTCCTCTAGCACCATGTCTGCGTGTAGGCGTGTTCAATACCAGCTTTATCGTGTAGGAAAAGGTGGCTGACTCACTGACGAAATCGTCGAAGCCAAGCAGCGTCCCAGTAAACTCACGATCACTCTTCATAATGACCCATATCCGGGATCCAATGCATCTGTCAATCAGCTCTGCGACGGCTGTCAGGAAAGTGATCAATGATCTTTGTTGTCTTTTGTACTCGCCTAGCGGGAGGATTTGAGAAGCCATGATGGTACAGTTTGTGGTGGCGCAAAGCAAGACGGGCGAGACATGTTGGCATCAGCATCCAGATCAATGTTGTAAATTTCATGTATCGCATAACAGACATCATTGGGTAGTACAGGTTACCAATAATAAACATTATCAGCTACTACACTGAATCATTTTCTCGTGCTCTGACATATATTGTTGTCATAAAGGAATTTGCGTCCGTTAGACGCGTTACATGTAACATACCGCAAAAGCGTAAAGGGTAAGTAGAGATCACAAGTTGCAAACAGAATGGGGAGTTGAGCGATAATGGTTGGTGCAAGATATAAGTGACAGTAGCACACAGTGGAAGAGATGGCGAATCAACAAGGCCAACAGTTTACTGCTGGCCGAAACTAAAGCCTCCTTGAGGAGCAGTCACATCCTGGAACTGCGCAGAAAATTAGTACATGAAAAAGGACAATATCAGCGAACTCACAGCAAATGTACCAGTAGCATCAAGGCTAGGTGCGCTAATTGCTGCATCCACTTCCTCCTCATCTGGGAAGTACTTGTCCATGATATTGAACGCCTTCTTATATATCTCTAGGTTGTCGTGTGATTGGAGGTTGTGGATGGTGATCATACCGCCCGCCTCTTCGACATATAGAGCATACTGGTTGACAGATCCGGGACCTCCAGCCTGTTTGTCCGTCTCACCGACCTTCAGGATGTTATCGAGACCATCAAGGGCAACTTGAATGATCTTGTTATCCATCATAGTGAGCAGGTCACAGAGTGGCTTGATGCAACCTTGCGAGACGAGATAGCGGATCTGCGCTGGTTCGTGAAGACCGCCAGACGTTGCGTTCGAAATTGCCCAGCAGGCCTCCTTCCGCGTTTTGAAGTCGGCATTGGAAAGGATGTTGATGAGTGGAGGGATGATGTTGGCATCGATGACTGCCTGAATTTGGGGAGGTGACCCAGCGGTGATGTTGGATATCGTCCAGCACGCTTCTTTCCTGATACCCTCTTTTGGGGACGATAGCAGCGAAAGAAGAGCGGGTAAAGCCCCAGACGCGATAACGACCTGAGTCTGAAGATCATCTCCAGTAACAATGTTGCCGATTGAACGAAGAGCGGGCGTTTGCACGGAGGTTGAACTGTGCATGAGTAGATCAACGAGGCGCCGACATACAGCTGACTCGATAACTGCTTGGATCTTGTCGTTTGAACCATCTGAAAGGTATGAAATAGCCCAGCAAGCATCAATCAAAATTTCGTCATCGAGCGAGTAAATGAGTTTGGTCAAGACGGTCAACGCGGGAGAGATCTAGTGAAAGACGTCAACATCCTATGCATACAAGCCATGATTTGTCACAAACCAGTTCCCAGTCGGGCTGAGGATTTTTGCCCCTGCAGAAGTTACTCAAGGTCCACGTAGCGTTCCTGAGCATGCTAAGTTTGTGATTTTCGCTTAGCAAAGTCAGGAGTGGCCTCAATGCCCCTTGCTGTAGGACGTAATCTCTGCATTGTGGGCTGTCACCCGCGATGTTCCCGAGGGCCCATACCGCCTGCTCACGAACATCGAGGACCGGCGATGACAGGAGGTTGATGAACTCAGGCACAGCTCCAGCGGAGATGACAACTTGAGTGTGCTCAGCGGTTCCAGAAGCGATATTTGTGAGCGCCCAAGCGGCCTCGAACTATAGACCGATTAATATTGACTCAATGGTGAGGGACGGAACAACAAACCTGCAACATGGAAGCACCAGTCCGAAGGAATTCAACGAAACGGGGTACAACGCCACACTCGATGACTTTCTCGATTGGAGGGTTCCTCTCCTTTGACAGCAGTTTCCGGAACTTCGTAGTTGCATCCAACTGGCGATCAGGATCATTAGAAAACACGCCACTAATCATTTCTTCCGCAAGCTGCAAGCACATTCAGTGGAAAATCATGAAAGTGGATGAGATCGTATGCACCGGAGGCTCCCAACTACTTGTCGTCGCTTCTTCATCTGAGTCGGCTGAAGCTGAGGGGAGGAAATTACGCCTTTTCGCGATATTCTCCTCGCGCTTCTGTCTTCTGATCTCAACCTGCTGCTCCTCTCTGCGACGCCTAAGATCGTCTTGCTTCAAACCACCTTTATTCTTATAGTCTGATCAAATACGCGTCTTCAGTAACTGATATCAAGAAAAAAAATTGAGACAAGCATACTGGCTCTGCGGTGTTCCATGGTACGTGACTCCATGACGGATTGCTGGATCGCAAAAATCTAAGAAATGGTAGAAGAGAGAGATAGAACCAGAAAGAAGATCAAGATGTTGAAAGCCCTCGCGTCACAACAAAGGATAAAGCATTATCAGCGAGGTGTGACACTGTCATATCCATCACAATGTGACTCAACGAGTCACGTCACAAAAGTTTTCGTTCCACATATTAATTCTATCAGTCTCCGTGGCCGTACAGATTGTTAGTCAACGTTGAACGTTAAGTGCTTAGCATCTGATTTTACAAACAATTGGTATCAGGAGTGCGACAGTAGGGTGGAATTGAGCAGTAGAAAACTTGCGAGCGTTGGTAGTACTTCACGGAAAGTTGTGTCGTTCTCGTGCCTCGATCGGACTTAACTCAAAAGTATTGCACGACAAATTTCTAAATACTGAAATGTTCGATTGCAGTAAGAATACAGCGTGGATGATAGTTTACGAGTCAAACGGGTACTAGTAAATATTATTTAGTCTCTCGGGGTGCCCAGTCATTGTTAACGATTACTCACCTCAAATGATTCCGGAGGGTCAACGTCCGGCGAACTCTCATCTAGAGCAATGTGGAAATCTCTCGAAGGTCTGGCACGATGTACGAGGGCTTGCGGTTGTGCATGTTCGTTCTCAGTTGGTGCTGGTTCCACGACAGGAGGTTCGAACGAAATGAACTCCGCTTCCGTGTCTGGCTTCTCATCCACCATCAGGAGAATACCACCCCCGCCCGCGTATCGCTCTGAGGCAACACCGGATGGCGCCTTCCTGAGACCAGGGTTCGGGTTCCCTTTGCCACTAGTCTTATGTGGGACTGTGTTCAATGATACCGGACGAACGGGTTGATACCGTCCTTCAGGGGGGAAGCTGATGTAGGCGAGCTGCGTGGGAGTAACACGGGAGAAGTTCGCAACATTCTCTGAGGAAGGCTCTGATTTCCGTTTCGGCTTAACGTCTTCGGGAGCGTTGGTCGAAGGCGAGCCATCCGTAGGCTTGCCGGTAAAACCCTCTTCACCTTTCATTTCAACATCGCCATCCTTCTTTTGTTCGGGTTTCTCGTCCTGAAATATCACACAGATAAGTAAAAAAATACCCTGTGGTAAACGCAAACACGCGTACAGTATCCATAGCATCTGCATCAGCAGCTGCTTTTTTCTTTTCTCTCGCTTTGACCTTAGCGGTTGTCGAAAGAACTGCGGTAGCCGCTTTAGCGAAGGTCTCCCGTTTGGGAGGTGTGGCGGGAGGAGGATAGGCGAAAAGACTGGGTCTGGCATTGGAGACAAACTCGAACTTTGGTACCTGAATTCTAGTTAAGTGGAAATGGCCGAGAAGCGTTGCATGGTGCTTACTTTCAAGTCTTCATTCAGTCCAATAATAGCGGTTGGTTCAAACGCGAGGCACGCGCAGTGTGCTAATGGATACCAATACCAGAACTGGCAGAACATGGTCATGCCAACGATCGCGTTCGTGTTTTTGCTCCCCGCTCGACTCTGCAAGCTAATGGTAACGTTGCGGCCACCTGCATCTATCAAGCCTTGCCCAATAGCAGCACCAAAACGTGCCATAGGATCTTCGTGCTTGTCAGACACCACTTTAGTGTAAAGGGCACGGGTTGAGGACATGGATGGAGATGAAGCTTCTGACTGTTGGACCAAGATCATACCAAGGGCGATGAAGGCACCCTGTCGCACGAAATCAACGCCATCCTTAGTCATGGGCTCAAGGATCTCAACGGCATCTTGAAGACCGGTGCCTGCGCATGCGATACCCAGGGCTAGGGTTGCACCACAACGAACGTGGGGGTTATAACTTTCACTGAGGAGTTGGACAATTCGGGGGACTTGACCTGGGTTCTTGAATAGGAGGAAGGCGAGTGAGGTCACAGCTGCCCTCCGAACATCATCTGAGGTGTCAGAGACTGCAATGTGCAGTAGCTGCCGGACTGCGTCGTTATTTGACGTCCCTGCGTAAGCTAGTGCGAGAGTGTAGACACCACCATAACGTAGAATAGGGTCCTGAATGGAAACTTCAATAAGAGCGTTGACAGTCACGGTAGGGCTTTTACCTTTTCAGTCAAAAGTGAAGTAATTGTAGAGTCGGCCTCCTCTTGGCGACCATAGAATATGAACGCCAGCCCCATGGCCAGACCGCGAATGATCTTCTCGTGCTGCGTCTCCCTAGCATACGTCAACATCTCCTCCGCGGATGTCTGATCTGCAGAACCAAGCATCACGAGACCCATGGCATAACCAGCTGCTTCGCCGGCCACGGCGGAATCGGTGAACAGCGTTTCCTTCAAGTCATCGTATGCATCGGAACTTCTTCCGCCCATTGCTGAAATACCAAGGCCGAGAGCGGCACCGTGCTGCACAACCTCGCCCTGAGCGGTTTTCATGGTCTCCCGAAGGTAGTTCTCAACGGGTTGGCCGCTACCACAGCCAGCATTGATCAGACCAAGAGCATAAAGAGCACCACCCTCGGAGTAGGCGGCCCCTTGGATCTGGCTTTCGCCCCCTGCTTGGGGGAGGTATGGGCCAAGAATGGTCATCCCCTCCTCGAAATGGCCCTTGTGGATAACACCGAGGGCAGCGGTCGTAGAGAACTTTGCCCAGTTAGACGCCAAACCGAGCCATTCAAGGTTTTCACGAAGGAACACGTCGGAAGTCGTTCCAGCGTGCATGAAGGCGTTCTGTAGAGTAACCGCAGTATGATATATAGACGTCCGAGCTTCGAGAACTTCCTAGCGACAGAATATTAATGACATTTAAAATCTACCATGAGAATACTCACTTTCGTGTTCTTCAGAATTAGCATATCTACTTTATTGTTGCGCTTCAAGAATTCCAGGTATAGTTTGACAGACTCTTGCCCATCCAAGATTTTACGGAGCTTGTCGTATATGTCTTGTGTTTCCTAGGGGACAAACTTAACATATCGTTCGCATGTATATGATAATACTCACCTCCTTGCCCTCAGGTAACTCGGCCTTCACCCCCTGCAAGAATTCCCGAGCACCTCCCTCAACTAAGTCGAATGCGAATTGATATGCAAGAAGCCTCTCCTTTGGAATCAGGGAAGTCAGGAGTGGAACGACGAGTGATGGCCGATTAAGGGTGACGAGTAGCCGGGCCAGGGCATGAATGTGCGGGGATTTTGACAGTGATGTTGGAGGAGGGAAGAGAGGTAGGAGGAAGTTGAGGACTTGATCACGGTAGGAGAGGGAAAAGCCTGTATCTAAAACAGCTTCCATCGTGTACGAGAGAAGGCAGACATCGTGAGTCAAGTCATATATACGGTTCACAACATCGAGACGATGAGACTCTAATGCAATGCCAATTGCCTGCCCACAAACGGTGAGCTCGGAGTAGGTAGCATTCATAACGATTATGTTACCTGGCGGTACTCCCCCTCTTCAATACAGCGATCAAAAATGCTTTCTATGATAGCTTGTAGCCGAGCATCAATCTTCGTCGAGCTCCCGGAAGGCTCTTCAGTCCGTAGTGTGACGTATCGGTCAATTGCATTGGCTTAAAGGTGAACGAACAACATAAGGTTAATTTGTGGGCCAGGGCAAAGGGTCTGACACTCACATATCACTGTCTCGACATATTCACCTGCGCCATGTGCGCGAGCCTCAGCCTGAAACGCGCTCCCTGCGCCCAAGGCAAAGGACAAGGCTTCGTCATACTCTCCCAAGAAATAATACACTTTGCTAGCCAGCAAAGCAGCATTATGGCGAGCAGCCTTTGGAAGATCATCGGACTCGTATAAGCTTTCTCTAAGAATGAATTCCGAGGTCAGAATCGACTAGTGCACAGCGAGTAATGGCAACCCATACATGAGTGCAATATGCTCCGAAATTTCTGCCCAAAACTGAGGAACCAGGGGAATAAGTCCTTTGAGAGCATGTTGCTTGAATACGGTGTCCGGTTCTTGAAGGAGAGCGAGCACGCCGGCCGCGGAGGATTGGGAACGAATGACCATGACTTTCAAGTCAAAGAATACTATGAGACGCGTCACCTTTCATCACGCTGCACACGAACAAGTCTTTCAATCGGAGATTTAATTCACCTTCCCGACCTCATCCGTTCAAAGACTTTAAACGCGAATATTCATTGCATATTTAACATTTCGACGCCGTATTCATGTTTGCTCGCACCGCCGTACGTGCTGTTGCTCGCGCAGCTCCCAGAGGTTCCCGTGCTTCCTCTGCCGATGCAGGTGCAGGTGATTATTTCACAAAGCGTGATGCGGTCAGGGCCCATGCTGCAGGTTTGCAAAAGCACTGTCTCGCGGATATAATTGGCACTTAATACACCTGACAGAGGTTACTCAGCTTTGGCGCAGAATAAGGTCTGCCCAATATCTGCTGCATAGTTGATTTCCGCTGACATTATGGAAGCTTCTATGTTTGCGTCCCAGCTAGTGCGTTTTAACATCAGCTGTCTGTTTCGTCTGCTTACCCCTTTTTAGCCATTGCCTGCGCCCTTTGGGTGCGTAATGTGGAGGCAGAACATGCCGAACACGTAGAACACATAAAGGCAGAGCATGATGGTCACCTCCCCGACATCCCTCAGTACGAATACATGAACCGTCGTCTCAAGCCTTACCCATGGGGTATGAACTCGCTGTTCTTTAACCCGCATGTAAGCCGTTCAACTGTTCTTGTGTTCGTCTCAACTAATCATTTACAGGTCAACAAAGATTTGTCGGATGAATGATTTTGTTTCGTATCAGTAGACTATGATGTCATTTCATCTCATTCAACAATTTCAGCGGCATTTTTGTCTGTCACTCCAGTTGGTGCGCAGGTCGTAATTTTCTGGCGTTATATTTGCCTCCATAGTTTCGATGAAATGCCGGCTAAGTTTCTGCCATTGTCGTCAATATGAAGTGTGATTGAAAGCTAAAAGCAGGGAATGACTTAACCCCGCCCGCAAGCCTCAGATTTCACCATTTACAAGCAGTCCTCGAAATTCTGTTTGCCAAAAGATACCAACAAGATATCCCCTAGATGGCTACAGCGATGACTGACGAATATTTTTTCCTTCGTTGTTGCCTGCAACATAATGCGCTTGCACATCTTTGCGACGTTCGGATCTCAGTGCTCCTTCAAACGACTATCTAGTGCGCCTTTCCCGATTACAGCGCGTTTTAGGAGTTGAACACGCTTTTCAACATTGGTACATCTTGGAAGCCGAAAGCGCTGCTTTAGACAGACGTGATTTACGAGCTTCGCCGAGTTCAAGACAGATGTCAGGTTGTCGTTGGTGGATATTTACTTTCCAAATGAGCTTCACGCTTACATGAAACTTATCGCTTCTGTTGTTGTTCTGTTGCGTCCCACTGTAGGACGCTGCGGCCTCCGAACTGCATTGCTTAGCGTGACACTAGCGGAGGTAACTCGGTGTTCTACAAGACCAGTGATCCGAGGGTGCAATTATGATCTGCATCACTAAAATTTGAATTAATTCCTGATACCTTTAGGTAGGTCTTTGTCGGCCGTTCAAATGGAATTCGTATTGCAAGCCGGATACTTCCTTATCCCTTGCAATGTTGGCCTGGACTCGCGCGAGAAGACACTTCCGCGACTCGCTACTATCTACGTCTTTTTTGGATTCGGATGCGCTTGACTGTTCCCGAGATGGCGTATTTCGAGTGGTCGACTCGCTGGCCTCTGCACACAATTGGTGGTGCCCAAGTGACACGCACCATAGACCTAGTACCAGCGCTGGCAGTGACAACGGGTAACGAAAGCAGATACAGCATGCCTTTTGCAAGATAAGAGGTCACTGGCAGCGTGTGAAGTCGAAGTGGTCGAAGACTCAGACGCGGGTTCCGATATGAACGATGCGGCGGCCGGCCCTTTCATTTACGTAGAAGTGTGCGGGCCTCTGTGTGCAGCATTCATTCCTAGGATGAAGACAAAACCATATTGATGAACTGTACTACCGCAGCTAGGCGTTGAACATTGATATAATAGTAAGTACGGGTGAAAAAGCATCTAGTACTAGTACATACTAGTAACTACACGGGTGGTGTGATTGTCGCCAAAAAAGGAAGGTGCTGTAGATCGAATACCGCCAAAACTGCTTTCATGTGGGACATGTGGAGACTTTCACGCATTAACCACTCACCTTTGCAACCACCTACACTACCACCACCACCAACATAGAGTCATGCCTCGCGCAATTATATCTCCTTCAGTCCTTGCCTCTGACTTCGGGCAACTCAGTGCAGAATGCAAGAGAATGATCAAAGGCGGAGCGGAATGGTTACACATGGGTACGTCTCTGATATGTGAAGCTTCAGATATAGTCCTCATCACCACCTCACCTTGTGCAGACGTCATGGACGGGTAAGAAATGAGATTCAATACTCTTATCCGATGTCAATCTGTCCCAATCCAGCCACTTCGTGCCCAATATCTCAATGGGTTAGTGCACTATCGCGCTCGTTTGCTTGCGAGTAGTTCTCACGTGCATGTAGGTGCACCAGTCCTGTCTTGCGTTCATAAAGGTGTCCCGGGCATATTCATGGATTGCCATATGATGGTTGCACAGCCCGAGAAAGTAAGCACATATCTTATCGAACTCGATTGAAACGGCAGTAACTGACATCGGCATCTCTTCAGTGGGTGGACGACATCGCAGGATGCAGGAGGCTCGCTGTACTGTTTCCATATCGAAGCCACGTGTAAGTAATCTCGCTTTCGATCTTCTCCTGAAAACTTAGCTCCTTGCGCAGCTGATGCTGTTTCGCTTATCAACGCCATACATGCGCGAAACATGAAAGCTGGGGTAGCCATTTCTCCGGATACGCCATCCACAGCCATCACGGATGAAATAGGCGCAGTAGCAGACATGCTTTTGGTTATGACTGTTTATCCTGGTGCGTCACAATATCATTTTTGATAGGTTGCCTCACGTGGCGCAGGACGTGGCGGTCAAAAATTCCTCGAGCGGTGTGTACCGAAGGTTGCGGAACTGCGGGCACGCTTCCCAGAAAAGGACATCGAGGTCGATGGCGGTGTTGGGCCCAAGACAATTGATATCTGTGCCGATGCAGGTCAGTGCTGTCACAGAATCCCCTAGATGATTTTGACTGGTCCGCAGGCAGCAACGTCATTGTAGCAGGAACTGCTATTTTTAACGCGCCAAATCCAGAAGGCGTCATTACTTCACTGAAGACTACCGTTAATACCGCTCAAGCGAGATTCTCGAAGTAGATGCTGAAGTCGCTGAACTGCTGATCGCACGATATGTATTATGCATCTATGTTCATCGAGGTAGCACAGTTTATGTTATTAAAGTAGACTAAGATTGGTCCTAACACGGCGGCTGAACCAGAAGGGCAGCAAGTAAACTACTTGACATGTCCGAGGTGAAAAGATCGACAAATAGTAAAGGTATGGACAGTGAAAGGACTGGGAATCAGAAGACCGGGTATCGCCCTATCGATGTTAGAGTCTATCTTGCATTTACGATATGGGGTCATTTCAGATGACGTGATTAGAGAGTACGGTAACGGCAGTATAATGTATGGTATATAGGGCCAGGGGGCCATTGAATTTTTAGTCGGGTGAACTTCACCAGCTTTCCCACGAAATGCAGTCAACAACCATTCATTGACCCGGCAGAACACTTAGTGATCTGACGCTCCGAATCGGCGCCTTGCTCATAGAGCCGAGTGAGTCCGACTGATAACAGGATGAACTCTGTCCGGACTTGAGTGTGACCCCTGCGAATACTAATTCTCATGTACATGTAAGTGCACCTCTTATGTCTTGCGTAGCCCCAGGAATATTTATAGATTGCCATATGCTGGTTGCACAGCCCGAGAAAGTAAGCACATGTTTCACCGAACTTCGACACGGCAGTAACTGACATCGGCATCTACCTCAGTGGGTGAACGACATCGCGGATGCAGGAGGCTCGCTATATTGTTTCCATATCGAAGCCACGTGTGAATAATCTCGCTTTCGGTATTCTCAGCTCCTTGCGCAGCTCTCATCAAAGCTATACATGCGCGGAACATGAAAGCTGGGGTGGCCATGTCTCCGGACACGCCATCCACAGCCATCACGGATGAAATAGGCGCAGTAGCGGACATGCTCTTGGTTATGACTGTTTACCCTGGTGCATCATAATATCATTTTTTTGATAGGTTGCCTCGCGTGGCACAGGACGCAGCGGTCAAAAATTCATCGAGCGTTGTGTATCGAAGGCGCGCATGCTTCCCAGAAAAGTACATCGAGGTCGATGGCGGTGTTGGACTCAAAACAATTGATGTCTGTACCGATGCAGGTCAGTGCTACCACAGAATCCCCTAGACGATTTTGACTGGTCCGCAGGTAGCGACGTAATTTTAGTAGGAACTGCCATTTTCAATGCGCCAAATCCAGAGGACGTCATTGCTTCACCGAAGACTACCATTAGTACCGTTCAAGCGAGATTCTCGAACTGGATGCTGAAGGCACTGAAACTATTGATGGCACGATATGTAATGAGTAATAAGTACGCATCTATGTCCATTGAGGCAGCACAGTTTATGTTATTAAAGTAGACTAAGATTGGTCCTAGCACTGCGAACCAGAAGGACAGTAGGCAAAACTATTTGACATGTCCGAGTTGAAAAGATCGGCAAATGGTAAAGGTATGGATAGTGAAAGGACTGGGAATCAGAAGGCTAGGTATCCAAACAACTTGCCCTACTGATGTCAGAGTCTGAATCAAACAATAACAAAGGTTGCAGCATGCAATCTTTGCATTTATGATATGGGGTCGTTTCAGATAATATGTTTGATATTGATTATATGATTGCGGGACCATGGTCGATGGAAAGCCGCGACGGAAGTGATTCAAGATCACCATTGAAGCCATTCACCGTACATGTTTGGCCTCTCCCCACGAATGTAAGACTCGAACGTTCTCTTGAGAACAGTAGCCCAATCAAGATCGCGTTTATCGTCAGCGACCCGGTCAGTGGCATCTTCTGGATCGATATCGGGTTCCGCCGCTGCACGAGCAGCCCTCTCGCCAGCTGAAAATTTGGGGCCTAGGTCAGGCCAGTTACGAGATGCATCGAATGGCTTCCACCTAAATTGTGATTGAGCACGGTATGTCACACGGAAGAGTAATCTGCTCACCAAAAGTTATGGAAGTGATAAGAGAAAGCACCTTGGAAGAAGCCTTCAAACCCTAGTGCCTGAGGAGCAGCACTGGCTTGTGTAGGTGTGTCAAAGAAGTCCGAGAACCTATAAGAAATGAATGAGTAAGCTATGACGTGAGAACCCGGAACTGCATACGCACTCTTGGAAGTATGGCTGAGGTGGTCTTTCGCGTTGGTAATACTCCGTGTTAAGCCACGCAGAGTCAAACAAGGCGTCAGGCAGTCGTAGCAACAGACCCTCCAAATATGCGTCCTTGGTATAACGAGATACCGTCATGGGGTGGAAGTCGAGGCCGTTCTTCAGAGCAGTGCGGAATAAGAATGATCCAAGAGCAGAATTCTTGTTCATGCGTAGAACGGCAGTATTGTACTTCTCCAACCGGGACCACCTATATGCAAACGCACCCTTCCAACCCCAAAGCTCTTCCCAGTCCCGCAAGAAGATGGTGTCCGCATCAAGGTAGATACCACCGAAGCGATGACAAAGGACAAATCGTGCCATATCAGAGAGGATAACTGAGAGACGGTCGTATGAAGACGAAGATTTCGAACCGGTACGGTTGAGCATATCATCTTCATCTGGCTTGTTGTCACCGGTAGGTAAAGGCTTTGCAGAAGTGTCGGCATCAGTGCTGTTGGTCGAATCCTCTATAGTACTGGTACTGAAGACCTCGGTACTTTTCGATTGCGACTTCTCGGCGGGCACGCTGACAATGTGTCCTCCCGAGTTGAAGAGGGTCTCTCTTAACTCGCGCCACTCGTCCTTAAGTTCTGGGATACCGTCAAGTTGGTCTGTTGTATTCCACAGTTTGAATTTGATAACGTCCTTGAAGCGATGATGTAAGAAAGGGGCTGCCCAGGGATTGGTCTTGAGTCCTTCATACATGTCACTCAAAGCGGAAGGGTTTGGGACAGACGCCGCAGGACCTGGGTTAATCCACATCCAGAACTCGGGGCGGCAAACATTAAGAGCGTCGCCATCCTTCAAATGCAGACCGACATTCTGTGTGAAGAGGAAGGAGAGCAAAGCGAGATATGGCTTGTCGGTGAATGGGCCAGTCCAGAACATGTGGAAGAGACGGGGGTTTTCAGGGTCGCAAGGTGCCGGAAGACTTGAATAAGGCGTATGCTGCAAAGGAGCACGGAGAGGTAACTGTGTCTCCCAGTCTACCCCTACCTTCTTTCTTAATCCTGCGTTAGGGTCCGTCTCTCCACCTGAAACTAATGGACGAGGTGGAGCAATAGGATTGGCTATAGGGATGGGATCCGTGAAGGGATCTGTGAAATTCTCCTTTTCTTGTTCCATGTAGATGTATTTCCATTCGTCCATTTCGCCCCGCCTGAGTCTGTTGCCATTGTCGAGGCCTGCGCCTACACGCAAAACTTCGAGGCAGTCACGTACATACTTTGGAAACATTAGTGGGTGAAAAACAAAAAAGGGGGGCGGGGTGCTTACTTTGCCCTGTGAGAAGTCACAATGATCCATAATGACGTCCAGGTCAGCGACACTGCCCGGTACAGGGCGAGGTGGATATGCAAGGTTGGGAGGCATGCTTTGTACATCGAGATAAACGCGTCGTGGACCATCTCCACGCGTGGTTGTAGCTACAGGGCCTGGAGGAGGCCTGAATCGTGAAGGAATCGTTGGAACTTTTCGTGGAGGAAGAGCAGGGTTGAGTGGTGGAACACTTAGTCCGACCTGCTCGGGTACTGAGAAAATTCATGATCAACACGTATGATCACGACAGTAAGAGGGATGAGGCGCACTCTTTGCATTACTTGGATAATGGCCGCTATCTATTTCCCATTTCCAAATTCGCTGTAAATCATCTCGCCCAAAGACTAGGGTAGAAGACTCCCCAAAGTTCGTAGTCCACTGTTTTTCCTCTGTACCGAACCGACGTGCGAAGGAACATACTGTGATGATGGAAGCAATCAAAACTACACAGAGCAGTATAGGCCCTCGTCGTCGTCCGAAACGCGAAATACCGATCTGGCGGACACGACTTGGATTTGGCATAAATAAACGAAGACGACGCGAATGTACGCCGGGGATTGGGACTGATACTGGGACTGTCCAGGACATTGAACGGGAATGTCGATGCATTTTCTCGGTTACAGCGGAAGAGTAAGTTGGAAGAGCGTTAGTTAAACGGCTCTTGTCTGGAAAGCCATTCCCGCGTTGGGGAGTAAAATAATTAGAAGACGCCATTTCGTCCAGTAAACGGCGAATTCACGACGCTCGTGAGGACGCCAAATGAGCACTTTTAAGAATATTGATGTAAAGCAGAGAAGCGTAGCAATCCGTGGGAATTTATCATCTCTCATTTGGGTGGGAATTTTTTGGCTAACTACCATGATATCAAATTTAAGAATGCAGTGAGCGGGCCAACTTCATCCGGTCGTTGTGCCGGACATGCAGTGAGTCCGAGCGCAGGCTGCGCAGCAGTCACAGTATTAATAAACAAACAAAGTACATGGACTCGATAGTCTGCAATTATGGACTGGCAGTACATCTCAGTCCAATAGACTGAAATTTCTATTTCTAGCTTATTTATTATAGCAGTGCTAGAAAGTGCCAGTCCCAGACTCCAAGAAATGATGATGGATTGGCAGCAAACAGTATATCAATATACAACATTTGAGTATGTACAGCAATAAGACACCTCACAGGTCAAATGTAGCACTAGACAATTTGAACAATATCCAAGTCTACTCATCATCACTTTCCAGCTCCATGTTGAAGGTGTTACAGCTCTTCATTGGCATCTTTGAGTTCTTAGCAGGTAGCTGGTCTTTGAGCTCATCAGTGGCCTTCCTTTTTCCTTTCAAATAGTGGAGAGCTTTCCTGTCTTGGGACACTGTCACACAAGGGTATGGCAGCGAGGATTTGTCAGCGCAGTGTCCCAGGACACAACGGTAGGGCACATGATGTGAAGACCCCGCGCTCGTGTAGGAGAGTCAATACGACGAACATGGACGTTCGGAGGGGTCATTCTTGGCATGTCCGTCGTAGTTTGTTGTTGTTGTTGTTGTGTTGTTGTTTTGTCGTCTTCACCATCTTGCAATAGTACACTTGTTTGTTTGTTTCCGAGTTTGAGTCAGTCCTGAGTTCTCTTTCTGAAATGCTTGCACCCACAGCACCAACACAAACATCAACGGACACGTTCGACAGATCTGTTTTGTGACATTGGACCGTTTCACACATTGGATCATTTTTCAGGTGCGTCCATCACTACTTTTTTTAGCTGTTTTCGATTCTACTGACTCTTTCTGAAATGCTTGCACCCACAGCACCAACATGAACGTCAACGGACACGTTTGACGGATCTGTTTCGTCACATTGGACCATTTTTCAGGTGCGTCCATCACTACTTTTTTTAGCCATTTTTGATTTTGATTCTACTGATGCCATTCATGCACCAGCTGTCTTTGCGCTCGCATACTGATGCCGAGTGCTGCAGTCCCACCATCTGATGTCACTGTACAAGTGCTGAATGCTGCCAAGGGCATTCAGCTGAAGTTCTGGATTGAGGAGGCCAATTAAGCTGTGGGGAAGAAGGCCTTGATGAAGACTGGCACCGTGAACACCCTCAGGACAAAGCTCGCCAAGTTCTATGGCCTCGACCTTGCAGCTACCCCCAAGAAACCTGCAGGACCCATCACTAGTGATGTTCTGGCCCAGCTTGGGCTCAAAGCCCTGGCTTAGGCTCACCAAATTTCAAGCCTGAGCTGTGAGCCCAAGCCAGCCCAAAGCTGGGGCTTAGGCCCATGCAAGCCGCGGCCCACATGCTGAATTGCTTGTAATCAATGTCCGAGCTCCACCATGCCATTCCCAACACCACAAACACCATGCACAAATGCCCAGCACACATCAGCAACTGCTGACGTGGCTCAGACAAATACGGACGATGGACGAGAGCAGGAGAAAGGAAGAAGACAAGGAGGAGAACAAGAACAAGAGAGAGGTGGATGGGACGAGGGCATTGTAAGCCGAAGGGACAAGAGCTGAGGGAGAGACGCAGCAACCAGCTGAAGGAACGTCGAGTGCGAGCGCATCCAAACAGAGAACAGGAATGACATGTCATGGTTGGCTCATGCACTGTCCATCTTTTAGTTTATTTTACTGTATATGACTGTACCTGGGACACTCACATTTCAACACAAATACTGCGATATTCATACCTTTGTCTAGCTCCCATGTGACCATCTCGCTATACATTACAAGAGTGGAGGCACGGGCAAGTGCAGACATGTGCAGACAAGTTCAAGTGAGCTGAGCGCATGATGTTGGAAAAAAAAACACACACACACCTTCAATCCAACAAAGATATTAGTCCCCCATCCAGAGTCAAGTCTACATGTGCAAGCAGTGCAACATATGAAATGAGTAGTGAGTTATGTCGAGCTCACAAAGCACAGGACATAGCGCTGGCAACTCACCGTGGCTTTTCTGTAGCAACAGACAAGAGATAAGGTGTTGAAATTGCTGGATATGTTGGCCAATGCAGGCTTTTTGACTGCGACATGTGGACCATCCGAGTCGAAGCTGATAGAGTTGATGGAAGTCAGAGAAAGACAAAAATAGAGTTGGGAAATGTACCTCCGGCAAGGCTTCTATGGCAGTGCCACTGAACATGCCAAAGCCGTGGCTTAGGCCGCCGGCTCAGGCTTCTCGAAACCCAAGCACAGGCCTAAGCCTTCCTCAAGCCATGACTTAGGGCTGGGCTGGGCCCAGCCTATTTGGGCCTGGCTTGGGCCAGCCCAGGGCCTCAAGCTGGGCCATGCACATCACTACCCATCACCCATGGACACAATGTCCAGAAGCGGCAGTTTGCCTATCTGTGTGAGCTCTGGAACGAGTGGATGGGGTGTGTGGCCTCGAGCTGACCATTCCTACTCTGCTCAACATCTGCTGGTGAGTTTTTCGTGCTCCTTGCTCTGACAACTGACATATCTACCTATCTAAAATACACCAGAGTCACTCGATGTGCGGCTCCTTGAACTTGCAATCACCTCCGTCCCCACCCAGCTCAGCTTTGCACTGCCAGAACTCCTTCCTGAATCTCCTCCACTGCCTGCTGTCACGAATGACAGTGTGTATGCACTGTCACACCTTGTGCGATCAGGGGACTGGGATGCCTTCATCATGCTGCTTCGATTTTGTGCTATTGTGCAAGCACATGCAAGTTCCATCATCCACCTTGTAAGTCGATCATCTAATTTTGTGTTTCATTCATTGTCTGACTTTTGATGGTTCAGTGTTGTAGGGAATCTCTTGCAGCTCCAATACACCATACCTGTCACTGTCTCTCTCGAGCCTGCCACCCCATCAAGCAGCCTTATGCATGTTGACAGAGGTTTCTCCTGCTGCATTGCCCATGTCACCTGTCACCACCAGCACTCCATCAGCTGTAGCTGCACCTGCTCAGTCTGATGAAGCAGTGCTGTTGGCAGCCTGCAAAGCTGACATTGCAGTGCTCAATTGTGCAACTTCACTGCATGATGTCATTGCACAGATTGAAGCTGGAGATGTTGCTTGCATTCGGCAGCTCTATGGGCCATGCACAGGATGTGCAGCCATCTCACTCTGGCAGTCCATCAAGTATACTGTCTGTCATCGAGAGTGGCTGTACTTGCAGCTTCAGGATGAGTTCTGTGGTGACAAGAACCACTTTTTTGAGTTTTTTACAATCCAAACAACACCAGAGGTAAATGGCAAGTCCCTGAAGCGGAAGGCTAAGCACAATGCATCTGTTGAGCACCTGCAGCCCTTGTGGAAATTTGATGAAGCTATCAGTCAGAGGGATAAGAACCTTGCCGAGCTCATGGTGAGTAATGAGTACAGTGATGAGGGTAGGTTCTGTAGTGAAAAGTGGGAAGCAAAGTGGTTGGGCATGAATTGGTGGGAGATATGAAGGGCAATTGGAAAGGAGAGATACTGAGGACATTGAATTATTTACACATAGTACACTACAATTGCATTTATTGCCTACCCCACTAACAGACCCATTGATCCTTGGTGTACCTGCTTTCCATCATTGCGGTCAAAATCAATCATGTGTTCATGATTGTCATTGGGGGAGTAGAAATATCTGAACATGGTGACTGCTTTAACTTGTGACCAGCCACCCCATGCAGCAACCATACCAGGGGACCAGCCTTGATCTCGAAGGCGGTGTTGACACCCCCCTCAGCGGAATGAGTGTGTCCCATATAATATCCAGGACTTATATCTAAGGCCCTGTAGGTCTCTTGCAAGTGCTCAGCTAATGGTAGTAGAAGATTAGCAAGGGAGTTCTCATGCTCAGCCACCTATCATTTGGTAAGGGGGAGGGGAAGAAGCTCACCAGTGGTTGAGTGGTCACTGCACCATTCTTGTTGATCACCAGAAACAAGGGTCTAGTGCAGTCATGGTTTTCTCCATACAGAGCTGCAAGTCTGATTAAGGCCCACTTGGGGCATATTTTTGGGTCTTTGTCATTTGCACAGAGACACATCCATTGAGAGATACCAGTCTGTGCATTCTTACATGTGCCAAGGTCGATATCAAAGTATACTCCTGAGGGAAGTTGTCAGTGTCCCTCACTCATTTTATGAAAAAAATCATACTTTCATCAGGGAGAGCATCAATGCTCTCAAATGTCAGGCTCAATGCTTCCTCAACTCAAAGCACAAGGAGCCATGTAAAGAGAAAGACCATCTGGCTAGTGTGTTAGTGGAAGAAACCCAACCAGAACACTAGACATACATATCGGACAATCCCACGTCGTCGATCAGCATTGTTCAGACCATGGCACATTATGCAATAGTCATAGAGGCAGTACATATCATCTAGCAAAAGGGCCCGTGCTGACTGGGAGACCTCACCCTGCCTTGCCTTGGTCTTTTCAAGACCAATCATGAACTCAGACACGGCACGAGATCTTGTTGGAAGGCCAGAACTGACCAGGAAGTCAGACAGTGGACAGTAAGAGAAGGGAGATCCTCACCACTGCCCTGTCTCATGGACTCACCACTCCACCACACTCTCTGATGGTCGGACAGAGTGATACCACAGTGTAAAGGCTGCTCGAGTTGAAATTTCAGTGGAGAACTGCAACAAATATGTAGATGAGCTCACCACCAGCCAAGGAGACAGAGACAAGGGCCACTGACCTTGCATCCTTCATAGCCATCAGCCTTTGGTCCACACTTTTGAGTGATGAACATTCGCACATCATATGGTGTGTTCCTTGTCACCACTTTGGGATCCTAGTTTGGTGTCTGTTTCATATGAAATGTAATATATGCTTTGATGATCCTAGCCTAGCAGTCAGCATCACTCAAAGCAAAGCACAGATTAGTATGTCACACAATACCTAACATGCTTTGTGTGGTGTAGCACTCGAGCTCGCGCTGAGCACATATTCTCTTATTTCTCGATACATATCCAATGCCTGTTGTGCACTAATCACAACCCGACACTTTGACTAGCGGACCCGACATTTTCCCGCGCTCTTGTCCTATCCATGTCCCGTCTTGTCTTGCTAGCCCCACTAGGTGCATAGTTGATTATTTCGCACATTACTCACGTCGTAGCCAGCACTATTACATGTTTTCCCATCATCCGCAGCGCCTTGTGTTTATTTACATGTACTTCGGACCCGAAATCGTCGGCCGCTACTTTTGCCTACGGCCTTCCAGATTTCTACGTACTTACATATATATTGGACTGACTACAAGTATTTTCATTATCCAAGTAGTAGGGAGCCGTTTCCTGATACTTAGTGGTCAAACCTGATATTTCGTAGTTCTTAGTTGACATTGTGAATATTACCGCTCTTTCTATCCAAAATACCCGTCGTTATCATATATCCGCATACCGCTCGCTTTCCCGACGTTCACTATTGCCATTCCCGCTAACCCGCTAAACCTGAACCCGAAACCCACTAACCTGAAACCTGAAAACATCGGACCCAATGCTTTGGCATCGGACATCATAGATATACCCTCGGACTTTGTTTCTCGCGCTCGGACTTTTGACCATTTATCGTTTCACTAACTACAGACCATTCCAAATAGCTAACCCCTCGGGTCGAATGCACTTGTCTTGCAAGAATAGCAGACTAGGCTGTGCACAACTACAACATTTTTATATTGCTGGCTACTTACTTCATGTAGTGCCCAGCGATTGTTGTATCTCTACAGCGGATGAGGGTGCACAGGGTGCACATTGCATTCCATCCCAAAGGGGGATGAAGTGTTCCAGTAGCAGGCATCTGAGAGGTCATGACCATCGTCAGAAGTTGGCAGAGGGCAGGAAACAACAGGTGGAGCATCATGTTCCAGTAAGGAGCTGTTGTAAGCTTATGAAACACTTATTTTAAAACAATGAAGAAAGACGTACCATCATAAGCGAGAGATGTGTGTCCCATGAATGCAAAAAATTTGACTTTTGCCTGGGACACGCAGCAAAGGGAGGCTCCAGCTAAAAAATGCATGTCCCATGAAGCAACAAATTGCTCAACTTAGCATGGGACACGTGGAATGCGCCGAGACGGACCTGCAAGCCCAGGACAACATAAGTTTTGACGAAAATAGCATGGACAGACTTACAGAGCTTCAATAAACAGTGGCAGGACATCCTTCTTGCAGTGACTGGAAGGGAGAGCCCAGCAAACGGCATCAGAAAGTGACTGCTGTTGATACGTCAGTGCACACATTCAAATGACACCGAACACGCACTTCTCCACTCTTCGTTCATCGTCATCGAATCTTGATCATTGTTAGCAGTTGCTTAGAGGCCCAGTGTCTTTCGGGGTACTTGTTTGGTTGTGAGTGCGCAGAACTCACATGACTTACCTCTGTGTGTCCCAGAGCAATGTAAAGGTTGCTTTCTTCATGTAGGCTGTGCATGGCAGCAACTGCATACACTGCAGTATAAATTGATATGTGTGGGAGCCATCCAAGTTAGTGTTGCAACTGTTGGGTGGTGCAGCTTCAGATGGCCTGATGTTCCAACTGGTAACAGCTGTCAGAGAAAATGAGGACATGAAATGAACAAACATGCAGTTTCAAACCTCCACAACATCACTGTCAAAACATTCTTATCTGAGAGCAAGTCAAATCTCAAGAACAGAAGATACACAAGCCCAAAATACCTGCTCCAGCATGAAATAGGGATAGTGCACATTGTCGAACATGATTAGCGAGTGCATTACACATTTTTTGATGAGAGAGCCCATTGCAGAGCATGCAATAGCATGGTGCAAATTGATGAATACATGTCTGGACATTGGTGTGGTTCAGCTTCTCTAAACAGCGAGTGAGATCATCAACAGATGCTGAAATTCATAGCAAAGACATGGCTTCAGAGGCTTGTGTAGCTGCTAAATTGATAACAAGAGATGTGCTGATGACAGGGGGGGAGTGCATAGAGCAGTAGCCACCTCAGGACCATACAAGTTCTGAAACTCAGCAGCAAGCAAAGTGCATCGTGTTCTTGTACAAGCAGGTAGGACAGGTGCCATCAAGAGACTCTTGAAGAGGATATTATCTGACATGCTTGTGAGCTTTGTGTGTTTAGTAGTGAAATGAGATATGATTACATTGACACTACATTCCTTATTTCATGCATCTGATCTTTTAGTTCCAACTTGTAGTGCAACATCATGCAGAACAGGCATGGACAAAGCAGATAAATTCTCTGGATAGCAAGTATTCATGTAAGAAAACCATCTTTTAGTCTGGACATAATGCACAAGGCAGCAGTTGGGAGTACCTTGTTGAGCAGCCTCCAGCTGTTGGATATACAGATTCATTATATTGTGGGTAGTACAAAGCATCATAGAATAGATGATATGTTTGTATATTATGAATCTGTAGCATTGAGAACTTGAGAACATCCAACATGTTGGGATCAGGAGCATCAGGGACATCAGAGTAGGAATGAGGTACAAGCGAATATGATGTGCCTGTGTGTGATGTCGGCCAACCCTCATATATTTCAAAACCATATCATTGCTTATTTTCTCTTCTCCAAGTTTTACCGTTAGCATATGTTAAAAGAACGTTCCCATTGTAGAAACATCTCAGTCCTCATTACCAAGACTGAGATGTGAGCCATACTTATTCATTCCCTTGTACACAAGCTGACAACACTATTAGAATACATTCTCTTATAGGTACCTACTAATGTACATGAGTCCTTGTTACAGAGACTGAGATAATACATTCTCTTATAGCTCAAACTCCCCGTGTGCGCTCGTCTTTATTCACTATAGGTTATGAGCCCTGGTGCAGCTACAATGGACACAACACTCCCCAACTCCAACTCTGCATTGTTCAGCGTCCTGAAATCAGCTGAGGACGGATCAAATTGGATCATATACAAAGAATGTACCTTGACCACAATTGGAGCCCGAGGTTTAATGTGATATGTGGACGGCTGTGCTACAAAACCTGCTCTGTTCCTCGTAGACCCCGAGAGTGGTCTAGTCAAAACGGAAGATGGGACAACACCTACCGAGGAAGAGATTGAAGTGTTAGATAAGAGAATCAACGAGTTCTACCAAAAGAACTCACTGGTAAAGCAACAGATATTCAGCATGATAACGGACAGACTTCTACTCTGCGTGCAAAAGCTCAAGCTCACATCCAGAATCTGGGCAGAAATCTGTGAAATTCATAAGGGTAAAACTGAGTTAGTCCAAATCGACTTACATCGACGCTTCCAAGACTTGAGGTGTGACGATGTCTTCTTAGATAGATGATCTATAGATAAACACCTACAAAATCAAAAATCTCCACGGTCAGTGATTCAGACAAATACCAATGACTGATAACGTGGTTGTTCGTGGGTGGCTGTTTACACTTCCCCAAGCTATGTTCAGACAAAAGTACTTCCTGTGAGGTCAGTAGCAATACCAGTCAATCCAACAGTATGGACGCAATAGAAAATAAAATAAACAGAATGTAGTCAGCCCAACGGTATGGTGATGACAAAAAGAAATTGATTCACTCCAACGGTATGGCAGTGTTTAGAGAACAGAGAAAAGTCAGCCCCACAGTATGGTACTGATAAAAAAAAGAAATAGATTGATAAGGGAAACCCTTCCTTCAGTAACAATGCTTCTTGTAATAAATTTACTACAGAAAGTCGTGCAAAATTATAGCAATCACCCCCTCAGCACAAACAGGTAGAATCAAAGGTCAGGACTAATCAGTGATCAGTAGAACTCTTAGTTCACTATTGAACCTGCTGCCAAGGAACTCACGATGAGTATTAAACAGAATCAGGAACGGACGTCCTTGGATTTCAGTACCAAGTCCCCTATTCAACAACTAAAGTCTAGCTGACAAAGAAAACCCTGGCTCAGTATCACTACTCAGATGAGTGAGGTCAAGCGTCACTATCAACTTCTGAAGTCTTCCCACTAAGCCGGTGCTTAGATGGACGTAAAGACAACACAAAGATCTTGAAACAAATTCAGACAATAACACTGAGACGTGAATGAACTGAACAGAAAGAGAGACAAATGAAAAGAAACAAACAAACAAAGAAACAGAAAAAGAAAGAGAGAAAGAAGAAAGAAAAGAAAAGAAAGAGACTAGAGGTTCACCAGTAGAAAATCAAAGAAAAAGTTTGCTCACTGTTGAGCACAGTGAGCTCAAGATATTTCACAGTTGTTGACGATGAGCTAAAGGTATTGCTAGATGTTGCTTACAATGACCTCTCACTTAGTTGCTTAACAGCTCTTGTCACTATTGTTGATACTGATCACACTTCACACTCAAATTTATTTTGTGGGGCTTAAAAGTTCCCTATATGCATCCTTTTATTGGCAAAAAGTGGGGTCTTATATAGATAAATTAGGGTGGCTGTGCTACTATTTCCCACGTTCTAATAGGCTTAGTCAGATTGTACCAATACTATTTACTGTAGTCATGTGCTTTATAATTTGTGTCATCAAGCTTTAGTCATCTCAAAAGGTTGCTTTGTCATGATTTGGTTTAGGATCATAGGTCACCTGACTGTTAGAGTCATATGACTTTAGTATCATGTGACAAATATTAAGTAACAGACTGATTATGTTATTTGTTGGTGTTTTGTTATGATGTTACTTTATTGACCATAGAAATGACGCGAGCTGTGTATTTAGAGTGTTAAGAAAGTTCCCACAAGGCAACTTATGCAAGAACTATTTTACACTGTTACTTGACATGTGTGGGATTCAGTCTGAGTCATTGTTATTGCTGACTAAGCAGAATTTACCGCAAAATTAAATATACAAGAATATTCAGCCTATCTGAGTCTGTCTGAGAAATGAAAATACTATCTGAACTGCAGTCTGAACCATAAAGTAAAGGAAGATTGTTCATAATGATTTCTAGGGTATCGGGCTCATGAGAGAGCATTAGTCATCCATGCACCGAACCGGTTTGGTGCAGGTCAACGAGAACACCAATGTAAAGGTGCACTTTGCCGAATTGCTGAGGCTCCATGAGTCCCTTGCTGGCATGGGTGCCTCCATCGAAGACAGAGATTTTCACACTATAATCCTTGGATTCCTCCCAGAATTGTACAGACCCCTGATGTTGTCCATCAATGCTACTGCAAAGATCCTCCAGATGTCTCTCTCCCCTTATGAGCTGATCAGCGTGGTCAGTGAGGAGTATGAACACCACCTCCTGACAGATAAACACACCTCCAAAAAGGGGTCCAGCTCTGCACTCATGGCAAGAGGAACCAATGGAAAAGGCCATAACCCCAGAACCAACAAGCCGAAAGATAACAAAGTTGTCTGCTTCAATTGTGAGTGAAAGGGGCATTACAAAACAGATTGTTGGCATCCAGGGGGAGGGAAGGAGGGGCAAGGCCCCAATTAGTGCCAGAGCAAGGGCAAGAAGCAGGTGGCCACCGCAGCCACTGAGTCTGAGCCCAAGGAGAACTATGCATTTGCCACATCAGACCTTGTGGGATTAGCTAGCAAGCTTAACGTACCTGCAGGGCGCCAAAGCGCCATCATGGACTCCAGAGCATCGTCACACTTCTGTCCAGAGTGCAAGAGATTCATGAACTGCGTGACAATTGCCCTGCAGGACATTCAAATGGCTGATGGAATGAAGATAAGTGCTGTTGGGAAAAATGATGTCTCACTGGACCTACCTTTGGGAGACAAGAGGACTAGGGTAACATTGAAAGACATACTTTATGCCCCGAAGATGGTGTTTACTCTGATCTCCACTAATTGGATAACAGCTGCTGGTCTGCTGTGCACTTTGAGGAGTGTATGTGCAAAGTGCTCTCCCCTGCTCCAGAACACGAGATAATTGCCGAGATACCCCAGATAGAGTGTCTATATGCTGTCATCAGCAACCAAAGGCACTATGCGCATGTTGTGAAGACCAGACTTACCCTGTACCTCAAGATGCAGAGCTAAAACTTATGGGGATACCATCCATACGGACCTCTGGGGCCCTGCCCAAATGAGCAGCTTGGTCGGATCGCTGTACTATATGTCCTTCACAGACAATTTTTCATGGGAGACTACCATGACATTTCTAAAGCACAAAAGTGAGGCTCTAGATGTATACAAGCAATACGAAGCAAGATTTACCACACAACATGGAGTTCGCATTAAGACCTTGCGTTCCAATTGCAGAGGAGAGTACTTGAGCATTGATTTTGATGCTTATCTGAAGGATCAGGGTACTGTGCATGAGCTAACCATACACGACTCACCTCAGCAAAACAGTGTCATGGAGAGACTTAACCGCACATTGGTAGAACATGCATGTGCCATGCTCCTATCTCGTGGGATGCTGAAGTTCCTGTGGGCAGAGGCCATTAACTATGTGGTGTAGCACTCAGCCTTACGCTGAGCTCATATTCACTGATTTCCTGATACATATCCAATGCCCATCATGCACTAATCACTTCCTGATGTAACCTGACACTAACCCGCTCAATCCGACACTATCCTGACATGACCTGATACTTTGACTAGTGGACCCGACGTTTCAGCTGCATCGGCTGACCCAAAATCCTGCGCTCTTGTCCTATCTGTGTCCCATCCCGTCTTGCTAAGCCCCACTAGGTGTGTAGTTGATCATTTTGCACATTACTCATGTCGTAGCCAGCACTATTACATGTTTTCCTGTTGTCCGAAGCACCTCATGTTTATTTACATGTACTTCAGATCCGAAATAGTCTGCTGCTACTTTTGCCTATAGGATTCCGGATTTCTACATACTTACATATATATTGGACTGACTGTGAGTATTATCATCATCCAAGTAGTAGGGAGCCGTTTCCTGATACTTAGTGGTCAAACCTGATATTTTGTATTTCTTAGTTGACAGTGTGAATATTATTGCTCTTTCTATCCAAAATACCTGTCATTATCATTAATCTGCATACCACTTGCTTTCCTGACATTCACTATTGCAATTCCCAGTAACCTGCTGTAGCACTTGGATCGGTGCTGGGCATGTATCCTGCCAATCTCATAGGTGTCTCACATTACACTCCTCGACACTCCTCTTACCTTCTGAGAGTTCTGTGCATTCATCCGAGTCGTCCGAAGGTCGTCCGTCCCCTTCTGAGGCCTGTATACACTTCTGATCCTCTGTACCATGTCCCATCCATGTCTGTTTGACTTCACTGGTGTTACAAGTAACATCGGTCACACGGCCCCCCTATCATTTTCTCTTCATCCTCGCCCTCACCATCTACCAGCTCATCCTCCTTTACTAACTATCTGTTGACCGGATCCTCAGGACCATTCCTGTCCCTCGCGTCATCTGCCTCTATGCATGTGCACACACATTCCTCCTATGACTCAACCACCAATGTGGTCCTGCACCTCTGACTCGGTCTGACTCATGCCACCAATGTGGCTTTCCTTTTCTGTTCTCTCCTGACTGCACTTCTCGCATGTTGTATTCTTACCGTTGGATCGTTCCAACGTTTCTCAGTCTCATTCCACATTTCGACTATCCATCACTAATCTGGCTGTGTTGCCAGCGTACCTATACCATTCTCATTTCCCCTTCACCCTTACCTACAGTATGGTAACCCAGCCCTCAACCCTTTCCACTTAGTATAAGTAGTCGGTCACCCTGTATTAGATTCTCTAACTTGAATTTACCCAATCTTCCCTGGAAGATACTTCTCTCTGAAGCCTCTTCAGCTTCAGTCTCTAGTATCTTTTCTTAAGTGCTCTCCACACTTAAGTCTACCTCGATCGACACTCATCATTCGGACAAGACTGTCCTTACTTTGAGCCTGGTGACTTTGAAGACATCTGTCTTAGAAGTCACATGACACACATGTCTGTGATCGCTGCTGACTCGACATTGCCAGTCTCACTCGCTATACCGGACCCTTCCAGTTATGTCATGAACGTTAGCGGACAACACCCCTCTTAGGGCTCCGCATAACAGACCTATTTGAGTGCATAACAGCTGGTGTGTTTTTCACTTGTTCATCTGTTATTGATTATGTCTTAGGGGCACATACATCGTCAGCCTGTCGAAAGCTTGATTAATATGTATAGCTGTGCGCCTCGTGTGCTATTACATGCATATTTTTGTAGCGGCTCGCCTTGAGTCTTATTACATTTCAGATAGCTTATCTCGCTACTGTTCTTGCCTACGCAGTTTCTGGACCTTCATGCTGTAGGATATAATCTGGCTCACTAGTTACTCGCACTTCACTTCACTTCCCTTGCTATGAGTCATAGCTAGTAGAGTCACTTTCAGATAGTCATACTTCGCGCAATCGATCCTCCTTGTTCATTTGGAATGATTGTTTGGCTTGACCACTGCCATTTTGCATCTCACTGTCTTAGAGTTCTTTCAATAGGCTTTGCTTAGTCGTACTTTGCAAGTCTTGCACTTTGGCATAACCGCCATATTTGACTCTTGGAAACCTTGCTGTTTTATCGGAAGCTCTTCGGATGCTTTGCACAACCTCAGACCTTCATTTCTTGATGTTGGACCACCTTCAGACCACATCGGATGAGTACTTTGGTACTTCGGACACATCTTCGGAACATCAAGCACACTTTGGGTGACCTTTCTGTTCTTTCTACTTCGGTCTTAACAAGATATCCCTTGCATTTTTATATCAAGAGATAGTTCTATAGGCAGTCTCTTTGGGACGAGCATTACACTCGCACATTGAGTTCTGAAGGTAACACTTTTGTAGTGCCTATACAGAATCAACTCTTTACATCGGGTTTACTGCAGTCAAGTGCTGCTTTCTTGATCTCTCCACATCTACTACACCTCCCATTTCCCAATTGATCAACTTGTTCTTGAAGAGTCGTGGATGCACCATGAATGGTACCAATTATTGGAACTTGTATGCTAACTACTTCAAAGAGCACATGCAGACAGAACTTGTGTGCATTGGCAGAGAGGCCCCAGCTGGAGGTGGCATGCCTAGTAAGTACCATATTATATCTTGTTTCGCACGAGGTTTATATTCCTTATAGGTGCAACCGTGCACTCAGTGTTATGACAAATTCAAAGAGGTCTATCCCGATTCTTACCAAGACCTCCTGTTAATGCACAAGGAGGCATCACTCCTTGGATCATCTACTCAAACAATAGCTCAGCGTGGACAGGGATTCCAGAAACATTATTGAAGAGTAATACAGATTGTATGTTATCTTGCCTGAACTTTTCATCATCATCTCACATTATTATCGTAGCTCAAGTCTGCCTCTGCTAAATCTGGCTTTGAAGCAGCCATCGTCCTATGTGGCAAAGTAGTCAATGAAGATGGGTCACTCAGCCATTCATATAATATGCCAGGTGCTGCAGGGGTAAGATTCTTTGTCATCCAAATCCTCACATATACTTAGAAAGATACAATTCTGGAAAACACAATGTCATGCGAGCGATGATGCCATCATTGGGCATCTTAAAGCACATGTGTAGTAAGTATAAATATATCTATGTTTATGCTATGACTGACATGTGTCTTCAAATAGTAATACCACATCCTTGGCCGAGGTGGATGAAGCATTCCATAACGATGCTCACAGTGACACATTGACCCCCACTCACCTCCAAACAATGGTCGTGATCAGTCTCAAGCTCCCGAGGAATGGAATGATGGTTTGAAGTGGGTTAAGCTCAAACTGATCAAACAAGTTGGTATGTCAATGTGTCACTGGTCTTTTGATTTATTTGATTAAATGTATACTAGCCCAGCTTGGGGGCAAGTGTGCCTGGGATAAAAACTTTCCTTGGAAGGGCATGTCCAGTGTGCTTGCTGATGCCAATCTCTGCATCAAGGGATATCCAGCTAACAGGTGTCTCTTGCCTAGTGAAGCTCACAATGAGAACTCAAAGAATAAGGGCATTGGAGCGCTGACACAGAAGGAAATTGTGGTGCTCATGGAGGCATTGAAGTCAGGAACCATGCAAGGTGTCAAAGTCGAAAAGAAGTATTGAGGTAAGATTCTCATTGTAAGAACATTCTAATTCTAATATTATGTGCAGCATCTATTATGGCATCTGAGAGGCCCATTATCACAGGCATAGTGCTTCCATCTGACTGGTCACACACTGGTGCTAGATGACTGTTTGTTAATGGTGACACTGACTACCACAACCCAGCTCATATCAAGCCCAGCAATGCAGCTACCAAAGTTAAGAAGGCCAATAAAGTGACAAAGGTCCCTCCACCACCTGACACCAATGACGATGACAATTCAGATGATGATGATTCAATAGTATCTACTGCTTGCAAGTTCAGAAAACCTACCATGAGATTATAAATCGTGGCACCACCACCATCGTGTCCATTTAAAGTTGTTACACTGCCACTCTCACACCCACTCAAAGTCACTCCAAAGCTAGGACTGACTGCTGCAGCACAGAGTGAGGTGATTGAACTTACTTTGGCTGGAGAAAATGCCACCAGAGTCTGACTCTGAGTATGAAAAAGCACATGGGAAGAAGAGGAAACTGAAGTTTGTGAACACGTCACATACATCAAAGAAGCCAGCCCCATCCAACAAGAAGGCTGCATGGCCGAAGCAACCCAAAATGCCTGGCCTACCAATATCAGCAACTTCTCCAATGAAGGGTGGCCCTCTGTCTCCATTGACAGTGGGGTCATCAAGTGTGGCAGCATCACTAGAGCCTGAGACTGCTGGTGAGTACCCTTTATTTTAAATTAACTTTACTTGATACAAGGTGTATAGCTACAGCACCAGCATTCCTCCAGGATGGTCCCTCTAACATACACACAAAGGGTAAGCTTTTTTTTCAAAACAGATATTCTTGCAAAACATTTAATGATCTACCGTCTACTATCTACCCCCTAGTAAAAGCATGCCCAATCACAAAGGAATTCAAGGATGAAATGAAACAGGCTCTTTGCATGGTGTACAGGCACTCAGATGGACTGAAGTTGATGAGGGTGAGAAGACAGATGTGGTTGTGAAGAGTGCTGTCTCTGCTGATTTAGATAATATCCCTGAGGAAATATTACAGAAGGACTTGCCTTCAGAGGTGATGCAGGATGACAGACCAGCAGGAGATCAGGAATCACCTCAAGTCACCAATCCCATTGAGGATCCTCATACCATTGATGACTCTCGTAACCCCTGTGACACTCCAGCTAATGCTCCAGCCAACCCACCCCAAGCTCATCATGAGCTCCCTGTCCATCGTGACTCTTGCAAGGGTATTCAGCGAGGCTCTGATGAAGGTATCTAGCGAGACCCTCATGAGGGTAACACTATACACCACTCACAGGAATCTCAATGTGAGGTTGTCCACAACCATTGCAATGATTCTTATGAGGGTGAGCCTCTTCGTAATCCTTACGACCCTCATAATGATATCCTTCATGACCCTCAAGACACTCCACATTATGCCTCTTGTAATACCTTGCATGATCCTCATCAGCCTCTTCGCAGTCATTCTCATGAGCCATGGTACATGCATGAGGCTGTGCATCATTGTGAGGTCCACCATTCACATGAAGATACCCCAATCACTGAGCGTGATGCTCTCTACCCTTGCAATGCCTTCTACCACCATGACTCCCACAATTACCACCATGCTGGTTTGCAACCTCATAACAATTATGGACCTGAGCCTCATGCTAATAGTGAATTTGCCATGTGAGATAGCTCTCCGGCCTTAGAGGTATACCATGATGACCATTATGCTCACCATGAGTGTGAATGCACATACCCAAGTCAATATAGTCCAGGACTTGGTCCTGACTATGCTCGTGAGAGTGGATACTCTCAACATGATGACTTTGATGAATAGCAGGCATTTGGTGGAGGAACTTACTGTGACAATGGGTACCCTCAAGGCAGAACTCGTTACCAAATTCCAGATGGACAGATCGTGTCCGTAATACTCCACCTTTGGACTATGTTCCTCATGATGTTGTGCCACAATCATTTAGTCGAGATCCTATTAACCCTTCTCGCCCTCCTTCATCTTAATTTTCTTTCAATTTGCATGCACCTATGTTTTTTTTGGATGCTATTTTTGCTCATCTTTTTGTGCTGTCTTTGTGTTTTTGTGGTGATGATTGTTATGATGGTTTGCTCACTCCCAACTTGTCCTATGCTAATCTTGCCCTGTCCCTCTCATACCCTACTTATGTTACTATGGAATTGTTGTTTTGATGTCTCCTTGTTTTGACAATGTCAGTATAGCAGCTCCAACACCTGCTCTTGTTTGCATCAGAACATGTTTGAAAATGCTGTGAATCTTAAGAATGATGATACCAGAGTGCAATATATATTATTAGAATATCATAACTACAATAAAACAAAAACATAACATGGGGAGAGAGAACATGTGAGAAGATGACATAGTAGGTATAAGTAGAAACACATGAGATATGTCATGGCAAGGAAAAACATAAGTCATATGCAAGGAGCGCCAGAGGCTCTAGATTACATCATCAGGGCAAGGGAAAAATAATACATGCACAAGGAGCACCAGCGGCTCTACTAGTGGATTATCTTGAGGGTAGTGGGACTTAGTATGATATCATGCTGGAGGCTCTAGATGATCTTGAGGGCAGCAGGACCTACAGTAACAAACTAAAGGCTCTCTAGAACTACATAGGACAACCAGAGCCAACCCTCTGACGAGACCTACAAGAGGATTTGAGGGAGATCCTCCTACAAGAGGGTTGTCTCAGAGATGGGTTTGGTCCTACATGAAAACCAGGTCTGACAGACTGTGGGAAGCACAAAAAAGTGCTGCCAAGGGTGGTTTTAATTACATAACACAAAAGGTTCCCATGCATCAGCATATAGGTGCCTGAATGTTTGGATCCAACAAAACCCTTTTTCCACTGTAATGATACAACAATAGCTAGGCACTACACGAAGTAAGTAACCAGCAATATAAAATGTTGTGGTCTTGCACAGCCTAGTCTGCTATACTTGCGAGATAAGTGCATTTGACCTGAGGGGTTAGCTGTTTGGAATAGGTCTGAAGTTAGTGAAATGATAAATGGTCAAAAGTCTGAGTGTGGGAAACAATGTCTGAAGGTATAATTACGAGTCCAATACCAAAGCATCAGGTCCAATGTTTTTCAGGTTTAGCATGTTACTGGGTTCAGGTTTGGGTCCAGCAGATCATGGGGAATAGTGATAGCAAATGTCAGGAGAGCGAGCGGTATGCGGATTAATGATGATGACAGGTATTTCAGATAGAAAGAGCAGTAATATTCGCAATATCAACTAAAAACTACAAAGTATCAGGTTTGATCCCTAAGCATTGGGAAATGGCTCCCTACTACTTAGGGATCCGCACAGGTATACCCCCAGGTGCCGGAGGTCGTACCCATACCCGTACCCATAGATATACCCGTACCCCAATAGCAGGTATGGTTTTTGTGACGGGTATGAGGGTATGAGACCCGGGGTATGACCTGTTGTAGAGATACAACAATTGCTGGGCACTACACAAAGTAAGTAGCCAGCAATATAATAATGTTGTGGTCGTGCACAGCCTAGTCTGCTTTACTTGCAAGACAAGTGCGTTTGATCCGAGGGGTTAGCTATTGGATTGGTCTGTAGTTAGTGAAATAATAAAACGGTCAAAAGTCCGAGCACGAGAAACAGAGTTCGAAGGTATATTTACGATGTCCGATGCTAAAGCGTCGGGTCCGATGTTTTCGGGTTTCGGGTGCGGGTTTAGCGGGTTAGCGGGAATGGCGATAGCGAACGTCGGGAAAGCGAGCGGTATGCAGATATATGATAAGGACGGGTATTTTGGATTGAAAGAGCGGTAATATTCGCAATGTCAACTAAGAACTACGAAATATCGGGTTTGACCACTAAGTATCGGGGAATGGCTCCCTACTACCTGGATAATGAAAATACTCGTAGTCAGTCCAATATATATATAAGTACGTAGAAATCTGGAAGGCCGTAGGCGAAAGTAGCGGCCAACAATTTCGGGTCCGAAGTACATGTAAATAAACACGAGGCGCTGCGGATGATGGGAAAATATGTAATAGCGCTGGCTACGACGTGAGTAATGTGTGAAATAATCAACTATGCACCTAGCGGGGCTAGCAAGACGGGACGGGACATGGATAGGACAAGTGCGCAGGAAAATATTGGGTCTGATGCGGCTGAAACGTCAGGTCCGCTAGTCAAAGCGTCGTGTTTGCATCGGGTTGTGCGGGTTACATCGGATAGTGACGGGCATTGAACATATATTGGGAAATCAGTGAATACAAGCCTAGCGCGAGCTCGAGTGCTACACCATCAAGGGTATACCCGTGGGTACAAGTAGAATAATGCAGTGAACTATGACATGGTGTAGTAGTACCTATCCTACTCAATGATAATGCAGTCCCAGCCTTCGTTGAGCTCCTCTTCATCATCTTTAACATCAGGCAAAGAAGTCACCTTCAAAACATCCTCGTTCTCGATTAAGTTGAGTTTGCTCCATAAACCAAGGCAAAGAAGAGTGCGCGTTGACTGAGCCATGAGCCGTGAGTGAACATGAGAAAGCAAAAGCCGACCTCAGCTGAATAGCCGTTCAACATCCACTGAAGTTGCTATCTAATAATTAGGGCACTGAATAACCATAAGAGCGACAGAGCTCACCAGGGATAGTCAAATAATCCAGAGCCATGCGGGAGAGATGAGGAAAGGAGCCACGACATTCATGCCACCATGTGATTGCATTGTTGGCACGCTCCACGTCAGTACTAAGGTAACAATCTACTGTTGGATTATGAATGTACTTACCGGTGAGCACAACTTGACTGGAACCTCTCGATTACATAATGTTTTGTAATATGGACCATAGACCACATTACTTAGCATGACGGACTGGCTATCTTTTATTAGTGTACTATAGTATAAATACTGATATTTTAGATGTAGATAGTCTAGAGAAAATAACTAGTGTTTTCGATCTCAAACCACAGGTTATGAGCCCTGCGTTATAGTGCTTACTCTCACTCATTCTTGTTGTTGCTCTCACTGTTGATTCAAACATTCTCGCACTCTCACTTACATCATCATTGTTTGCCTACTGGGGCCAAATCCAGCAAGTTGTTGTTGTTGTTGTTGTTATTGTTCTTGCACCGCTGCTCAAATTTCCTTTTTTCGGTATTACTCACACATTATGCCGTCCAACAACTCATTTCCGAAGCTCGATGAAGCAAATTACTATGAATGGAGAATGTTGATGGAAGCTGTGTTGGTTCGGAAGGGATTGAAAGATTATGTTGATGGGACAAAAGTAATGCCACTTGGAAGTCCAGGCTCGAAAGGTGTCAAGGATTTTGTTTGAAAACAAGCAGAAGCTCAAGCAGAAATTGTGCTCCATGTTGAAACCTCCCAACTCTCTCATGTCCATGACCTCGATCCTACTGTTATATGGGCCAACCTCGAAACTGTCCACTGCGCCCATGGTTTTGCCACCCGCCTCATGCTCCGCTGCAAATTCCACACACTCAAGAAAACTGATGACATAAGCATGCAAGCATGGATCACTAAAGTCCGACGCACCGCATTCCAATTAAAGGAAATTGATGTCGATGTTTCTGATGAAGATCTTATTCTCATTCTCACTCTTGGTCTTCCCCCATCCTATGAAAATTTCATTGTTTCCCTTGATGGTACCCCATCCAATGATCTCACACTTGAGCATGCTATCACTCGCCTCATGAACAAAGAAGCTTGTCAACTCCATGGCTGTGATATTGGAGAATCACATGACGCCACTCTACTTTCCCATGCTACTTGTCGTCGTGTTCCACTAGAGAACATCACTTGCTTCAAATGTGGAGAAAAAGGACATTATCAGTCACACTGCCAGAAGGAAAGTGCTACAACTGCTATTAATAATTTTGCATTCTAGTTACATTTTTGCGCTCAAGGAGGACTGTTGGATTATGAATGTACTTACTGGCGAGCACAACTTGACTGGAACCTCTCGATTACGTAATGTTTTGTAATATGGACCATAGACCACATTACTTAGCATGACGGACCGGCTATCTTTTATTAGCGTACTATAGTATACATACTGATATCTTAGATGTAGATAGTTTAGAGAAAATAACTAGTGTTTTCAATCTCAAACCACATCTACCTCATCATGGAGGTCAGTAGATTTGGGTGGTGTGAGAGCTGGTATATGATCAAAGATATTCTTGCTCTAGGAAAAACATGACATTAGCGAGTGAAAAAACAATGAAATAGAGCGTACCATGGAAGAATCAACATCCATCAAGCCAGCAGGCTCCTCATCCATCTCGGTGTCCGTGTCATTCTTGATGTCCAGGATTGAGTAAGAGCATTCAAATTCCTCATGCACCAGGGTTTCGGCAGTGTTGATCCACTCTTCTGTCCATCCAGCATTCTTGAAGTATGATAGTTTATGCTGTGGATGCAAAACTATTTTCTGATTAGTGAAGGAAGCAAGAAAGTGAAAAGAAAACATGCACCCATTGCTATACGATATACTTCGGATTTATCGGTAAGCTCATAGTAGCGGTTCAGAGTTTCCTTGGCGAGATGCACAGCCGCATGAATAGAGGCACAATATTTCTGGTTCCGGGAATAACTTGTGAGTGTCTCATGGATTAGGTCCATGGCAGGAATCACAGTGGCCAAGTTAGGCGTGGAGCAAGAGAAGAATGTAGTTGCATCTTTGAGAATCTATAATGTAAACCTTAGTTGATAACCTATTAAGACTAGACAGTGCATTAGCTATAAACGTCCGTTAATGTCTAGGTATATCTCGGATATGCAAAGAGCTCACCCTCAGTCGTAATGGAACAGACTGATATATTATGATATACCTAGACAGTGCATTAGCTATAAACATCTGTTAATGTCTAGGTATATCTCAGATATGCAAAGAGCTCACCCTCAGTCATAATGGAACAGACTGAGGGGAGAATATGAAGCACAACAGTCTATATACGATGGTTTGTATTCCAACAGTTCGACTCCGCTAGGCGCATCGCGTCGTGTCACGTGCAAAGCACTAACACTCCTCCTCGATGTGATAAGCATCAACTCCTCCTTGATTTCTCACTGTAGACCCAGGCATGCATGTAGACGTTCGAAATCCTTACGTGGGAGAGCTTTAGTGAAGATGTTGGCCGCGTTATTCATAAATTTAACATAATGAAGTTTGATTTGTCCGCAAGCCACGCGTTCCCGGATAGAGTGCACGATGATCTTGATGTGTTTTACTTTTGAATGATACAATGCATCTTCGGAGAGGGTGATACCTCCAGTGTTGTCGCAAAGGAGGGGAGTGGCGGAAGGCTGAGTGAATTCGAGCTCGCGAAGCAAGGTACGGAGCCATGCAACTTCTTTAGATGCTTCAAACGCAGCGATGTACTCGGCCTCACACGTAGACAAAGAGATTGTCTTTTGTTGGCAAGCGCTCCAAGTAATGAGGCCACTTCCGAGGGTAAAACAATAGCCGCTGATGGATCGTTGTGTATCAGGACAGTTAGCGAAGTCGCTGTCAGTGAACCCTAGAAGATGAGCAGGATGTTCTCCCCTGAGAACGAGCTTCAAGTCCCGAGTCCCCTTAAGATAGCGCACGACTCGTTTGGCGGTGTCCCAATGAACGTGTCCGTAACAGTCGAGGTGACGGCAGAGTTGTTGGACGGAATGGGCAATGTCCGGGCAAGTACCAACGGCGAGATACATTAGTGATCCCACTAACGACCGGTAAGGTGTGCGAGACATAAGCTCTCATTGATTGTCGGTGGAGGGGGCATGGTTGCAATGGGAGAGGTGTAATCCAGCCTCCATTGGAGTGGAGACGGGGACGGCGTCTTTTAAGCTGAATTGAGTAACGACTCTGTCGATGAGCACCATTTGAGATAGGCTGATGGTGCGTGCAGCTCGATCCTGTTCGAGGGCGATGCCAAGGCAGAATCGGGCTTCTCCAAGGTCTGAAACAGTCCATTTCATACGCAGTTGATCCTTGAAGTGCGTAATCGCACCCTTAGAGCTCCCAACAGTGAGAAAATCGTCAACATGGATCGCAACGAGGAGAATTCCTACGGATGTCCGTCGATAGTAGATGCAGTGTTCACATTTGAGGCACATGAATCCCCAGGAAATCATGGTGTCATTCATCGTCCGGTTCTATATTCTTTCGTCGCATTTTGTTGAGTCAAGCGCAAGTAGCTCCAAGGCAGGCATACATCGCAGAGCTGGAAGAAGGTCCTGCAAGCGCGTTCATGCACGGTATTATTGTCTTTCTTGATGTCATAGTCGAGCCGCCCCCTCGTTCTTCGAAAAGAGTTCAGAGGGATATCAAGAAACTGGGACTCAACACCATGCATAATGATGTGTGATCTCATTAACATTCCTTGACACCTGGACACACGATACCTTACTTTCTTAGCACCCATCTTCGGCACAACCGTGATAATGCGCTCTTCATTGGCGATCCCCTGTCAAAGGTGCCAGTTACTTCCCACAGCAAAATTCAGATTCACTTACTCTCCCCGCTAATAAAAAAACAGTGACAGGCAAAGCACTAAAGCGCCAGGGTTCCATATTCACGCATTACCAAGAGACAATACGTTCCTGCTGACCTAAGCTAGCTAAACAAGCTGAGACGGTTCTAACCAAGCCGAGATGTTTCTAACCGGGGGGACGTCCTGTAGTCTTCGCTTTTGTTTTTGCTGTTTTGCTTTGTATCGTAGTCTGGCTTTAACACTACAGTTCCATTTTGCTACCATCCTGTCCCCTTGGATCCGGCGTGCTCTGGTAGCCGCTGCATAGTTGTATTTAGTGTCTTCTCTGATGTTTCTTGGAATCTGGCAATATGGGGGGAGATTTATAAATAATTATAAATATATGTAAACCTAAACAAATACCTTTAGCACATCACAAAGCTGCTGCGCTATCTCCCATTCGACGTCGGTGAGTTCAAACTTGCACAAACCTAAGCCTCAGGTTTGTGTTACAACATTGATTGCATCCCGATGGTCCAGCGCATATTTCAACATGTTGAAGGTCGAATTCCACCAGGTAGCGACGTCCTGTGGCATATTGCTAATGGACTGGCCAGATGCACACAGTGCTTTGTGCCATGTGGGGAGGAGTACAGTAGTCGAGTGAATGAGTTTGTAAGCAAGCTTGTGCAGCTAGATTCTGGCATGTCAATTTCAAAGGTGCACATTGTCTTTTTTCACTCACCTTCACTAATACTAACTTTATGGGACAAATCTCTCACTGCAGCTCATTCCTCTCCCGCTCTGGCAGCAAACTTACTTCATCCACCCATCCTTCATCATTATCGTCATCCCCAGCACCCCCATATTCTTTGGGAATCACATCTTCAGTTTCAGCACTCGCCTCATTGAAATCATCCTCTGGCTCAGATATTTCCTCCTCAAGCGCCTGATTGGCGTCTTTCTTCGTCATGTCGAATTCCCTTATCAACGACTTAGCAATGAGGTTCACCATATGCAAGAAACATCGAGTATGATTTGGGGCTCCAGGAAACGATGGGAGCATCTCGGCCAGCTTTTCAACCATCACCATGTTATTCGAGGCGTTATTGCATGTGATGCTGAGTATCTGAATCTGTGTCCTGCTGGTGAGTGACAATCCTCAACCCAACAATTGACTAACTTTCTCCGATATCCCATACTCCTCCAGAATGTCTGCAAATGTTTGTGCGAGTTCCTCTCCTGTGTGCGACTGTGATTCAATCAGCTGAACAATTTGTAAATACATTGTAAGTGACTATGCACCTTTGCGACCTCAATAATATCTAATGGCAATGTTAGTGGCTTGCCGTTGAGTTTGAGGTGGACCGAAACTGCAACAAATGCTCTGTGGTTGGGTGATGTCCAGCCATCAGTAGTAAAATTGACTTTTCCTGGGTATCCCTGGTATGTGCATGTTATTTTGTATGTTTTTGACTTCAGGGAAAACTTACCTTGATCATCCCAGCTATCCGCTCTCATGTCTGTGCAAAAACCATTTGAACATCCCTAGCGACAGTAGAAGGAGACAGTATGTAGTATTCTGGCCGTCCTGTCTTCATGAGTGACTGAAACCCTTTGTCTTTGACGATTTCGAACGGACGCAGGCTTTCGGAGACCCAATGGACAAGTTTGGCCCTATCAATTGAGTCAGAAGGTACTCTTGATGCAATCAAGGGCCACGTACTTTGTCTCAGCTCGTGTGTGCTGACGATGAGAGTAAGTCACCTTTCCTTTGCCCTTGCATTCAAATGAGGCTGTAATTGACCCATTGCGCAGGAAGCTGCTGACAATTTTTTTGCGAACTTCATTAGCATCTTTGGCCTGGTTGGCGGCTTGCAAAACATCCTCTCCCCAACATGCCCAAACATGTTTTCACATGTTTCCAGTGGAACAGGCATCACCCTTATCCAGGAAACATTGGACTTTCGCCTTACATCCTTTTGCCTGACATTTGAATTCATGTGCCCGCCATCCTCCAATTTCGACAATATTTGGTGTTGGATGAAAGAAGGCATAGACCGGTGAGACCCACTCTCACATGAGATGTTCTAATGATGTTGCATTAGATTTACAGATTTATTAATGTACTTAGTTCATCTTGTGGATCCTGTTCTTTCTCTCCGCTTTGTGATTCCTCGTCACTCTCTTTCAGGTCAGCATCACTTCTGTCTGCTTCTTCCTCCTCCTCCGTGTGAATGACTGCACAACGACTTTTGTCAGTCAGAGGGGGGGTTGGTGTAACAGATGTTACTGGTATTGGTGATGTCGATGGCAGCGACACTGTCATTCTGGGGGGGAGTGGTATCAGCAGGTCAGTTGGTTTTTGCCTTCTTCGGCAAAGGATTAATGGTTTCTCCACTCGCTTCAGGTTTACGTTTCTTCGATGAGGTCCACATGGTCTTCTCTTTCAAAGCAGCCTTTGCTTTGCCTGTCATCTTACTTACCTGTCTCGCTGTCGCAGCAAAGAAATTGGATTGTGACATGGTGAGGGATGGATGAAGTTGAGAGCGAAAATTTGCATGCAGGGTAGTTACTAGTGAGGTAGTATTATATCATATATGATATATCGCAATTTATGTTTGACAGATGGCAAGTTAGTTTGACAGATGGGTGCTAGTTGCATGGTTGCATGATACCATTCTAATTTAAGTTTAAAGTTTGTTTGTTGAACATTTTGGTGAAAACCCCTGCCTGGGGTATGGGTATGGGTATGGGTACCACTAAGTTGTACCCGTACCCGTACCCCAGGGGTACCTGTACCTGGGACCTGTGTGGGTTACCTGTACCCATGTGGATCCCTACTACTACTTGGATGATGAATAATGCGATAGGGAGTCCAATATATATGTAGTACATAGAAATCTGGAAACCTATAGCAAAAGTAGTATCTGAATATTTCAGGTCCGAAATACATGTAAAACAACATGAGGTACTGCAGACAATGAGAAAACATGTAATAGCACTGGCTATGGCGTGAGTAATGTGTGAAATAAGGAACTACGCACCTAGTGGGGCTAGCGAGACAGGACAGGACATGGAGAGAGCAAGTGCACAGAATTTCAGGTCGGCCGATGCGGCTGAAACATCAGGTCCACTAGTCAAAGTGTTGGATTGTGTTGGATTGGGCAGGTAAGCATTAGATTACATCAGGGAATATTTGGTGTGTGATGAGCATTATACATGTACCATGAAATCACAGGATATGAGCCTAGCGTGAGATTGAGTGCTACACCAACCTGAAAGTATCAGATCTGACATTTTTGACTTTGAACTATCCTGCTTTTTATATAACTAATTATTCTACTTCCAAATAGCAAACCCCTTGGGTCAAACACACTTGTCTCACAAGTATAGCAGACTAGGCTGTGCAAGACCACAACATTTATATTTGGCTGGGTGCTTACTTTGTATAGTGTCCAGTCATTGTTGTATCATTACAGTACTCATCCTTTTTCAAGGCTTTGTGATGCTGGGTTGGGCATGAGGATAATGTGAGGATAATTGAAAATTCAGTGACACAAACAGTGCAACACATTGCTCATTCTAGCTTGTGACTATCCATGGACTTATGGAACACTAATATGTCTACCATGAGATACTCCCCAGCAGTGCAGATACCAGCTGACCAAACCAATAATAGAGAAGTTATGCAAAAGAAGCTAATTGATTGCCCAATTTCCAACCATGATCCTGTGTCATATGTCAATTCAATATAATCTGACCACCACTACTAGTCTACTCACCAGTATCTGTGACATTCAGGAAAAATGTCATTGTCATTCCTGATCCAGATATTAGTGAGCAGTGCAGTTCAAAAGGAATAACCCACCATCAGTGAGTGTCAGAGCAATGAGGAATAGCAAGAAGGGTGGTAGGTGGAGTCTTGCATTCAAAGTGGCAAAAACAACTGACAAGATTACATATGGAGCAACAATTTTGAATATCTGGGGCAATCCCTTCAAGCTTCAGACTGGTATGTGAAGCAATGTTTGAAGAACCCACTAATAACGCTGCCATCAAGAATGGATTAAAAATTGGCACCAGACTGTACACAGGTTCCAAGTAGAATGATCTACGAGAGGTGAGTGGCAGAGCTAGATCAACTCGTCAGGAAACTCACGAAATTGGAGCAACACTGGACATCAACATCAGCACCACAAAGGTCAGTCCTGTCCATCACTCACTTTCCGGTTCCAAAGAAAGCCACCTGAACGAAAAACAAGAAAAAGAGTGCTATTTTGATATTGTCAGTGTGAAACTCATATCCTTGATTCTGCGAAGCAGCCCCAGCTCGATTCGACTGAACGATTGCTTCAACTTCTATCCACAAGAGTAAATTGCATGTGAAAGCAACATAGAATAGGCCTTCAACACTGATCGAAAGAATGATGAAACAGATGCCGAAGCTCAGGAAAAGCGATATGATTCTGGAGGTTGGAGTGCTGTGCTGTGCTTTAGAGATGAATGGATATATCGACGATACAGCTGAGAAGTATAAAAGTCAGATGAATAATTGATGTCAGTTGATTAGCAAGGGTACCGAGTATGAGCCATGCTGAAGTTTGGTTAATTATGGACAATCCCTGCTTTGCTTGTAAACTTTTGACTGAGCTTGCAGTAACTGTCATGGCGAGCAAGATAAACAACATCTTGGATACGAATGAGTTAACTACATGACGCCATTTACAACTACCTACCTGGGTGATTTTAGATAGTTTTGCAGCCTTCGGAGCACCATCCAATGCCAAACGCGTACAACCTGCGCCAACTGCAAGGATCATTGCCCCTCCGCACATGCTAGCACATGAGCAATATGCACAAATCTGTCAGGCTGCGCTCACATCATGTACAGATCCTCTCTCTTGTTAACGCTGAGTAGTGGGAATATGCCAGTTACAGGACAGTTACTCATCCAAGAAAGTAAGAGTCTCGGGTGTTGCGACCGAACGTGACTTGGCCATGACGCATATGGCCATAAAATGCCCATGGCCAAAGAACCAATGCTTCATAGCGACCGGTGAGTGTAGGCAGCCTGAATCATTCGTAAGTCAAACAAGCTTCATAACATGAACAAGGGCCGACGCACGACCATACACTGGAGCACAACCACTACAATAATCAAGTGAAACAACACTTTGTCTATAAAATGACCGCGTCTGTCGCTCGACTTGAATTGTTGCACAACGATTGGAACTCCACGCAATGCGAATTGCTGCCAGAAGTAGCAGGGGAAGGTTACGTAGACATAAAACGTCCATGGAGCTCTCTCTGCGGCAAACAGTGCCCAAAATATTGCTAAAATATAGTTGCGGTGGCAAGTCTGACCACGGTACGCTGCCTGTCTGAAACCGAGGAAGCTGGCAGGGGGCAAATTGACAACGATGCATAAGCAGACCATCCCAGATATACTACTATGACGATGATCCGTATAAGTACTCGATTATAGCTGCATTCTCTCAGTAATTGTTTCTAGTGGTAGTCGAGCAGCTTACGTTTCGAGATATCGAAGACCTTGTAGAGTAACCTTGATGAGTTCAGTTGTCTCTCGATGGCCTTCGATTCTACCAGGCAGCTAGTTATGGACAGAGAAGCCAGATAGCGCATTTGGGACGCACCGTGTTTTACTCGGTAGTGTTCTAAAATACTTTCTGCATTTGCCAATGCAAGCCGGGCCAAGGCTGACTCTCCTTCTCGCGGTAGCAAGTAGCCAGGTCACGTAGGATCTGCATCAGGAAGGATTCCCACTGAATTTACGGGGTAGTTAATACCAAGTAGCGCAGCCATCAGGGGTGCAAGATCCGCTTGTTCCACGTCTCGTCGCAGAAATTCGTCAAGTTGCTTGACGAAAGTACTCATCGTGCAAGGAAGGAATGATATCAGGAAGTGGGCCCCTGATACCTCGCCCCCATGCAATTAGTGGGGTACGTGTGTTGTCCGGGTCTGCGAATGCGAACTTCTTCAGCACCTCATTGTTAAGACTGATACAGCGCGGACCTCACCAACATCTCCATGATTGCCGATCCTAGACATGCCGCGGTCAGCTGTAAATACGAAGTTCGTCTCTTCATCATGGTAGAAGTTGGAGAAAAGTTCTTCTGTTTGTTGGACGATGCGATCGACGACTTGGATATTGTTCATGTATTCCTGTAACGAAGTAAATCAATAAAAGCGCACTGATAGAGATGCTCACCTTGGAGTGTGGCCTATATGAGTGACCAGTGGTATCCAAACCAAGGAGGTGCAGGAAGAATACCACTTTGTCGGCACGTAATTCTGAATCAAGCAAGTCGTTCAATGATGCGTTCTGAAACAACGTCCAAAGTTGGTCCAAAACCCAGATATCTAGAGCGGTGGCATCTATCCGGTTGGTCTGATTTAATAGCATGACTGTAGTAGTGCTGGACATTCGTGCCTTTCGTAAAGTCTTCGTCTTCCTCATCGTAGCTCCAAGTGTCAACTTTTCCCGGCGTTGCACCTTGGGCAAACATTGGTAATATATCTGGGGAGCCGAAGGAGAAAGTGTGACTAGATTGATTGAAGATGGAGTCGAAGTGAACCTGGAGAAGGAATGAGATATTGCTCGCAGTGTCTGTTGCGATGATACTGACTGGATTCGTTTTCCAACCCTATCTCACGAGTCTCGTCAGTGTATAACAACAATAAGAAACCAGAAATTGACTCTTTACCTTGGTCACAGCGGATATATCCTCATACATACCCCCTTATATTTTCTTAAGTCAGCCCAATATTACTGACGTATCGGGCAGTGGCATACCAATGATTGCGACATGCCCAGGTCGACTTTCCGTTGGTACTCGAGTGTGCGACAATCCAAACGCCCCTCGCGTTTGAATAATATCACGCACATAAGGCACTACAATCTTTGGTAAGGAAGAGAACGCGTCCACACCAAATAGAAGGTCTGCGCGAAGACTGTCTCCTGATAGAAATTGTAGGTCAGTGAGCAGTTGGTGCTACGGAAGGTGAAGGTATACTTGCCCACAATGAGAACGACTCGTTTTGCTTCCCCAGAGCCAGCCCTGCGAGGAAGTATGCCATGGACGACTAGGCTAGTGAAGTATCAGTCAAAAACAGAAGCAATGAATACGACGTGGAAGATGAGTCCCAGCGTTAGCAACTTGAGAGCATTTCTATGTGATGACACTGTCATTTGTATGCTTGAACAGAAGCCGCCGATCTGCAGGTTGCAAGATCTGGGCAAGTATATCATGATAATTCATTCATAATAACGTAGGACCAGTGACACCTATTACACTGCAAAGCGTGTGAATAACATGCCTTTTCAAGATGCGGCACCTCTGCTTGTCCTCGTCAACCTGTTAGAATCCATTGATATCGCTAAACATGGGCTACAAAACCTATACATCGTTCGGACTCCCGACGTTCCTTATCATCATAATTGCTTTGTATTTGCTGTTTACAGGTATGCTAGAAGTCATTTTATTTGTTCCGCAGCACTTGAACACGTTTCGAACAGGTTCTGGAGAAGTGTTCGATGTTGGTCGGTTTCTCGAGGAAACCAGCCCGTTCGTCTGGGGTTCACTCGGAATTGGACTTTGCATAGGCTTGAGTGTTTTTGGAGCAGGATGGTGAGTTTGTATGGTTTCATTCATTCTTGTTTAGTAGCATTGACGCTATTTTGAAGGGGAATATTTTTGACCGGGGCATCGATACTGGGTGGAGGAGTAAGGACTCCAAGGATTAGTACAAAGAATCTGATTAGGTGCGTTGTTTTTATATATACACCGTGCACAGAAGTGACTGAGTGCTGCTCATTGCCAGCATCATTTTCTGCGAGGTGGTTGCAATCTACGGAGTGGTGCGCATTCGTTCCCTCGAGTTTCTGTATCATACTTACCCCATAATAACAGATCATGGGTATCGTATACTCATCCAAACTACAACCGGTGCCCGAAGCGCTGCTGTATACAAAAGATAACTACTTCACCGGTACATATTTCCTCTTCGTTATTTTCATTGAATACCACTTATTAAGCTACAGGATATGCACTATTCTTTGGCGGGCTCACTGTTGGATTGTGTAATCTTCTTTGTGGCCTTTGTGTCGGTATCGCCGGCAGCACTGCTGCGCTCGCTGATGCAGCTGATTCTACGCTGTTTGTGAAGGTACTCGTAGTAGAAGTGTTTGGAAGCGTGCTGGGACTTTTTGGACTCATAAGTGAGTGGAATCATATGTTTCATTATGCAGTGCACTGACCCCACCGAAGTCGGCCTTCTGATGATTGGGAATGCGAAGGAGTTCTTACCAGGATCGCCTGCAGTGTCTGCCGTCTCATGACTTCAGTATCTAGAGCAGACCCTAGCTTCCAGACACTGAATCGTAACGGTGTTTGCGTACCAGCCCCTTGCTCTCGAATCCGATTTTTCAACTTGTATATTTTGCTTCTGTCCCTAGAAATATACTAAGTATCTCCCACAAATCTTGCAGCCCTGCAGCTGGCTAAACAGCATTCGATCCCATCGTCTTGGGCCAGTTGACTCCTTTGGCGAATACCATTTGAACGGTTTCGCCTCAATTCTACCAGTATGTCCAAAACACGACTCGACGCCACCTTCTGTGGAGTATAGAATAGACAGCACCAACAATCAAGTTGCCAACAACCTGTTCTCTACAAGTAGAATCAATTCATCGTGCTTACCCGTCTTTCTACCGCTTTCGTTCTGCTCCTCGGCCTGACGGCCGTTATTAGCGCTGGAGCGCCAGTGAGCCTTCCTCAGGTCAAATCTCATCATATTATCATACGACGTCCGCAATGGGGCAACTGCTGTGTGGGATCGATCCCTTATGCAGAATCAGTTACAAGGAATCTCAAATGTAATATAAGTAGTGCTAGCAAGGATACGAGACGATTCGAGATGTTAGGCGCAATGCCGGTTGTGTGTTTGAATCTGCGTCTATTAAAGTCCAACACTGGGACAGGTACTTGCAGGTATAAATGTTCAAATGCTGCAGGCATAATCGTTGAGTACAGGCGGAATTGACATAGAGTGAAACTCACCCTCTGTCCATCCAAATCGTGGTGATTAGTACTGGAAGACAACAAGTGACATGCCTTTTTTGCATCTGCCCATCCGCAGCCTCAGCAGTCACAAATATAATCACCGCAGCACATGCGCTCCATTACAATATACAACAGCATTCTGAATTATTCAAATAAACATTGGTTGAAAAGTCTTTTGATAGGCATCTGTCCAATTGAGCTGCGTCCAATAGATCCGCATCGAAAATGTCTTCAGATCGTCACCACCGCAACCATTCACCATACATATTTGGTCTTTCTCCACGAATATAGGCCTCAAACGTTCGTTTTAGCACCGTTGCCCAGTCCAAATCGCGCTTGTCATCGGTTATTTTGTCGCTCCAATCATCAGGATCTGCATGAGGGTTGGCAGCAGCGCGCGCTGCCCTTTCACCACCTGCAAATTTCTGCCCCAAGTCCGGCCAATTCCTTGCAGGGTCAAACGGTTTCCACCTTTCATAAAGATCTTAACAAAGGTAATATGAAAAAAAAATTTACTCACCAGAAGTTATGAAAGTGATACGAGAATGCTCCCCTGAAGAACCCCTCAAATCCAACAACCTGCGGCGCAGCACTCTGCACTTCTGGAGTGTCAAAGAAATCAGCAAACCTACGTGGTGGATCGTTAGTAAGTTACAATGACAACCATCTTCAGGAACATACCCGGCGAAAAAGGGGTATGCCGGCCTTTCCAATTGATAACCTTCCGTGTTTAGCCACGCTGGGTCGAATAGCGCGTCCGGAACGCGTAACAAAAGGTTCTCCAGGTGTGCCTCTTTAAGGTACTTAGAGACAGCGACAGGATGAAAATCGAAACCGTTCTTCAATGCGGTGCGGAAGAGGAAAGAACCAAGGGCAGAACCCTTGTTGAGATGGAGTACAGCAGTGTTGTAGTCTTCATGATAGGACCACCGGTAAGCAAAAGCACCTTTCCATCCCCAAAGCTCCTCCCAATCCCTCAAGAAGATGGTATCAGCATCGAGGTAGATCCCTCCATAGCGATGAGTGACGATAAAACGCGCCATGTCAGACAAAATCACAGAAAGCCTGTCATAAGTCGCTTCCGATTTCGAACCAAGGCGATGAACCATGTCACCGGTTTTAGATAAGGCAGTACTAGAATTCCCTGCAGGCTGCTCAGCAGGTACGCTCACAGTTACACCTCCTGAATTGAAGAGAGTGTCCATTTTCCTCCACTCGTCCCTCAGCTCCAGGTTGCTATCAAGCTGTTCCGTCGTGTTCCATAATCTGAATTTGATCACATTCTTGAAACGCGGATGAAGGAAAGGTGCCGCCCACGGGTTCGTTTTCAGTGCGTCGTACATATCTGTGAGCGCGGAAGGATTTGGAACGGCCGCTGCAGGGCCAGGATTAATCCACAACCAGATCTGTGGATGACAAGCGTCGAGGTCTTGCCCCGGTTCAAGATGGAGGCCAAGATTCTGGGTGAAGAGAAAGGATAATAGCGCGACATATGGTTTCTCGTTGAATGGACCTGCCCAAAACATATGGAACAGGCGAAGGTTTTCCGGGTCACAAGCAGTCGAACGGTTTGAACCCACGCTTGGTTGCTCGGGGGGTGGGAGCTCTAGTGGACGTTCCCAGTGAACGTTCCTTTTCTTCATCAATCCTGCATTGGAAATTTGGCGTCCAGTAGGGTATGGCCCAGCAGGCACTATAGGTGCAGCCTGCGTAGCGTGGGGAGGAATTTCTTCCTCTAGTCGATCCTCTTCCATAAACGCGTATTTCCATCCATCAACTGATCCTCGTCGAAGTCTTCGACCATTATCCAAACCAGCGGAGACGCGTAGAAATTCCAAGCAATCGCGGACGTACTACATAACAACGTAAACATATGGGTAAGATCTCCGCGAATGACACACCTTGCCCTCTGAAAAATTGCACTGCTCAAGAACGATATCTAAATCTGCAATGCTTCCGGATATCGGTCTGGGCGGATATGCAGCGCCGATAGACTGCTTCTGATTTTCAAGATATGTCCTACGGGGACCAACTCCCCGTGTAATAGTGGTCACTGGCCCTGGCGGGGGCGTAAAGGGTGAAATGAGTGTGTGTGCCTTTGCTGGAGGCAAGGCTGGATTCAAAATAGCGGAGGTGAAACCAATCTGCTCGGGTACTCAAAGCAAGTCAGCTCCATCTGACATAAGACCCAAAAGCACGTTGTCACTTACTCTTCCCATTGCTGGGGTAATGTCCGCTCTCGATCTCCCACTTCCAAATGTGTTGCAAGTTCTCTCTGCCGAACACGAGGGTTGAATCCCTGAACGGAGGTGTCCAGTGTGACTCTTCGGTACCCAACAACATGAGGACGATCACTGCCATAGCACAAACTACGGCAAGGAAAGCAACACATCGACAGACGAAAACTCTTCGTCGACCAACTCGGGCTAATCTGGAACGAGGCGCGGGGCTCAGGGACTGGAGACGTATTCGGCGCGTTGATCCTGTAATAGGCATGAGCCATTGCCCACCACTGGACTGGAGATCCAATTTTTCGCGAACAGCAGAGGAATAAGAAGGAAGGTGGGGATCATAGAAGGGTCGGTCGCGAGTAGTACCACGTTGAAATGCAGTGAAATAACGAGCTGCCATCCCGTTCAGGGAGTAATTTTGAGTTTTGTGGGATAGTCAAGGAAGAAATGAAGGAAGGATGAGAACCACAGGCCTCAGTACGTCAATACTTTCTACGATAGTGGAGTAAAGAAAGTGGGCCCATCAGGTCATCGCGTACAATTAAGTAACTTGCAAGGAAGATATTTTACCGTTATGAATTGGGAAAGCTGACATTCTACCACGAAGATGCGCAGCTGATGGCAGAAGACATGAATAGCTAAATCACTCACGCAAACATCCAATCGCCGTTAACCAGATTTTTCAATGTTAAGTCATAGAAACACCATAATCGTACATTGTTAGACGCATGATAACCCCCCTCAATACATGCTACAGTATCTTTACAGCAAAGTCCAGTCTCGACAAGTCAACTTCAATCATCTAGTTTGCTCCTAGGGATTGCAACTCAAAATCAGCAGGGTCAGTAGGGACTGACAAGATGCGCATGGTGTTGGTGTGGCCAAGACCTCCCTTCCAACCTTGCACAGCGATGACGGTAGTTCCCGTCTTAATGATGTTCAACGCAAGCGCGTTCTTCAAGCCGAACCGGATACGGTTGTCAACCTGGATAAAATATATCAGTTTCAACTTAGAGTCAATCAAACATGGGCGCATGCTCACATCTTTCTGCCACTGACTCTCATGAATTCCACGCGGCTCAGGGTACCAGAATGGATAACATCCACGGTGGAGATGGATTTGGCGCGCGGTCTGCTCATTCCGAGTGACTTGAAAAGGTGGCCGAGTTAGAGATATCGATAGTAGTAGAAGGACACTTACCTGTGATGATAGGTATCCTAGGGCGGTATTTGGAGATCAGACGAGCAGTGTTTCCACTTGTGGACAGTACAATAATGGCGCTCGCATTTTGCTCTGAAGCAGCAGCGACTGCGGCAATTGCCACAGTCTCTACAGTCTCGGTGGGACGAGGCTGGATGCCTCGTAGCTCGTCGTACAGAGGAGGGTAGCAAATTGCTGCCTCGGCCAGTAAACATGTCTCAGCCATCATGAGAACTTCACACGGCGTCAGTCATGTCATAATCATCATGCGAAGAACACACACCAGACTCTACGGGATAACTTCCCTTTGCAGTTTCTCCCGACAACATGACGCAATCGGCACCATCAAGGACAGCATTGGCCACGTCACTGATTTCAGCACGAGTGGGCCTGGGGTTGTACTGTGCGTGATCTGAGCAATGCTCAGGGAGAACCAGGTCGATTAACACATACCGTCATTGACTATAAGTACCGTGTATTCAGCGGACGCATTATCGCACGATGAGCTATCTACGTACCTCGAGCATCTGGGTTGCCACAATGACTGGCTTCCCAGCGATGTTGCACTTCGCAATCATCATCTTTTGTGCCAAGAAGACCTGGCTTGCGGGGATCTCGATACCGAGGTCACCACGAGCAACCATAACACCATCGGTTTCTCGCAAGATCTCGTCAAAGTTTTCAACACCCTGCTCGTTCTCGATCTTCACGATGATTTTGATGTTTGCACCATCTGGCCCTAGAACTGTACGAATGTCTTTAACATCCTGGCCGCGGCGGATAAATGACGCGAAGATCATGTCAACACCATTCTTGACACCAAAAAGCAGATCCTTTTTGTCCTTCTCAGAGAGAGCAGGAAGGTCGACTTCGGTCTTTGGAAGGTTTACACCCTTGCGAGAAGAGAGGGTGCCGTTGTTCACGGCACGTACGCGAACGTTGGAGCCCTCAATACCCAAGACGAGCAGAGAGAGAATACCTAGGCAGTTATTAAATGAATAAAATAATTCAAAGGAAATCACAGATAAACGTACCATCATCGATGTAGATGAGCTTGCCGGGAGCAGTGACCTTTGGCAAGTTTTTCTACAAAAATATGTTAGTGTGAAACGCACAAACGAGTATTTCCCGCGTACGTAGTCAAGCCATAGGACCTTGTCGTCACAAATCTCGCTGTGCTTGTCTTCTGTTGAGATGATGAATTCGTGGCCAGCCTTGATGGGCACCTAAAGAAGCAAGGTGAAACATGATGTCAATCACCTGATGGCGTCAACGATAAAGATCAGACGCATACATCTTTTCCATCTCTCATCAAACCCGTGCGGATTTCGGGGCCTTTCTGTTATCAGCCGAATATCAGCATGAATTTACGACACGAGCGCATGAGCCTCACCGTGTCCAAAGCAATCGCGACGGGTCGTCCACTGGGATCCGCTAATATCGGGTATCAGTCCAACAGTCGTATGATCGGACAATTAGAATTACCCGCAACCATCTTTCTGGTGTTATCGATGACACTCTGGTGGTAATCATATGAACCATGAGAAAAGTTCATGCGGACTGAGAGAAGGGGAGCGAGTCAGTCGTCGTAGAAATTGTATGTACGATCATCACTGACCAACGTTGACACCAGCGCGTCTCAGGGCGCCAAGTTTCTCGACGGTGTTCGTGTTCGGACCTAGAGAGGATCAACATTGTACTAAACATCGACGATCACACAAATAGCGCACCGATAGTTGCGATGATCGAGGTCTGGAAGGTTGTGGTTAGATAAAGCATGGAGGGTTAGGAAACAACTGACCTTGCGAAGGAACTTGGTGTCAGCAGTGGGTTGGGGGGCATTGGAGACGCTCAAGGTGGAGTTCCACTCGAGCTGCGATCGGATACCATCGTAGGTGAACATCGTGTTGGTTCTGGCAACGTTGGACAGGAATCGATTATCTGAGGAAGAAAGGATACTATCAGCACTCGTAGACGATATAAGTCTTTTAGTGGCGCTAGCGAGAAAAAAACCAGTGCGGATCATACGATGTTGTTTTGGCTCGGGTTCGGTGACTTACCTGATGATGGCAGGGTTAAGGGAGCAGTGTCTACCAAATGTCAACCAAATGTCCACACATCTGTGTATTTATCCATCCCCAATTGTTGATCCCTGCATTGATCTAATCGATTTCCACTTAATCGACAACCCGCACCAATCGCGTGTTGGTCGTATCTATGTCAGGCCGCCGCCTAGTGCAATTTTGACACGAACGTTCTGGGCTTGAACGTTCCAGCCTTTACGTTGGCTATATCGGACGATAGCTAGCAAGTATTGTGATTAAACTAACAAATATGGACCCATCATGAATTGACAATACGATAAAAAAAAATCTTGCCAGCATGTCTGGCTTACAGAAATCCACTCAAGAAAATGAATCGGTAGAAAGAACGGTAGGTACGGGAACTGGGAGCTTGACGACAGCGATGATCTGAAAGATAAGACAGAGCAAACGAAGAGCAACAGCAACGAGAATCGACGACAGCATATCTGAATCAATGTTACATCACTCTTAACGTCCAACCATGCAAACCTCCATCAGCCGCAGCCGCAGCCTGCGCTGCAGCGAGCCAGGTAGCGTCCGCTGATCCCCCAGGCGGTGCTAGGACACCGCCAGGTGCCATCGACCCTAGCTCCATAGCCTGGAATACGTTTTCGCAACTGATTGTTCGTCCAGAGTGATAACCAATACCATCCGAGGCGCGAATGAATAACAGGGGAAGACTCCGGCCAGCGATGGAAGGTGGAGGGTGTGATTGTGAACTACTTCCGTTGGGCCCGTCAAGCGGCGTTCCATGTTCACTGTGTTGCGATGATTGCCGATGAATGAGACCATCTGGGGTCATTACGCTCGGAGTCATCACGTCCTCTTCAAGCGCCTTGATAATTTCAGCCAATGATGGTAGCTCCACTGTCACGATGGTGTGCAAAGGGGGCTGAGTGAGATATCGTGATGCAGCATCGGCAGGGGAACTTGCAACGTCTTCACCTCCACCCACCACTACCTCACTAGATGAACCGGGCATGGCAGAACCGAAAGCGGCAATGTTAGTTAATGGTCCTGGGGGAGCAGCCTGATAGAAACGCGCTCTGAGAGGACCAAGGCCACCTAAATACACGGTCAGTGGCATTTGAGTTCGTGTCTTTGGGTCTTCATAGAAGAAATGTGACACGGTCATTTCGAGTATATTGTTCGTTGGTCGGTACACTGGCGCCGTGAATAGTGTCGGGAAGGGTGTGATGGGCATCTCGGGTATTGAGTTACTATGCTGACCAAACGCATCAAAGAATGTATACTGGAACTTGGCTATTCGAGCGTTATTAGTGCAACCCAAACAGCTCAATGAAAAGCACTCACAAATGCCCACAATTGTCCAACATAAATAGTCATCTACTTCATCGATCAAGCTTCGCACGCCATCTTTCATCTCATCTCGTATGCGAGGCGATTGGAAGATCAGGGGGTGTGTTCCACCCTGAGCTGGTGCCCCTGGGACAGATGGGGTAGAGTTCGGAGCGCCAGGTATGGGACCGGCGGCAGACAAATAATGTCTCGTACCATCCTGATTCACTCTTTGCAGAGCAATTTTCTGCATTTGACTCACAGGTCCACCATCCTCAGCAGATACGCGACCTTTGTCTACTTTGCGAATGATAAGGGGTGACGTGGCGATATTAGACAGTGTGTCAGAAAGGACGACCTCACATCCGTAAGTGACAGGTTGCGGACCGGCTGAACGTGAACGTGAGTAAACATGTATAATACTTTCCAGTCACGTGAGCACATACCATTGGTGGGCGGCGCGTCATCGGGGCGTCGCACTACGTTCACGTTAAACGCAGACCAAGTGACATTACTTGCACAGAGCTGAGAGTTGTCGATGGTCATATACTTGGTGCGTACAGTCTGTGAATTGATCCTGTTGAAAAGAGACACAGGACCTCCCGCGAGGATACAGGAAGAGATGTTACGCGTTTTTGCTGTCTTCTTCGAGGGTTTAGATATAATGGTTACAGGAGCTGAATCAAAGGTGGCCCAAACACGTCCTGGAGTACCATCAGCGCTGCTCTCGCCTGACAAAGCAGAAGGAGGAGGTTCTATTATGTCGAGGGACAGCTGGAAGCTCTTTGCCTTTGCTGTGCCTGTCACGTGCAAGAATTTGAAGCTTCCGGTCATGTTATTGTCCAAATTAGTCTTTTGGTCCAATGATCGTTCACCCTGCTCGGAGACAACTGACATGGCGAGTTGTTGAGAGCGCATTTGCCATACAGGACCTTGAATGTGCACAACAGGAGGAGGACAAAGGAAGCGTTTCTCGCTACCATAAGATTTCTGTGCAACAGCAGCATGCAAGCACATGACGGTTGTCATTTGAAGGAGAGGATGCTGGTGCTGCTGCGCCACATGTTCGCGAACAATAGGCCGACGGATTTTTGGATGCGGATCTTCAGGCTCTGTCTCGTCGAGTTTGCGCTTACCACTCTTGCCGTTTGAAGACTTGTTTGATATACATATGAGTAGTACACTATAGTGATGTACTTTGTACTTACCTGGCCTGTTACGGATGGAAGATGAGGGGAAGAATGATGTGGCTGAGGTGAAGGTTGGACAGGGGGGATACCCCATTGATGTAATGAATCTGGAGCTGCTGAATCTTTTCGGTTCGCGGCAAGTAGAGATTGAAGAGACGCGTTCGGATCGGGATTGTTAGAGAGAATAGAAGGAGGAGCGGAAGTTACTGGAGGTTGTGAATTAGAGATGACATTGCTGCTTGATGATGATTGAATATGATTTGTATGCTGAAACTGTTCACCAATTTTATTGGCAAGTATATGAGGAGAAGAAGTAGGGTTTACAAGTAAATCCAAAGTAGATTGTACGGGTGATGTTGGTGATGAAGTGCTTGAAGTTTTATTCAGCTGCTGTTGAAGAGCAGCTTCGGGCATTTGGATGTGTGAAGAAGAGTAAGGATGGAAAGTCCTCATAACAGTTTCCCGCCCGATGTTGGTAGCCAGCTGTGGGAATCGAGGAAGAGAGGTGGGAAAATAGAGAAGAACGATTTCAACTAAGACGTGAGAAAAAACAATTACAAACACGTGTAATCGTGAGACTTTTATATAAATAATAATAATAACATTAATAAATCTAAACTATACTAGACATCGCATGTAATGCCCATCGTATAGGCCACCAAGTAGATCCCTGTTTGAGGCATAAATCATCCAGCTGTGTAAAATCTTTGACATATCAACTTCATGCACAGCTCATGCGCTCATGTTAGATCGGACTTACTAAGTACTGATAACACGCCCATTTTATCCTCTCCTTTGATTGTCTCCTCTATCTCGTCTTCAGCTACGACGGGTACCGAGCACTCCGATTGTACTTCATCCTCAGCAGGTTCAAATGTTTGCTCTTGTCGTAACCATTCCCAATGTTCCCCCTCGTATGAGACGGGAAAAAACCCCGTAAGACTGAATGGGTCCTCTCTATCACGCGGGGATGCAAGCGGTGAGGCCGCCGTCGCCACGAAGGCGTGGTGGGATGATGCGGCTAACGATGTTTGATCTAAGCGGGGAATGAAGCCATCTACGGTAGACTTTGCCCTGGCTAGACCAGGTCGAACTTGATATTCGAAAGCCTGAGGTGCGGTATTCGAACGACGGATGGCCATGGTGGGCCTCTTCTATGGGTGATGTGATGTCGAGCATGGAAGTCAAAACTTGGATATTACAAACTCCGCGACTGTGCATAAGAGGGGCAGGTACACCCCAGAATTGATTGGATGAAGCTATCTACAAAACATACGCAGATCTGAATCGTCGTGCGATATGTATTACGATGGTCCTACATATGCATAATGCAAGAAGCAAAAGGGTAATTGATGGTAAGAAAAACAATATTAATGTTGTCGAAGGTGCAAGAGACACGCAAATACCCTAATGGGACGACGGGCGTAAAAATATGTCCATGAAGCCGAACGTCCAACGTGTCTTAGAAAATGAGTGACGTGATCGTAACACCTGACGTCTGACATGATCTCAGGCCCAGTCCCTCAACTTGGAGGGTCCCGAGGGACCCCAGCGGAACGACGTCTGTCCATAGGGCGACTTTGTCCAGGGAATGGAACCGTGGCGTTAGCCTCAGTCTTCATCCCACGAGAGTCTCGCTTCGCGCCAGCAGCGCGTTCGGGGCGAACTCCAAGCTCCACATCCTGCTGGTGCCGCTGCCAATCCTCCACCCTCAGTACCGATTGGCGTTTCGACGACGATGGGTTGTTGACACCGTTAATCGCAGCAAGCTTGTCAGCGCGTATTCCCTTGGGTCGACGTTCTAGGTTCTTGTCATCCTCGGGCCCTGTCTTGTCCTCTGACCTGCGCCGCAACTTCTCCTTCTCTTCTCGTGCAATTCCTGCGGCCTTCTCAGCCTGCCGTCTGTTGACCGCTTCCCGCTCCGCTGTCTTCGAGCGTTCCCAACGATCCTTCGCAGCCTGAAGCTCCGCATTTTGTTTCTCAGCCTCCGTGATGGGAGCTTGCAGACCCCGCATCTTCTCCCGATGCCGTTCCTCCATTTCCTCAAACGTCGCAACACGCTGAGGTTCTGGCTTCTTGGCAACTGGCGCTGCAATGTTTGCGCTTTGTCCGCGAGGAATGATCATGGGAATATTGCTGGAGGGCTCAGCAACCGCAGCCTTCAATGGTCGAGTGGGGGGGAGCACGATCGGTATGTTGCTTCGCTCGGGCTCAGGTAACAATGACGTGCTCCTGGAGAGGATGGCAGGAGGATAACGTGCAGCAGCTGCAGGAGGATGCGAGGGTGCTAACACAGCTGGAATCGTGCTGTTGAAATATGATTTGGGCTTCCTCTGGGCTGATACAAGCGTCGCAATGGGCGCATCCTCGTCCGACGTATCTTTCGCGCTTGTATCAGGGCCAATACTAGGGTCCAGTAATATCTCCCGTTGTTTCCTTTGGGAGAGGGCTTCAGTGACAGCTGGTGGGATAGGTAGGCGTTGTTGTGCAGACAATGATCCTGTCGTGGACACACGGCTCGTTGGGATGGGTGCAGTTACCCCAGCCGGTGGTTGTAGGAGCTTACGGTCACGAACGTACGAGTCCCAGTCATCATCGCGCAGAGGAACACTTGTAGGACGGCCAATAGATGCACCAAGCGGAGGCGTATCTATAAGCTTGGAAAGTTCCATGGACTGTGCACGGCCGCGTGGATCTGGTTGTCTGGGTGGGCGAGTGTGTGGACGGGGAGCAATAGCATTGTCAAGGTCATAGCTGAGGGTGCGACGAGAGGTCAGAGAGATACGATGAGAGCGGGAGTCGTCCGAGTCAAGGCCAGGGGTCTCCGATCTGAGTGCATCGATTGAGCGTCTGATGGTTTGAATTTCGGCAAGAAGCTCCTCCTTGCGTGCGAGATCTTCCAACTCCGATGAGATAGCTTTCTTCACATCGCTATGTTTCGTGTCACTACTGTCAGGATCGTTATCCGTGATGAACCCAGAAGGAACATCATGTTGGATTCCAAGGCCAAGATCAAGAACAGGCAAGGCACCGGGCGCTTGAGACTCGCGTGCGACCCGCTTAATATCTTCATCAGGCGCGGGAGCAGCCATGAATTCAGACACCCCCGACGTGTAGCGACCACGCCCGCCAACCAACGTGAACACGGAAGCCCGCCCATCTTGAGAACTCCGAGTGGGAAAGTCTTTCATGAGAGGAGTCCCAGAGTAGCCACTGGCAGTCCGGCCATGCATTCCAAGTGATGGGTGATCGCGCTCCCATTCCTCCTGCTCCGTTGATAGCTCACGGAATTTACCGGCAGCATTGATTTCGGCCTCTTCATCCCGCTTCTTTTCTTCCTCAGCTATTTCCTTCAGTTTGCGCTGCAGGATGCGGAGGATGCGGAGCTGAACGGCTCCACCCATAAGAGCGATCGCTCCGATGAGTCCAAGTTCGATTTCCATCGTTTGGGTTACCGGGAACGCAATGCCATTACTGACATACTTCGGGAACAGGGAGGTGAAACCTAGATTCCAGACGTAGAACTACCATCTTGTGTGAGCTATTATGAACTGACTATAGGAAGTGACACGAACCTCTTTCAAGCCAGCTGTAGTGTAGCAATCCACACCGAGTATAAATGCGGACGAGCCAACAAAGGCCGTCGCAACCAGAAGCATATGCCAATGTAACTTGGGTATTGTGCAGAGAACAAATGCAACTACGGTGCATGCTGAGTGACAAGTTAGCAGGGGGCAAGGTGGACTACGGAGGAAACAGTTACCTATATACAGAATCCATCTCATGCCAACAGGGGTAATAAGACCGCCATTTTTAAAGCATTGTATCCATAATCCGAAAGCAAAACCACCCCATGCGCCAATAAAGTATTTAGTGGCCTTCCAAAAGAAGATCGTGAACGCGCCGCCCATGATACCAGCAACGGCGGAGGCTAATACGAACATGCCCTGGAGTGTGTTGCTCGGTGGGTTGATCGCGGGAAGAATGCCGAACTTGACGATAAGGACGAAACAGACCAATGAAAGGGTATAGAAACCAATGAGGAAGAAGGATGTCCTACATAGTGAGTGAGAAAATGGTAGATCCACAAAAGAGAGAAATTACCATCTATTCTTGTGGCCCCAAAACGCACTTGGTAGTCCAGTTATGATGAGGATCGCTCCCAATACACCGAAAGCCGGAGTGATCCTAGTAGCTAGGACGATGGGAGTTGGGGTGGATGAGGCTGAGGCCGAGGATGTTGGTGTGGATGAATTTGCATGAACAGTGGATGTCGCATTGTACACTGTGGGTAATACAGTAGTGATGGTGGTTGCAATGTTCCCTGAGTGACTGACGGATGTCAACGTGTATGAGCTAGTCGTCAAGAACGTTGTAACATTTGCAGAGACAGTAGGTGAAGGTGTACCGCTGCTCGCAGTGGTCTGGTTTGTAGACTGAGCCGAAACCTGAAAAAAGAGGGATGAGCAAAGTAGAAGACATAACATAAGGCATAAGCCAGGTGGTGCTCTCGCCATGGTCGAGCACGAAGAACAATGAGAGTGGTTTAACCGAACTACAACCTGGGGGGGTATACGTTAACCTCTACGTGGAGGGAGAGAACTAGGCCAGGCTAGTGGCCTCGGCGCTAGCAAGTCAGCCACCAGGCTATTCATGGATTCATTCACACTAAGGTTACATCATGCCACTCAGTGGTCCTATTTGGACCTATGATTGGTTTGATCCGCGTGCAAGGCAGCAACCAACCAACAATACCGCCGTTAATAATCCCGTCACAACTTTCGTTCAATCACCCACACACAGGCGCCACATCAAAACTCATGTTCACCATTACTCCCCGAATACCACGGTTGGGTTTCCCTAGGGATATATAATCTACCGACGGGCACGGTCACGATGGGACAAATGCAAAATATTTCTGCCTGCTGCTTCTGTCAGTCAAAATGCTCCAGCTTGGTTGCACTAATACCAAGCTTCTTCAGCATAATATCCATCTTCTTCGAATCATCCCTGACACAAACTTTACCTTTCTTCCCCTCACTCTCCCGGCGTCCTTCCACAATAGTGATTACTTTCCCTCGGCGGCCAAATCGGCCAACTCTTCCTGCGACATGCTGGTAAACGTCTCCCGCGCGTTCTTGCGGAAGTCCCAGGAGAAAAACGTGGGTTAGCGCAGGAAAATCGATCCCTCGGGTCGTTGCGAGCGTCGATACAAGTAATGTGGGATTCTCATCGGGAATATCCCTGTCCTTAGACAGAAGGTGTGCTCGACCGGCTTCATTGTCCACGAGATCAAGACTGTGGGCATTCACTCCCAGTTGATTCAGCTCAAAAATAACTCGTCGAACGGATGTAGTTGCAGGTAAGACGAGAAGCGCGATATTTGGTACGTCAAGAGCGAATGCGGATGCGACGGCTTCAAGCATCCCTGGAGTAAAAACAGGAGGAGCTTGTAGCATATCTAATCGCAAATCAAATTGTCGATAACCGAATAAAAATATAAAAACATAATATCCTCACCTATGTCAGTTTCATCATCGAGCAGTGCTTCATCATCTTCATCAAAAATCAACTCTTCTTCTTTGTCCTGTTCCTCAGCAGAACTCACATACTCGGAAGAGTCCAAGGGCGTGGGAGCTCGAGCTTTGCGAGCACCAGCTATATTTTTCACACAGCCATCCTGCGACATGACAAGAACATGATGTGTGATCGTGCGATTAAGACCGTGAGCTGGACGTGAGGCCGACGAAGCTTTGATAAGCTTGAGCACTTTTCCCCTTCTAAACCACCCGTAAGCACCAAAGAAAGCCGTCCTCAACCTATTTCGCATTGTTGCACTGAGCATGATTAGTTGCGGCCGATCAATTGGGGCCAACTTCATCTCTAGAAGACGCTTCCGCAAAAAGTGTGAGGCGTTCGTTTTAGTGCTTGTATAAAGGACATCCAGCAAAGTCTTCAGAACTTCAGGATGCTTCTGACTTAGCCGCGCTGCTTTTTCCGTGGTATACTTGCTTTTCTGGGGCACCATTTGCAGAAGCCAGTCCACCTCATCGACGACGACAGTCGATAACGTGGATAACTGGAGCACTTCTGGCTCCTTGCGAAGCACGTCCATAAGCGCAGTTGGTGTGGCAATGAGTATATGCGGAGGATAATCCCGGAGCACGGATATTCCAGGTGACGATGGGTTCACAATCGCTTCCAGGATCCGAGGAGATGAGCTTGTGAGGTTTTTGGGTGGTGAGCCGCGGACTAGCACCTGTGCAATCGAAGCGAGCGAATATGGACCAGGTTCACCCGCAGACGTCAGCATGTGGTGTAGCCAGTGCAAAAATTGGTATGCAAGGTCACGGTGGGGAACGATCAGGAGAGTTGTAATTCCTTTTGTTGCTTGAGCCTTTCCTTTTTCCGTTTCGTATCTAGATATCCTTGGTTTGCTCAGGAGTCCAAGTAGCAATCCAAATGACCTTGAAGGACGTTAGTTTGAGTCAACATTCAGCGACAAGTACGCACTTTCCAGTACCCGTGAAGTCCTGCAAGAGAATATCTTGCTTACCCACCACAGCAGGTATCATCTTGCGCTGCATTGTCGTGGGTTGCTGAACATCGGGGAATGCAACACGGAGGGCCGCTGCAATCGGTGTCCCCACTCCAAGGGACTCGAAAGTCACACCCAGTGGAGCTTGTCCCGTGCTGTTCTTGTGCAGTGGCTCTTTTGTATGTGTCTCCAAGCTACGGCTCATATAGCGAAGTAGTCCATGTTTCCTGCAGACTGACTGACGCGCCCAGCTGCGATATAACAGCGCGACTGCTGGAGGTGAAGGAAAACTCATGCGGACACGTGACATCACCAGAGTGGTATATATAACGCATCATATTGTGGTTGGAAGTACAGTAATGACCAGTAAGATACATGAATGGTGTCAACGAAGTGAAGTCGTAATTGTGGGCCAGTACGTAGTGTATCGTGAGGATTGAAAGGCACAACTGCTGGTGGTAAATGAAAGAACATGCCAGAGAAGTAACGTTGCCGCATGCGACACTGGCATACTGTCTCGCAATTAAACAGCACTTCAATTATCAACCGTAGCAGTAACAGGAGACGTGGGTGAAGAAGAGGAGGGCGGGAGCTGCTCCCTCGTATCTTCTTTGTGCGCCTTCACGTGGTCACCTTCAATCCTCGCGAGTTCCTATTCATCGCCCTCACCGATGGGCTGGTATGTGCTCCTGTCGTTACGATAGAGTAGCCGGCTAACCCATCCACGTTCTGTGACTCGGGAGCCAGAACGTACCGAAGGGCTGCGGGCATTAGACATCAGAGATGCCCGCTCGGATTCATAATCCAGCCTCTCCTCTGCAAAGATACATTCAATACCGTTCGACTGGAAGAATCGGAAAACTGTACCTTCACCGAACACGGCATCCATTTCTTCGAGAGGAACACCTTTAGTCTCGGGATATACTACGTGTAATCAGTGAGCATGGAAAACGGCATGCAAGAGCATCTACCTACAGAAATAAACGAGAATGAAACTGCATGCGCAATAGAACCCATGCATAGGGTATAATCTCCATGTAATGGCTTCTTGGAGGTATGGAGTTGTCTCTCCGACGATGAAATTGAATGCCCTGGTCGTGTCAGTTGGTTGACATGTGAGAGGTGCTTCGAGCTCACCAATTGGTTGCAGTTGATATCGATACACCTTTGGAGCGGAATGTGAGGGGCATGATCTGAAGCAAATTCAGCATCTTATTAGCCTATTGCTGAAAGGATATCACCTCGGGAGGATAGAGCCATGGAATGGGACCCCAACTAAGATAACGATATCATATCGAAGGCTCGAAAAATGTGCCGAGAAAGCTTACCTATAGCCAAATGCAGCATTGTAGACGATAACACAAATTACCACAGCATTGGGTGTAGCTGGTATGTCAACATACATCCACCAGCCAGTCAAGCCCAAGGCAATGCCCATCTACGTATCGGTGAGCACCCTGAAGGCCGTTCATCAGAAAAGGAACCAACGATAACGGCACCAGAAAGTAGAATAACGCGACGACCCCAACGGTCTACGAGGTACCAGCTATAGGAGCGTTTAGCTTTCCTAACGAGACCGTTGGTAGGATGCCACTCACGGGGGTAAGGTGCTCAAGGTGTAAATGATCGCATTGATACCCGTCATTAACACAGCATCACGGCCAAGCCACCCGGCCTCTGCGTTTCAATGAGATTTTCGCCAGAAAAAAATATTCGTCCACCCGTACCTTCAAAAACAGATGCTAAACAACACGCACTTTGATCAGTCAAAGATCACTTTAGTGTGAGATAAAATGCGTACGAGCGTAGTATCCAATCACTGGATGTCGTTTCGACTCATTAGTTTCATGAAAGCCGCACAAAGGCAGACACATTACCGTTGATTCCATTCTGGGAAAAATATGTTCATGACGGCATGATATGGGTAAAACGGCAGAAGCTTACCAGTTGAGCAAATGCTTGGGAAGACATGGCAAGCAACACGCGTCGTTTATACTTCTTCCACATCACAGCGTACGAGCGTCCTTCCCCAAGTTCACGCTGTGAGCGTTGAATTGTAAAAATGATGATAGCTGCATCGACAATTAGCGTACCTCATAAATGACTTTGTCCTTGATTTCTTGGAATTCCGCTTGAGCGAGGATGTTATCAGGATCTCCTCCATGCAGATCCACGATAATACTCATTCCGGCAACATCTCGGTCAGTATCAATCAACCATCTGGATAGTTTCAGTGCATACTACCGTAACAATGAGAGATAGCATACCGAGGGCTCTCAGGAATAACCAGGCTTCCCGCAGCGAGGATGCTTCCGATGACGCATTGCAGGAAAAGGGGAATGCGCCAAGAAAGATCTGATTCGATGAATGAAGAAAAATAATCCACCCACTTTTGGGAATGTTAGCTTGCCTTCATAACTGCAGCAGACAAAGACGACTCACAACAGAGGTTGCATAGCCGAAAACATTGCAGGTGAATTCCATGCACGCAAGCGCGCCTCTCTGCAAACCAAATTAGTAGCATAAATGTGTAAAGTTTAAGACTTACATGATCAGGTGGAGAAATTTCGCTTTGATATATAGGAACGATCGTCCTGAAAAGTGCGCTGAGCACTTGCACAAAAATTAAACCTTGAGGACCTACGACAAGAGCCCAACTCCACAGCCGCTTACCACTCGACCAACGATCATGATGTAGTAACCTGTGGTAAATGTCTGAATAGCGCCACCAATGGTGAAAACGATAGCTCCAGTGAAGAGGGTCCCCTTCCGGCCAATTATGTCGCCGACACGACCAGCAGCAATCGACGTGGCTGTGAATGTCATTATACAGCGCAAAACCGGTCATTAAAAACATACCAAGTGCCCCAAGCTCGAGAACTGCGACCATGGTACCAATTTCAATGGGACCGGGATTGTTGAAAAACTGTTTGAAATAGGGACCGGTGATGATACCTGACATGACGCTGCCGCATGGACTCAGTAGCTAGTAATCCAGCGAGAGATGTGTATAACGAACCCCTGGTCATATCCGAACTAGAAATTAGCACCAGTGATTAGTTTTTTATGCCTCGTTCCTCGTGACGTAGCGTACCAGGAAAACACCCAAACTAGCGAATACAGAAATAGCGTAAAGGAGAGGTTGCCCGACTAATTTGCGTCGAGAGGGCAGAGGAGCAACATCCACCATAATGCATGGACTGGTGATGGTAGGAAACAGCTGATAACAAGAAGTAGGGAGGGAAAGCAGAGAAAGCGTCAATACCTAAAAGCGGAGTGTCGTACGTACAGCGCCACTCTGAATCAAGTGACTCCACTGGTAGTGGCAACACCATCAACTTAGAACTACTTCATTTGGAGACCATTGCGTCAAGACACCGCAAAGGCAGACTACTAAAGCATGCCACGCTCGGACCATTCTTCAGACTCCTCATCAAATGTATCATATGATTCTGATGAAGACTACCGTTTGGCCCAGAAAGAGTGGAACGAGAGTTTAGAAGAGCTTCAGCAACTTGCACTCGTCTTACTACTGCCATGGGTGGGCAAGTACTTTGGCAGGAGGTGTAGTTATTGGCGTATGTGTAAACGCATCAAGCCTGTCTACACTTACGAATAATGTGTCTTGCAGTGTATGATCGTTACACTCGTGTTGGTCTCGGCAAGTCATTTTTCATGGGCGAGAAGCCTTTGGCTTGGACATTCTTCTCGCGATGAATGATGCGTATTATATTGTAGGTATGTCTACGTCAGGCATAAAACTTTGGTCCTAACTTCATCCTCCAAGCTGTCCGACGTTGGATTCTACCAACCAGGCTCTCCAATGCCCCAACTGGTTTGATATACCTCAGGAGGTCATCTACCATCTCATCTGCAACTGCCCACTCCTCCCTCGAAATCAGCCCATGTAGTAGAATATACCATGTATCATAATTCGTCGGGACTCTCCGGCTTGCCATTTCCCTGTAGTAGCCCAATGCCCCTTGCAATCCTTCTGGTTCTGGGTTCTCCAAACATGCTTTGATCAGTATGTGGTAGGTCACCCGATTAAACCGGATGTTTCGCTCCTTCATCCTTTTAAGGATGTATCTCCTGCATTCCTCGGCCAGGGCGGTGTTGGGCCATACCTGGCGGTGCAAGGATGCAAGCACGCCTGTGTATGTCACGTCATTGGGTTGGGCATCCGGATTCGTTTCCATCCTCTGAAGTAGCTCCATTGCTGTTCTAAGACCTTCCTCCCATGGCTCGCGAAGCTGTTGGTCTATGATCGCGCTGAAGACGGCGACGTTGGGCACCACATTTTGCTTCTTCATCAGATTCAAAATAATGTCGATAGCGTCAGTACGCCCAACCTTGAGAAGAGCTGAAAGTACAGAGGAGAACGTGAACGCATCGCCGGTCAGCCCATCTTCTCGGAGACGCTCGAGCAACACCGACACCGCACGGAATTCGCCTCTGCGGCCATGGTGACGCAGGAAAGTATTGTAGGAAACGATGTCTGGCTTTGGGCCATTCTGCCGCAAATTCTGCAGCAACGCATCGGCGTCACCCGGTCGTCTATTATTGAGAAGACCGTGCAGCACTGTATTGTATACAGGCAATGCGTCCGCAGTGTTCGGCAACGAACCGTTAGCAAGTTCCCGCTTAAATATTGCAAATTTCTCAGTAGCGTCATCTGGTCTCCAAGCGTTAAATAATGTCGAGATGACAGCGCGATATGTCAAAATTCCCGGTCGAATCCCTTGGGAAACCATGTTATCCCAACTGGTGGAAGCGGCATCAGCTTCTCCCATGCTATCAAACCCATCCAAGAGCGCTGTCCAGGTGATAACACCAGGCTGGATGCCACATTTAAGCATGTCATTCCAGAGATTCTCCGCCAGGTCCCGACGGTGGCACCGCAAAAACCCTGTCAAGAATGCTGCCCAGACGATCTCTTGGACTACCACAGGTCTTTGGTTGGATTTCTGGGAATCACGGGCGGCGAGATATGGCTCTGGACCATTCAAACCGTCGATGATTGCCCGGTATAAGTTCTGGATCTGTGAAAGATCCTGATCCCTTGAGAGATTTGTGATATGAGTGCTGAGTGAGTGGTGGCGAGAGATGAGTCTTGCGATGTCAACGCGGCGAACGTAACTTTGAACTTTTGTCCGGAACGAGATGTTATCAAACGATGCCGTGAACTCTTTCTGAGCGGACTGATTTATGCGTACAGGATTGTCGAGCATTATCTTCAGCGCGCCCTCGAATGAATCTTCGAGTGCATGTGCGGCTATTGCTGCGAGGACGAGTGACAAATTGGGTTGGTGGGATAGCTGGTCGCCTAGAAAATCGAGAGCTAGCCCATTCTTATCCTCGACATCTTCCTGCGTTGGGGATGGTAGGGGCTCAGACACGGCCTGGTTGCTGGAGTGAACCAGAAAACGTCTGTACAGGTGAAGGGCTGCCTGCGAGTCACCTCTCTTTATATGTGCGATCATACAAGTCGTGAGGGCATTGACTGCACCCTCAAAGGCGGCAGCAATGGCTATGCCCTCGATGACCTTCCTCTCGTCTGCGTCCCAAGACTCAGAGTTGCCCGTGAAGCACAGCTGAGCAGCGCGCTCAGAAAACCCACGCAACTCTGGACCGAGGAGTCGCAGTAGCTTTCTATCTTCCAACTGCGACCATAGCTCTCCTACTCGCGCGATGTCACCAGCCTTCAGAGCGAGACGAAGCTCGACAACCTTTTCGTCAAAGAAGTTAATATCTGGGTCGGAGACAGCAGCAGCGCCTGACTGGCTCAGTAAGCTGATACGTTGTTTGATGTTCTGACAAAGAATTGCCGGGCTTTGTGTACATACGGAGACTGGAAATTCTGCAAGTCTCTCCGTATCGTGTCTTTTGGATAGTTTTGTCACCGAAGGTCGCACCTTGGAGCTACCGAGACGGTGTCCGAACGCAGTCGGCGCAAGGAAATCAAGCACGCCAGTAGTCTGCCTTGCTTTTGTGGTGGCATGACGCAGCATCTGCAAGCTGACGATGAAAGAAGATGGAGACCTTCAATTTGTGATTTATCTTATTTACGTTTATTAGATTCGGAAGCTTGACCAGGTCCGCTGAGCGCTCACTTTGAAGGTTATTATACACTCAATCACAAACCAACTGCAACATGGGCCACGGAAATTCTAACAAACTCTATATCACACATGCAGAACATGCTGGCGAATTCGGGCAGCATTCTGCTTCATCTGGGTACAAAGCGTAAGTCTTTTCTACGCCTAAATTATGGAGTTCTCATGTTTTGCACAGAAAACTTCAAGGATCGGACCCTCGAGTGCAGACGCCATTCGACTGTTGCGCGCTTTCTTTCCAGCCATTTAGTCATCCAGTGTGTGCCCGCAATGCGGATGGAACAGGCTTCGTGTTTGATCTCGTAAACATTATTCCTTGGCTAAAGCAAGTCATCCTCTCTTCCTGCAAGGTGACGTTTGTCTTATGCTTCCATTCAAAGGCAGCATAACAATACAAATCCCATCACAAAAGAGCCCCTCGCACCTGGTGACCTGATATCACTGCACTATTCGCGCAAAACATCTGGCGAAATTCATGATCCAATCTCATTCAAGCCATTCAGCGAGCACTCGCATATAGTAGCAATTGCAACCACAGGAAATGTTTTCCTTGCAGAAAGTATCAAAGGCGGTAAGGATCTTCTTGAAGATGCAAAATTCAAGAAGTTAGTTTTCCAATCTTTCTCTATCATTCTGGACTCAGCATTACTCTTGCAGGGAGGACGTCATCACATTGCAAAACCCTCATGGTCTCCCACCTTTGTCTACAACCAATACTACTACTACTGCCATTGTAAAGAAGGATGAGAAGCCCAAACCAGCTACTGTTAAAGTGATCTCTGAAGTCAAGGGTAAAGCTGCTGTCCCTTGTGAGCTCCACCATTTTTTTCACGGCAGGATGCAGCCTGAGTACCATACCAGGGAACATTTCTCCTTATTCTAGTGGTGCGCCCGGTGCATCATTGACTTCAACGTCTGTGGATCCTCAGACACGAAGTTCACAACTACTGTGGGACGAGGTGCGCAAAAAGAACCGGCTGTGACGAGCATTCTTGTTGATGGTAGCTTAGGAAGAACTGATGTTCGAAGAAATGTCGAACCCTCCCAAGGGCAAGGGGAAAGAGAAAGACGTTGGTAAACGAAGAGCATATGTCCGGGTCGTGACCAGTTTAGGCGGTTCGTTGAACCTGGAGTTGTATTGCGACAAGGTCAGTGCTACTTGCTCTTGTTGGCGTCGCTAACATTCCCTCACAGGCACCGAAAACTTGTTACAACTTTCTCATGCTTGCAAGAGCAGGGAAGTATGATAACTGCCTCTTTCACAGACTTGTTCCTGGCTTCATGGTACTTCTTCATTCGTCGTCTCGCGAGATTAGATACTCATGTCGCCGTAGGTGCAAACAGGTGACCCTACTGGTACAGGCTCTGGTGGAGAGTCACACTGGGGTACTCCTTTCCGAGACGAGTATGACATGAGAGGTGCCGCTAAACACGATAGTCGTGGTATTCTCGCCATGGCCAACAAGGGCGCTGGCACGAATACGTGCGTCTGCCGGTTTACCTTGTTTTCTGTTTCACTGACAAGTGCCACTACAGGTCGCAATTTTATGTCACATTCAAAGCTACACCAAATCTTGACAACAAGCACACTGTCTTCGGCAAGCTAGTTGGAGGAGACGACGTCCTCGATGCTCTGGAAAAACTCCCTCGTAAAGATGGAACAGAGCGCCCAGCGAAGCCGGTGCAGATAACGGAAGTCATTATGTACGTACATTGCTTTTTTGCTCAGACCTATATTCATATAGCTTCCCTTGTAGACATCAGGATCCCTTTGAAGCATATAAAACACGGCTTGCAAGAAAACTTGCTCGGCGTGCAGAAGCACAAGATGATTCCAAGAAACAACCTGACAAGATTCAAGGGGATGATATTAATTGGTTTGGGGTCAAAGTCGGTACTGGGGACTCGGCCTTTGGTGGGGGTGCTGCAGGTGTGGGGGTGGGGGTGGGCAAGTATCTCGGCGTCAAGAGGCCGTTAGATCAGGTCACACCTGGCGTACAAGCCAATGACGTCGGCGACGATGCCAAAAAAAAGCGAAAAATAGGGTTCGGAAACTTTGACAGCTGGTAGTAGACCGATACTGTTGCTCTAGTCTGACGTCTAATATTTGTATTATTAACTGCCATCCTACTGTAGTGTCGTAGTATCTGTAAATGTCTGGAGAAGGCCTAGGCCACGAATGAGGATATGAGTAATGCCAAAATAAAAATCTCTGTGATACTATGCGTGCTAAATAGCAGGTGCTAACCAGGTAAGGGAACTCGCTCCCTCTTAGTCTCTTGGAGTACTTGCTGGGCTTCTAAATAGAAATGAGGATCAAGGCCGTTCGACAATCGTGAACTACTCTGACCTTCTGAAACAAGCGGCAACGACCTAGGTGGAGATGGCAAATCCAGGCGCACTTTAGGTTCAGCTTGTCCAAGCTAGATATCATGTGAAAAAAGTGAAATAATATCCGACAGTTCGTACTGACCGCTTCCCCTTGTAATGCCAGGAGCTCCGCCTGGACGGAGTCCTCTTCATCATGTGTTAATCGGTTCGCCAGCAAATCACCGATTTCCTGTACACCATCCTCAATACAGCACAAGAAGCACGGAATATAACTTACTCGCTGATATTCTCTCGCTTCTTGCGTCTCATCCATGAGCTTCTCAACGCTCTCAATACTCATCTCGCGATGGATCTCTTTAAGAACTTCATTTCCTTGCTTGAGACCGTGAAGGACAGAAACCTCGACCAAAGAAAACTCGATGGTTGACACCTGCAAGGAACATTGGGTTTTAGCGTACATTTGAGCAACATGAACGAGACGGACTAATTGTTCCAGGTTCTCTAATTGACTGTCAGTCTTCAGTAGCAAGCTCTGCTGGTACTTGCGCCTTCGGAGGGCTATGACGGCACGGTCCTTCTGACCGGTGGCGAGATGGGCTTTCGCAATTTCATGCTCGCGGTCGAGCACGACTTGTATCTGTATTAAAGGGTTATAGATGCAAAACCCCTACGAGTGTAGTCTGACCTTCTTCTGGTACTGCTTTAGCTTATCGCGCTGAAGTTTGAGACTACGCAGTAGATGCTCTTGTTGGGCGTTACCGTTTGATTGAGAAAGCATGAAAGCCCACGCACTCGAGAATCGCCCGATCATGAGCAGTGATCTTGGGTGCCGACTGGCTCAACCCCATGGTAATGTCTGTGTTGACGAGGTTGTGGAGACCACCGAGTCAGTCCGGTCCGTGTGTAGTAGCAACACTGCCACCACTGAAGTGGCTAAATCCGGGTCATTGCTATCCTACTCTACCCCACAAACAAGACCATTGAATAGCGACATGTCATTAAGGACGTTATTTACAGTGTCGAGGCTAGAGTAAAAGTGTTGCAATACAAGTACGGAATTTGGACTCTGTGCAGCATGAAGCAGCGCACAGCATTGGGTGGGGTCCCATAAAAATACAAAACAATCATTGCTTGGTATTTGATACCTCAGGGTGAGCAAAGCGCAACTCGGACGAGGAGCGCTGTGGTGGTTCTGCGAGTTCAAAACTCATAGAAGGGAGCACTCCTTCTTCAGGTTTTGTATCATAGGGATAGTGCTTGTGGTGTTGGAATCGGTTAGTCCTACCGAATTGATTTGAGCTCGTGGATGTTAGAACAACCCGGGAGGGCGACCGACGTCTACGCGGAAGGAGCTTTGGGCGCGTCAGCGTATATAGGATTGTGTTGAAGAATCCCGACAAGAGAAGAAGGGTGTCTGCCCAAGCCGTCACTCCCCATGGCACATTTTGTGTGTGAAACTCCGTGAAGCGGGCAGCAGTGATAGGCAACACCTGTCAAAAATATCAGAGGGTGAATAGCTTATGAGTAATCCCACCTACTGTGATAATGTAGACCGCAGGGTAGCTGGGAAAGTAAATATTAGAAATGTTCCACTGACTGTGGGCCATCGTCAAACTCACAAGAGCATACGTAGCGCGATGGCGCCTTCATCCCCCCGTTGTCGGGGATCAGAACCATCGGACGGCGTGATACTACGGATCTCGGAGGACGTCCACCGAATCTTGTATCCATCAATGCTAACGATCCGTTTGACCACAAGAGCAAGGAAGATGTAAACAACGATAGTGATGAATGCTGCAAACCACATCCACATGTATTGAAGACCCATTCGTTGGAAGTTGTTACGTTCTATCCAGCACCCTGTCCGATACAAAATTATTTAGCGGCGTGGATGAGCACTCTCACTGAATGGGGGACGTACAATGCCCGGTTGGTCCATAGAAATCATCAATGATTATGTTCGGTATTCCGACCATCAGGCCAACGATCATCCATATAATAGCTGAGCCAAGTAGTGCTCCTTTTGGAGGGGTACTCCACCTCAATATCAGTACCTGCATCGTGTGCAAGGCGATAGTCTGCAGAAACCAATTAGCATGAGAAGGGTTTCCAATGACGATGGCGGGATGTAGTTACAATCGTGCTGTTTTGGGAAAATTGGTTAGCATCTGGACGTAAAACCAAATGATATATCGGACTCGCCTGAAAGCTGCGCCCGTATTGCCCACATGCTTGAAGGCACCTGCGATAATTGTGGTAAATTGGCGCTCTCAGGTTCTACCTCAAGAATGATGATACCTTGCACAGTGCATATGGTGCCGGGATATATCTCCTGCAGATCGAAATCAAATTTATTGAGCGGTCATGATACAAAGTGTAAACCTACAGCAGCATCAATCCACACGATATTGAACATCCCCCCTGAAAGATTGTCAGAAGACTGTGGAAGCGGCACCGACATGGATGGCTCACCGATTGCTTGAATGAGGTCAAAGATCATTAGATTTAAGAAATAATAATGAACGTGAGTGTCGGTGGACCATCTGCGTGTAGGCACCCATTCGAATTGTGACGGCGCTATACTAATAGGCCTGGGATAAGTCTGCGAGCTTGAAAATTAAATAAGATACGTACAGTGATGTATGCCAGGAGAGTTGTGATAGCCAGTACGGATAGTGTTGCGGCCTCTACGATGAAGACTAGGCCGAGCCTATCATCGAAGTCGAAAGCAGTCGCAGTTTCCTGCGGATTTGCCATAGTATCTGGTTGTTCAAGAGCGTTGAAGAAGAAAAATGATGAGTGAACAAATTGTTTGCGCCCACACCCATCCTGCAACTTAAAATAGGCACCGCCGTCCGCACTTCGGATTTCAGGACGCCTTCAGGGGTTGTATATTTTGCAATTAAATTGCCAGATCTGGAATTAAATGAGACAAACAAGCTGTCGTTGAGCTGTCCTGACTGCTGCCGATCGATCATGACAATGTTTCCTCTTGAGTTATGTAATCCGCCGGGCCCGAGAATAAAATAATTCAAAGGGAAAATACATGGTGAGAATATCAAGGGTCATGGTAAGGCACGTCGTAGATCCCAAGCTAAGAAAGTTTTTAGAAAAACAGCGAGATTAACAGGGTCGAGCTGCAGCAAGAACCGCGGTTCAACGTGGAACTTTGAAAACTTAGCTTGATATACTATTCCGGTCATGATGGAAACGGAATTAAGCACGTGAGATGTCACAAACACATGGTTATCGCGTGACGCGAGTAATTACATTCAATTGACATTGACATTCATTAACAGGGTGGGGTATATACGACGTCATCTAGGGTATCTTCCATCAATGATGTTGTCGGGTTTGGGTATCGTATATTTGGCAAAGCAATCATGCGCATAGTCGATCTGCCCAATTCGTTCATGCATTCCGCTGATGAAGCTGGGCAGCGCGCAGAGACCATTCGAGTCATCCGTGCAACCACGGATGCCCGTTAGTGGCACTACACCATCGTTCAGAACGAACCGGATATGAGTCGGCTCCTCTGATGCTGGGCAACTGAGTACCTGCGCTACAAGCTGACTGGCAAAAGGTGCAATCTGGCTAGCAATGTATGACTGATGTGACTGGTCAGAAATAGAGGCAAGCGGTGGTCTATGAGACTGCGTACACGGCGAGGAGGTATATGATCGGTCGGCAGAGGACCAGTTGCAGCTAGACTGGTAAAGTTCAGAGCAGTGACGACTGAGCCCTTCCGTCAGCAGTCTTACATTAGAAAGGAAGAAAATGGCAACCTACTATTGGAAATGACAGTGTCGTGGCTAGCATCCACATATATAGGTTGATTGAGAGGGAATGTGATATTGCTCGAGTCGAGAGTGCTGTTGGTACTGCTGTTCCAGACATTAATGGGAGTGTGAGTGAGACGCGACACTAGTTCTTGAACATAGCCAAGGCCCTGCGCTGCTGCCGTTGGATTGCCTGGTCCATGCCCATACCAGAAACCTTTGTTTACAATGAACTCATTAGTCACTCAGGCTGCAAGTTTACCACTCAATGTACTCACTAAGATCTGCAAATAGAGATCACCGCCGAGCCCAACAAGGATCATTTGAGAAAACATACCGACGTAATACTCGTATCCTTCCCATTCTTCCTCAGTGAAAAGGTTGCAAAACTTGGAATATCCGAGGGCCACAGTCTGCAGGATGTCAGAAACTCATGAAGACCGTGTAAATGGTGTAATCACCTCATAGGCGCATAGTGTCTGCATATCAGCCAATCGTGAGATGGTCAAATTAAATCCTTGAATCATTGGTTGCAAACGCATTTGAGCGTCTTTGAGATAGATATTCGCCCATTTGTTAGCCTGAGTGCCACCGAATTTACCGATATCCGCCGTATTGGAGTTTGGGCATACATGATTAGGGGAGAGGGTGTTGTTGAAGTTGACCCCCTCGATGATGATCTCCTGGTGATAGTCGGTCTTGTAAGTTCTGATGTCAAAAAAGCCTGCTGCAAAGTTCAGGCTACCAATAGCGTGATCAGGCATGGAGAACGCAAAAATATGAATGAATTGCTCACGCAGAATCCACCATGCGATCTATACGACACAAGCAAATAATCAGAGCGTAATTGTAGAACCACTTTCGACGCAGACAAACCTTCAGAAGTAGTACGGAATACTGGGAGGTCCGTAAAGGCATTGAGCAAATTGCCGTATCTGTAGCGGAAGGCAACCCCATTGCTAAAGCTGATGAAGGGGAGCGTCAATGGAAGTATCGTAAAGGAGAACAAACGTACAGCGAGTCGCGGCCGAAGGGCGTTTAATATCTCCGCGCCCAACTTATATGTCCAGGTTGCCAAGAATTTCAAATCGCCAGTGACACTGAAGCCTTCTTTCGATGCAGCAGCATGGATTTTAGAGGCAAAGTGAGAAGATCCGGAGTCAGAGGTTGGATAGCGAGCGCCATGGCGCATCAAGAGATGGACTGCGTTGAGGCCACACCCTTCTGGGATGATGGGGGATGCATCAGGAAGGCCAAAGGACTCCACGGAGTACATGGGGGCCAAGTTTCCCCATTGACGCATCACATTGAAATTGGTGTTTGCGCCGTCTGCCGAGTGGGGCCTTGACAAGGGATATGCGTTTTCGACCTTAGAGAACGGGATAGCAGTGATAATGGCCGCAGGTTCAGCACCAGCTAATTTAATAATTAGACCACAGGAAATATAACACTGGCATAATCACTGACTAGGCGTTGGACCTGCATAACCGACTTGAGATCCATCCGGGAAGTAAGCGTTAACAGCAGGGGCGTTGGTGGCACCGGGGGGAGGATAAGAATCAACAAGGGTTGATCCTGCATAACTGGATGCTGAGTCTGCAGTGCAGAACGGCAGAGCAAGCAGCAAAACGACGGCGCTGAGCATGGCTTGATAAGTTTACACCAACTGTCGTTTTTTTGAGAAAGATAGTGAGAAAACCATTTACAACATCTGGCAACCAGGTCAGGCGGACGAGTTTGAATCTAGACACAGCGGATGACTCGGAGGTTGAACGTTCTGAATGTTGAACTATAGGTGTTGTGAGACTAGAAGTAGAAGCTCTGCCGGTAGAACTGGTAGAACCATCGTGTTCTGCCAGCGCGTGGCAGATACGGCAGACTCAGAAAAACTTGTGTTTCATGGCACGAGAAGTAACTGCATAGATGTAAGACCAACTCGATAGCAACATTAAGTCAATGAAACGAAAACGTCCCGAATCAAGTATTCGTGGTCCAACTCACGTGCTGGCACGTCGCTCACGTGCATGTCACGAGTGCGTCGACGCGTCGCGTCAACAATCCTTCCTTGAATTTCGAAGCACATCCCTTGCCACCCACGTAATTACATAAGACTCGTCTTGAAGAGCACAAGTACCCGGGAGAGCTCAATATTTTATTGCTCGTCTGCATGTCGCTGCTTGTTAAAATTGAAATTGTCTGTACAATTGAGAATAGGTTCAATCCAACTCTTCTAGCCATCATTATATTATGTGATCCTTCTCAATTTAATTTAATTTATTTAATTTCGGGTGAGCGTTAGGTCGGTAGCCCGTTCATTAACATTCTCCAAAAGGTGGCCACTTGTGAGTATACTAATACCCAATCATCCTTTTAACTAGGGTATCTTCCATCGATGATATTGTCGGGATCGGGCATGGTATAGTTGACGAAGCAATCATGCGCATAGTCGATCTGTCCAATTCGTTCATGCATCGCGCTGATGAAACCGGGCAGTGCGCAGAGACCGTTTGAATCTTTCGTGCAACCACGGATGCCCGTCAGTGGCACCACACCATCGTTCAGAAGGAACCGGATATGAGTCGGCTCCTCTGAAGCTGGGCAACTGAGTACCTGCGCTACAAGCTGGCTCGAAAAGGGTGCAATCTGGCTGGCAATGTATGACTGATGTGACTGGTCAGGAATAGAGGTAAGCGGCGGTCTATGAGATTGCGTACACGGTGAGGAGGTATATGATCGGTTGGCAGAGGACCAGTTGCAGCTAGACTGGTAAAGTTCAGAGTGGTGACGACTGAGCCCTTCTGTCAGTAGTCTTGAACTGGAAATGAAATGGCAACGTACTACTGGAAATGACAGTGTCGTGGGTAGCGTCCACATATATAGGTTGATTAAGAGGGAATGTGATGTTGTTTGAGTTGAGAGTGCTGTTGGTGCTGCTGTTCCAGACATTGATGGGAGTGTGAGTGAGACGCGACACTAGTTCTTGAACGTAGCCAAGGCCCTGCGCTGCTGCCGTTGGATTACCTGGTCCACTGCTGTACCAGAAATCTTTGTTTACAATGAAGTCATTAGTCGCTCAGGCTGCAAATTCGCCATTCAATGTACTCACTAAGATCTGCAAATAGAGATCACCGCCGAGTTCATCAAAGATCATTTGAGAAAACATACCGACGTAATACTCGTATCCTTCCCATTCTTTCTCAGTGAAAAGGCCACAAAACTTGGAATATCCGAGGGCTACGGTCTGCCGTATATCAGAAATCCATGAAAACCGCGTAAATGATGCGATTACCTCATAGGCGCAGAGTTCTTGCATATCAACCAATCGTGAGGTGGTCAAATTAAATCCTTGAATCATTGGTTGCAAGCGCTTCCGAGCATCTTTGAGATAGATATCCGCCCATTTCTTAGACTGAATGCCACCGAAGTTGCCGACATCCTCCGTATTGACATTGGGGCATACATCATAAGGAGCGAGGGTGTTGTTGAAGTTATTTTCCTCGATGATGATCTCCTGGTGATAGTCGGTCTCGTAAGTTCTGACATCGAAAAAGCCTGCGGCAAAGCTCAGGCTACCAATAGCATTATAAGACACAGAGAACGCAAAAATATGAATGAATTGCTCACGCAGAATCCAACATGCGATCTATACGACATAAGCAAACAATCAGAGCGAATTACGAAACGAGTTTTCGATGCGAGCAAACCTTCAGAAGTGGTACGGAATACTGGGAGGTCCGTAAAGGCATTGAGCAAATTGCCGTATCTGTAGCGGAAGGCAACCCCGTTGCTGAAGCTGATGAAGGGGAGCCTCAGTGGAAGTATCGTAAAGGAGAACAAACGTACAGCGAGTCGCGACCGAAAGGCGTTAATATCTCCGCGCCCAACTTGTATGTCCAGGTTGCCAAGAATTTCAAATCGCCAGTGACACTGAAGCCTTCTTTCGATGCAGCAGCATGAATTTTAGAGGCAAAGTGAGAAACTCCGGAGTCAGAGGTTGGATAGCGAGCGCCATGGCGCATCAAGAGATGGACTGCGTTGAGGCCACACCCTTCTGGGATGATGGGGGATGCATCAGGAAGGCCAAAGGACTCCACAGAGTACATGGGGGCCAAGTTTCCCCATTGACGCATCACATTGAAATTGATGTTTGCGCCGTCTGCCGAGTGGGGCCTTGACAAGGGATATGCGTTTTCGACCTTAGAGAACGGAATAGCAGTGATAATGGCCGCAGGTTCAGCACCAGCTGATATGTTTAATTAGACCACATGAAATACAACACTAGCATGATCACTGACTAGGCGTTGGACCTGCATAACCGACTTGAGATCCATCCGGGAAGTAAGCGTCAACAGCAGGAGCGTTGGTGGTACCAGGGGGAGGATAAGAATCAACAAGGGTTGATCCTGCATAACTGGATGCCGACTCTGCAGTGCAGAACGGTAGAGCGAGCAGTAGAACGGCGGCAAGCATGGCTTCAAGTTGGAGAGGTCAGAAGAAAAATGAAACACTGGAGTTACATACTTTATAGCAAATATACGTGATTATGACAGAAGTTCAACACCGGGAAGTCTACATAAGAACGTGGCCCAAATCAACTGTAGGAAGCTACGTTCAGGCATTCCGAATCATAAAACGTTTGATGATCTTGCAATGTGTGCCAACTGGCAAGATAGTTTTTAAGCTTTTGCTTTAGGCAACTCCTGCCGAATTTGGCAGACCATCGGCGAACTTTTGGTGATTCAAAGTGATTTCCTTCCCCAACGTGCATCGATACATGGTGACAATCAATGACTCAAGCGAGAATTCAAATATCAAGGCCAAGGATCGCGCGCATCGCTCCAACGTTGGCCTGAGGCACCATCATCATGCGGCAAAATGCACTTGGCAGGCCTGGCAATACCTACATAAGAAAATCAACCACTATCAGCAGGGTGGTAGTAATAATCATGAAACGACGTGCGCGAGTTGGGTAACCATGACGGCGATGTCGTATCAGAAGTTGTTGAACGTTGCATAACGTCGCCGACTTTCGGGGCTGGACCAAAAGACCCGGGTTTGTTGAACTTGTAGAGGTGAACTTCAAGTCTTAGTACCTCATGCTATCCCGATGGCCAGTCAACGGTGTTGGAACCGACCGTGACTGTGGCTGGCGCCAGCTGTTTTTCCCACCACCAGGTATACTTATGTAGTGACTGGCTATAAGCGACGGTTTCAAGTTGCATACAGCCGTGGCTTCTTGCCCCAACTCTAAGCTTTATTATGTATTAAGGCAATGCTTGTCATCCCCTTACACCAATAGCATGCAACGAATACCGTCATTACTATTCCAGTCGTCCAAAGTCCTAAATACAACATTGTCCCCATCAATCATTTCCTCATGCCAGTATCATGACTTTGTTCGCTTCTCTACGCCAGGTTAGCTTCACTTCTTTGCTTTGAGGTTTGGACGAACAAGTTACCGTGTATAGGTGGCGCAGCCCGTGTACCACTCCATTCCCCCACCATCATAGGCGTGGCAACCTCAAGAGGTACTCGCGGGTGAGCACTCTTTTTCCCCCCTCGTTGCGCACCTAAGGCTCAGTCTCTGTTCGCGCAGTCACCAGGAAGATTACTATGCTTTTGCATCACTACTCTTGGATCCTGACGGGCTACAGGCAGGCTTGAAGAAAGCACTCGACATTGATTGGACCCCGAAGAACATCAGTGATCCGTTAGCACGTCAGGTAGTTTTTGTCGGCCTTTATGATGGGTATGTATCGTATACATCTTGACACATACCGCCCGTTAACACCATACAGACATGGCGGATCCACCGTTTCTCAGTTTTTGCGCCAGGAGTTACATGGGCTATTCGAATCCGTCGACAAGGCTCACATTCCAGAGTTGTATCTGTGGATCAAAGACCAAGGGGGTTATTTCAAGAGGTTCCGTGGAGGTGCCCTCACTCCCTGGATAAATCAGTCCAATAGAATGCCTCCGCTAGATCTCGAGGCACGTGCTACTCAGGCGTTCTTCGAAGTTGGTGAGCAACAATTTCTCTTCCATTTACGTTTATAAATGGGGTAAGTTTAGACCGCCTCCTCTCTATTGAGAGTGAAGCCAAAACATGTGGAGCGACAGCGTCCGTCGCCATCCTCCACTCCCTTGATACCCGCCCGTTCTTCTCATCCACGAATCTCGTTTTGACAGTCGCTCACGCTGGGTTAGTCATATTTTTAATAAACACAGACATGCATTTAGAGAACATGCAAACAGCGATGCTCGAGTACTCCTTTGTGGCACCAATGACTGTCTTGTCTGCCCGATGACCGAGAATCATCACCCCGATACCCTTATGGAGGCTGCACGTCTCCGACGGATGATGGGTTCATCACTTATCACTGATTCTTTTGGCGAGTCTCGGTAAGGCAAAGCAATGTTTTTTATTATCGTGTCCTGCTCATGACCTTGCAGCTGGATGGGTGCTCTGGCAAATACGAGAGCGTGAGTAGCACAGCCACCTGCTTCTAGTGATTTACTGATGTTCGTCTTAGTCTCGGAGATCTCAAATGGAAGCCGTACGGCGTGACTCCAGAACCAGATGTTCGAACCATGCTATTGGAAGGTGTTATACTTCCTGTGGAGTGTTGTCATAACTTCTTACACCCTCAACAGGCACTAAATGGGCGTACATGATTATCGTCTCCGATGGTGTGTCATCCATACTATCCGATCAAGAAATAGTCGACGTTGCCCGAGGCGCACCAAGCCCCAAGAAAGCTGCCGAGCAAATCTTATCATACTCCGAAGAATTGGGTGGGGAAGACAATGCAACGGTCATAGTCGTGCCCTTGTCTGGTTGGAGAGAGATTCAAGGGCCTGACAGGACCCGCGCTCTTCGCGAGTATCGAAGTCAGCAAGCGGGTGAGTGCTTCGAGTTCTTTGAGTTTTCTTTTTCCCCGATTAACAGTGTCATGATAGTCGGAAGTGAGCGACAGAGGAGAATGTGATTTAGAGGATTTATGAGTTATACCCCCCGTTAGAGTACATAATTCGCTAAATTTTTGCGGAAATTTATTGGACTTTATTTGTCTGGTGTTTTAGTACAATGGATCAGCCTCCTTTTGAGGGAGGTCTCTAAATCTGCGCTACGGCATGACCATCCGACCTTGGGTCACACCCAGCAGCCCAAACAATCTTCCCAGACGCATCAGCAATCTTCTGAATGACCTGCCCACGGCCCATCATCTCCCTCCCCCAGCCGCTGACGGCATTGGCATCATGACCCATAGCTAAAGCGACTCATTCAGAACAGGGATGCCAAAAAAAAAACAAGCCATACCGCGAAGCTTCTGAATAGTTGACATAGGGATAGCGTCTTCAAAGTTAATTCCACCGCTGGCCACGCCGAAGGCAGCAGGATCTTTATCATCTGGGTCAGGCATTCCAGCTGAGATGCAGAATCGAGGGGCATCAAGGGCAGCTTGGGCGGTGAATCCACGCAGAATGTTAAGTAGGACCTGGATGTGACCTTGGGGCTAAATGATGTTCATTTAAGCTCCATATCATTGGGCACTGGAGGGCTGCGAGTATATACCTGCATGAAACCACCCATCACACCGTAGGAGAGGAACAGATCGTCTCCTCGTAACGCCATTGCAGGGATGATGGTGTGATATGGCCGCTTTCCGCCCTACAAAAATGGCACAATTCAATGGGCTGCACCGTTAAGTTTGCTGTATGATATACCTGTAAGCAGTTAGGGTGACCCTCCTGCAGAACAAATCCAGCGCCCCTGTTTTGAAGAGTAAAGCCGCATCCCTTGGGTACAGCTTCATATAAAAAATTCAGTGTCGTCTAAACTGTGGCGCGGATTGATGTCACCTCCTGTCCCAAATCCTTTGTTTTCAAATCATCAGCGCATGCACTCGCGGATAAACTGAATGCCCTACCTGCATAATTGCTCTGAATAAAACTACATGCGTTTCCCCACTGATCCGAAGCTGAAACACGAAAATGTTTGGTAAATGGACGCTGCATAAAGCCGCATTATCTATCATACCAGTGAAGTAAACCGTATCAGATGAGTTCACTGGGTTTCCCTACCCGACTGTGAGTATATTAAATGCGAATGATCATCGAACAGGGCTCACATGTACGATATTGGGGTTTCTAGCTTGAGGGTCGAATAGAGCTGCGCGTTTGGATAGATATTCCTATAGCCTAGATTAGTTACGACGGAGCAATCCAGGCTCGAACACTAACCTTGCTTAGTAGTTCCTCGACCGGTATTTTGTTGAACTCAGGGTCAGTCACGTAGTATTGTGTATCTGCTGCCTGTCAGCTATGAAACAAAAGCAAGCGATGTAATGATCTCACCCGAAAAGGCGAGGCTAAATAAAAGAGACGTAAATGACAATGAATCTAGAGCATTCGATCACTAATACGCACCGCAGAGCCTCAATGAGTGCATGGAGATACTCGGCAGAGTTGTGTTCTAATTCCAGGAGGGACGGAATCTTTCCTTGTATCTGCATTTGCTCAAGAATGCCAAGAGCAACCAATGCAGTGATGCCTAGCAATGAGCATTAGTTACGCTCAATGGAGACTCGTTCATCTTCACCTTGACCATTGGGAGGACACTGCATTACGATAAAGTCAGCATCTACCCGTAAGCCACAACATCGACGGCTCACCTCATAAACAGTAACATCTCCAGCATAAGTGTATTTGATCGGTTCTACGAATGATGTCTCGTGCTTTGCAAGATCGTCGAGCTCCATAACACCCCCTTTACTTTGAACGAGCTCTACTATAGCTTCTGCGATACGACCTTTATAAAAACCATCCTTTCCTTGCTCTGCAACGGCGCGGAAAGTCTTGGCAAGGTTGGGGAACTCCATGATTTGACCTGGGAGAGGTGCTTTTCCATTCAAAAGCATTTCATGTCCGCTCGGTGACGCCTCTTGTATCAACTTTTCCGAGTGCTGCCACTGTAGACAAATCAGTAATTTGCCCGACGTAAACAAAAGCTGAACTGGCATTATAACTGTGAATTTCAGATACTGGAACTCTACAACCAAGAGTAGTCAATAAACTTGGTGATATGTGAGATAAATATCACAGACCCTTCCTCGGCGAGCCTAATTGCAGGCGCCAAAACTTCAGCGACGGTGAGTTTTCCACTTCCGAACGTCTCCACAGTATCGACCCACGCAGCAGCAGCACCTGTTCGCTTGTTCATTCGTCGTGTGATCAGAGGGTCAAAGAAACAAACCTGGGACAGTGACACAGTTGAGGTCTCTAAGAGGAATCTGGCCGCCTTTAACACCTCGTTGACGCATGTAATCGACCGACAACTTCTGAGGAGAACGGCCGGAGCCATTCATCGCCTTTATAGTTTTCGTTTTGGCATCATAGAAGAGACAAAAGGCATCCCTATTTCACTCTCAGATTGGAATTATGCACTGGCTCTTGGAACAGACTCACCCTCCTATGCCGCAGCAACTTGGCTCGGTCACATTAAGAGCGGCGGAGGTTGCAACAGCAGCATCAGCTGCAAATGAGAGCACGCAATGTTGGTGAAAGCTGAGATCGAGAACACCGGCACTCACCTGCATTCCCGCCTTTCCTTAGGATTTCAAGTCCAGCTTCCGCTGCGAGAGGCTGAGAACAAGCGACGACACCCTTGGTACCATAGACTTGGGACCGTCGACTTGGAAATTGCTGGAACAAGAGGTCAGGCTGGTCTATCTTACTCCAATCGACTTTCATTGCGGTGAATGTGGACTTGGAATCTTGCGGAGGGAAAGAGGAAGATGATGGTAAGGAGCGACGAGAAATTGCTCAAGATTGCTGTTAGTTAAAAACGGAGTCCCTATTAGCGCTCACATGCACACACCATCATATCGTGTTTCATGCTCACATGAACATACATGAATGTGACCAAGGTATTCCTGACGGAACACCGGCGTGCCAAGTGATATATATATGATTACAAGCGCTCCAGTCGGACCCCTTCGGGCGGTTGCACATTGATTCATAATAATAGACGTCTGTATACTGCGTTAGCCGTTGTCTCTTCCTCTTCTGTAATGTTAGGCCCTTCCGGCTGTCAGTATGTTTCGTCATTGTCCGTGTGATTCCATGCCCACCAAAACCCCCTGGCGATGCATCTAATATAATTCGTCTAAAAGGTGTAACATTTTGAAACGACTGAAAAGAGCACGCAGGGGTGCGAAAAAAAGGAGCCTCAAGGTGTTGGAGCGCCAGTCAGCTGAAGCTTTGGCGCCAGTCACACCATACTTATTGGAAATCGCTCCGTCCTTACAATATGTCGGGGTAGAAATAGAAATAGAAAAGCAAAAGTAATGATTACATAACAATCAGAGGAGTTAACGGGATATATCGGTCATCGGGCAGGCGAAGGGTGACTGTCTATTTTTCGTCATGTCTCTAGAATTCCGTTTCCAATCAGCATCGACGGAGTACCAGAAAATACAAACAGAACTGGCAAGTTTGGTGGAGAATCGTACTCGTCTCGATGCCCAGCTTTCCGAGAATGAGATGGTCAAAAAGGTCTGCTGCCGAACATCTTCGCAGACTCGGTTTACGAACTCCATCTTCTAGGAGTTTACGCAGTTAACCCCCAGTAATGTTGTCTATAAACTTGTGGGACCTGTATTGGTACCTCAAGATCAGAATGAGGCCAAAACCAATGTGGAGACGCGCCTGGAATTTATCAAGAGCGAAATGTCATTGGTTTCATGTCCGAGTTGATTGCAGGACTTATCAACATCACAGAAAACGCGTAGATGCACAAATAAATGATGGCGAGGATAGATCAGAGAAAAAGAAGAATGAGGTATTGTCGCTTGCCATTTTCCCCAATGACGAGTTTGACCCGACAATTCGTTGTGTCGCAGCTCGTCGAGATACAAACGAAGCTTCAGCAGGCTCAAACTACGCCAAATCCTTGAACGAATATCGCCAAAATACCGCAGTGAAGATACTTCGGAATGGAATTCCTGATCAACTCAATTCAACGATTAACTTGTATTTTACCCCGCAATCACTCCAAGTGCTACTCATACAATGTACACCGTGCGTGCTACTACAGAGATCTAGCCTACACATAACAGATCAACACATACTGAACCATCAATTAAATGCTGCTCGCGTCAATACAAATCTCTCATAGAAACCGAGCGCGACTGTTTTCGACGGACCAAGGCTCCTTGCCTTGATCATCCCAAGCTCTCGCATAGCAACATCCCAGGGGAATTGACCAGTGGTGTTCGGGCATTCGTGAATATATGCGTAGGAAGCCTTGAGCCTTGCCACTTCCTCCGATGAGAAGAAAAGAAAAGACGAAACATCTGGGGCAGCAGAGAAATCACGAGCGAGGGAGCGAAGAATATCCTGTCGCCGTTCAATCTTAAGGCCAGAGAAACTGCGACGGATGCTCTTCCTGTACTCCTCACGCATCTTTTCGACGTGTGTGCGTATCTTGGAGAGCTCCATTTCCATTGTCAAAGCAGCGTGCTCATTGTTGCACTTCACACGCTGCAGCCTTGACTCAGCATCCTGCCATGGCTTCTCGAGAGAGGAATCTCTGTGACCATGGTGTCTGGAAAAAGCGCTGTCGACCTGTTGCAGTTTCAGGTCCCGGTGGTTCCGGGCATGGCTCATGATTGCATCCATAACAAATTCTGTCATGCCTTTGGGACGCTGGGCGTTCATTTCGTTGGTTTCCGGTTTCTCCTCCCCACATTCTTTCCACTGTGGAGAGCGTTTGTGGTAGAGCTTTGTATCGCTCTTCATGACCTCCGGTAAAACGGTCAAACCACTCTTCGCACCGTCGAGAATATTGCAAAACCTGTGGTTATATCAATGTGTGTCCCATGACTATAGCAACTATGACCCACATATAAGCCAAGCGAATGGTTTCATTATGCGCATATCCAAGGGTGTACACCGCCACGTCGTGCAAGTTCGAGTACTTTCCGACTGACGATATGTCGCGCAATCCTCCTAACAAAAATGACTGCAGGCGGGGTATTACATCATCAAATTTGCATCCTTGATGCTGTTCCAAAAAATCGTCGACTCGTAGGGTGTTTTTATGGAAATTCTCTGAGAGATTATCAGGCGGATGAGAGTATTTGAGATCGGCATTTTTGAAGTGCGACACTATAGACGGCTGCCAAACAGCAATTGCCTTGTCCCCATCGTAATCGCCTAATCGCCACTCGGTATCTTGACATGAATATAATTTTATGATTTGACGTACCTCCAGCAAGAAGATCTGCAAACCGGCGAGTTCCCTGCACAGAGCACACTATCACGTCTGTGTAGCGCCTGAGCTCCGGTTTCTCAACAGCTTTGACCTGCCTCCAAATCATTAAGATGCGAAAGAAACGGTAAATGACAGATCAACATACCTTCTGAGTATCTGTCGGCAGTTTACAAGGATGTCGTGTGAGCTATTGTCGGCTCAGCGTTTGTGATGAGTCGAGGAGCGATATTGAACAACACTGACCAGGATGTCACCCAACACAACATTTGACTCGGTTCCATCAGGACAACGGAATTTCGAATCCTTCGAGAGAATTTGCACTTCGTCAGGAGCCAATGTTCCAGAAGGGTCTAGGTTGCACAGATGTCAAATAAATGAAGTGTTGATGATCGATAACCTCGCACCTGGCACAATCCATCCTACACAAGACATGGGTACCTCGATTTTATATCGTTGCACAAAGTTGTCGACCATCGTCTTGAGAAAATTACGAAGCTTCTCAGCGAGAACTGGGCAATCGCGAGGAGTGAAACCAGAGTCAAGCATGACCATTACCGTCTCTTCAAGAGCCGAAGGGCAACCTGAGACCTCGTCACCCCACCAAGCGATTGAGCGAGGAATTTCGATGACCGCATTCAGATCGTCTTCGTCATCATCTTCAATATCGTCGTCTTTGATGGCGAAACCTCTTGATCGAGCCTCTCCACCAGCTTCACGAGCTAATCTAGATCCAACCACGGCACCGGCTCTTGCGACACTGTGCCATAGACGATACATAGCATCTGGGCCATCCCAGTCAAGCAAACCGTCGACGATAGCATCCAAACCTTCCTTCATCAAATCAATAAATACTGAGTGGGGAACGCCATTTTCAGCAAAATTCACTATGGTCTCCGCAGCAAGGCGAGAGGGAGAGCGCATGTGAGACGACCGTAGCACATCAATTGTTAAGTGACCAGACGATAGTTCTCGAGTTTCAGGATACTTGACCTTGATTTGTGATTCGCGTAACCAAACCCGAGGGACGTCGGAACAATTTTCTGACGAATCAGGATGCAGGATTAGGAGTCCCTACAGGAAAATACATAAATATTCGACTTTCACAACACTCGAGCAAGTGTCTGTTACCTTGGCACCAGCGATTCTACATTGGATTGCTGTTGGTGTTGTGTCCCATTGCAAGAGCTCGCGCAACGCCTTCAAAGCAATTTTGTTAATGTACCCGCAGCCATCTGTCATGTCCGGACCCCCCGGGTCTTTGGTGCACGAGTCAATTTTCACTATATATAACAACAATAGCAAGAGCTTACCTTCTTCTTTCAGATACATGATATTTTCCCGGCTGATGGTAATACCTGGGACAGAGTTCGAAAGTCCCAATGCAAACCGCGAGGACCATTTTGCCACACTCTGAAACACATCAGTGATCTTCCTGAACTCTCAGAACTGCTGCCAACCTGAGACGTGTTGTAAGATATAGGGTTATGCCAGTCGAGATAATTCTCCAGAGATGGTGGTGGAGGGTGAGCATGAGAAGGAATTCGACTGTATCCCGTCGGACAATTAGTTGCCACGAGAAAAACACTTCCATCTTTTGCATAAAATGCCCGATAAACCAGACCACAGAGGAGAAAGTGTTGCGAAAAAAACTCCACAAGGCCATGCTGAGGCTTGTTCAGAATATTCCTCGGCACCTTCACGCGTAGAAAGTTCTTGGAACCATACTGTCGCATTAGTCTCGACGAGGACCCAAGCTCTGGCGGATTGAGTTGAATGCGGTATTCAGGTGTCTCAGTCTTCTTATCGATAGCCTTCAAAGTTGCACCAAAATGCACTTTCCCTCCATACCAACCATCGGCCTGTCGCTGAAACCCGTCAAAGCTGTCACCCATTGCAAGAGCGTGTTCGTGTTCTCTGTCAAGCTCTTTCCAAGGCGACTTGTTATGTCATCAGTTTTCAACCATCGTAATCCAAAGGATCACCGTACCAAAACTGCCTTTTCTTTAACGAAGAAACCTTCTTCTTCGCCCTTGGAGTTCTGGCATGCAAATACCTTAGCTACGCGTGGTGTGGCTTCTTCATTTGTGCCGCGAAGCTTATCCAAGTCGGGAATATGGATGTCCTCGTATGCAAGAACATCGTAACTGACCATTTTGGCAATCAGCCACTGTACCCCAAAGGATATTTTTTTATTGTCAAAATAAGCTTGTAGATTTCGATCATGAGCCTGTGAGCTTCGTCAAGAAGAGTCTCAAACCAGCGCGAGAAGCACCTACGATTGAATGGATTTTAATATTTGCATCGCTGATTCTCGCACTCTTACGTGGAGACAAGGAATTGTCAGGAGGTTCGTCTGTTTTCCGTTTACCTAGGACAGAAGACCAACTACTCGAAGGTGAAGCCGAATCCGCTGAATCCGACGAGCCAACAGACATAGTTGAAAGGGGTTGGGCAGGACTGGAGCCAACAGCGGTAGTCGACGGACGGGAGACCATTGGAATATCAACTCTTGAGGTAATGCTGTTCACAGTGCCATTCAAGACTGTAAATAGTTGTTAGGCTCTCGGATCACATTGACGATGAATTAACTCGCCATTTTCTGGCATATTGCACATCATATCGCTCAGGTCTTCCAGACCGGAGTAGACGGATGATTGCTGATGTCAGTGTCAGTTATGCGAGAAAGATGCTAGAATATGAGACTGACTGTTGATGAGATCGAGTGGTTTGAAGCACTCCTTTCTACTGGTAGTGGAATGAAAGGAATGAGGGCAGAATTAACCTCTTGGTGATATGAAGTGGGTGTCCATGTCCATAACAATGTCACTTCACGCGCAAAACACGAGATCAAAGACAATCGCACCTTCTGCGAATTCCCATTCATCGTCTACTAAAATCTCCTCTTGTACCTCGCGGTAATAAGCGCGTGACATACCCCTCGACATCCCTAGATACACAAAATATGTGCAAGACGAAGTTCCTAGTTAATGTGAGTTCAAAAAATCGGGACGAGGACGATGGTGAAGAATGTAGTGGGGACCAAGGCCAACTTGAGTTGGATCAAACTGATCATCCAAAGAAGCACGATTGGAATCGCTCAAGATGGAAGGTGTACGATCAGTTGAAACGTTGCTGACAATGAGGCTGGTTGCAAGTTGTGATATCGGATGGATGGATTGAAGTCGAGATTGACTGCTACCGTAGGCCCTAGGGTGCGAGGTTGTAACATACTAGTAGACTAGGTCTAGTAGTTGACCATTCTTTTGCAACGTTGTGGACAGCATCATGAATCAAAACTGATAATATGATTTGTCTCTCCTTGTTGCTGAAATTGGCGTACAAGTTGCGTGTTGCAGTGTCAGGACCATTGTTGGGGAGTCACGAGTACATCACGGGTACAAACATGTTGCTATTGCATAAATATACACCCTATCAGATACGTGATATAGATAGCCCATCAGCTTTCCGTTCTTGACCGGGCCCTCAAGCGGTTCCTTCCCATTCGTGAAGTGTACCAGCTCAAGTAACCCAGCCTCGATGTCACTGAACCCTCGAAACAAGGGCTCTCTAGACGTGAAGTTTTGCATCATTTGGGCATAACGCTGGGACAGTCGAAAGCGTGTTAGTAGCACATATATTTGAAATGAATGCTTATTGAATGAACGCCTCTACATGATGAATATGAACAAGGAAAGGACTCGAAGCGCAGTCTAGAATGCCATGCAGACTCTGGAAGTTTGGTCAACCAGAGATTGGACCATGAAAAACTAGGTCCAAAATCACGGAACACGACTACGTTGGGCGAGCAAGTTTGTCTGTGCGAGTGAGCAGACGTACACATTAACACAGTGCAATTACACCCCTACGACTGTTGTGCAGCTTGCATATGTGCCAAATCCCGCTCTGTCTCTGGACTCTTCAAGATCTTTTCCAGCTTAAAGCGTTTCCGCGCAGATATCGGAGGGCAGTTTCGTATCAACACGGCATCGTTCAATCGAAGGACTATTCCACATCTCAGCATACATGCGGAGAGTGGCATTATGGCGACAGACCTTCTTGTTCGTCGTGTGTTAAGATCTTTTTGCTTCGTTCAATGCGCTGAAGGCAGGGTGAGCATACTTGTTCTTCGTAGGGCAAAATTGAAAGTGTACTTTTCCGGTTAATTTGTGGATGACATGGCGTGAAACAGTCACAGTGGCTGTCTTGCGCATGCAGCCGGCTTTAGTGACAATTCCGGTCAACGCCATGGGAGGCATGATAGGCAAGTATAACGAGTTTGAGTTTGCGAATCACGATGCTGCTGTTTGGACTCTTTACAGCGTGGGAAATAAAGGTCATATTCAGATTGAAATATTCCCGCTGCGGGCACGGCCTAGCCGTCACTGGCCAGTGGACCGCACGGTGACCAACACACTGCTCGTGGTTTAACGTTTAACCTTCGTGGCTGTATCAAGTGACTTGACATTTATTTTAACGCTAAACTCTCCTTTCCCAGAACTATACACTGCACTCGGGAGTCGGCGGAGTCCTTGGTTTTTTCGCTGATATTCCTGCCACTAGTGGGTTGTTCATGTCCACGATCCGAGCCCTGATTCCACCGCATCGTTGTTTTCAACGTGTCGCATTCTGTTTCAATTACAATGGGGCAGTTATCGAGTCGACTTCTGGCCCGGCGCGCGCTCCTATCGTTGGTGATTGGTATAATTCTTAACAGTTCGCACGGTCGTGTGTTCTTACCTTGAGTCGATGACTTGTGTTCTGAGTCTAGACCGTATCGTTGTCTTTCCTACACAAGCACACCGTGCCTTGTTCTGCTACGAATCATAACAGGCTATCGAGTCCACTCTTGGCTCGGCGTCCGCTCGCCCGTGGCTGGTACAACTCCTAACCCACGTCTTGTCCCGCCTATCAGACGATGGGCTTGGCCGTGATAAAAATTGGCTCACAAAGCCTCACATGTGTGAACGCCAGGTTCGATTGATCTCGGCTCGGATGTACACGAATGCCATATGGTTTTCTGCCGGCTATAGTTAACCTGAAGTTATGTATTGGTGGTTGCCCATGAACTTCCGGCAGAATCAACAAGGTAACCATGACTGGGAGGTCGTGCTTTCTGGACGTGATCGCAAATATTATTGACCGCTTCGATTTCACTATCTGTAGCGGTGCACACCGACTGCCTCGGCCTTGCACAAAACCCGTGCAAGACCACGTGCGCCGCGGTAGCTTGCTACCAAGCCTCTTGGCAATTTAACCGATTAGCCTTTCCTCCAGTCAACTTTGAACCACTTCTTGACAATGTGGGAGACCTCAAAAGACCTCAAAATTTGAGTGCTAGCATTTTCAACGAGATTTTGCTCCGGGCTCACTCTGAGCGCTGCCCCGGCAATGCATGAGGCTAGTAGCTAAGTCGAGCTCGCAACCAGGTGTCTGGCAATGGAACGATCTAGAAACTTGTGGAAAGCCATTGCAACATTAGCCAAAACTGTCGTCCGCTTAACCGTTACACCAAAAGGCAGTAATATTGAAAGCTCAAGTTTCAGTATCGCAGACAGTATTTATGTAGATTATGCGCACTCTAGTAACTTGAATCCAGCGTGCTTATAGCCATGCAAGAAAGACACTTCTCTTATTCGATATACAGGTGCTTAAATATTCAGATCTCCTACTACGTACAGTCCGGGGACAACGAACTACTATTTGTACTTGTAGCCTTCCTGCATCATGACCAATCCTTCGATGCGAGTTCCTCATAGTTTGAGTCTGACCATAGCGGCTCTGCCGCGATCAGCCCTGCGTGTTATTTTCAATATGCGGTATGTATCATATGTATAGGGTAATTTATAATGTCATGAAATATGTCGTTATTAAGTTATGCCGGGGAGCTTGAAGGTAGGGGTCTGGAAGGAGCATATTTTGACTTGAGTCTCAATGTTGCTCCATATCTTTCCAGTGTTAGTCCAACACGATACAGCAGAGTCTTGTATGAAACCTACCTTGACAGGACGAAGGGAATTGGCATCATGATCAGAGCGATGAAACCAAGTAGTGTCGAAGCCCATTCAGGGCCGAGCCTATCGTACATTTGAGTGGCGAAGAGCTGAGCGAAGAATGATGAGCCGATGGAAGGCAGAATATTATCTTCACTCACAGGAAATCCAGCGCCGAACAGACTACGAACGACAGTAACTATAGCTAGCGCCGAGGCAGCGACAGCCAAATATGCATCGATGATGTAGTTAATCAGGGCAAGCTTCAAAACCGTCGTGAGCCGTAAGCCAGCACGCAAATTGTAACGACATACGAATATCAAGCAAATACTCCATCCGAGCAATGCACCCGACAGCATCGGGGCCCATATCGAGATGCTAGGAAAGGACGTCCATGCAAACCAGAAGAACGATATAACAAGGAATGGCGCTGAGATCATGGCGACCCTCAATCTAAACTCTGGCGGCACCGGGTTTGGTGCGCATTCCTGAGCTTTGCGTTCGTAACTTGGGTTAAAAAAGAGAATGTACTAAAAACGCATGATGAGAACGTGGAAGCACAAGAATGAAGTATACATACCGTTGCAACCGCAAGAAACCCGCCAATGGGCAGCGGAAGGAACACGAGTCCAGAAACACCCGCATTCAAGTTGTGACCCTCGGTGAAAACCACAGGATAGGCCTCGAAAAGCAGGTATATACAGCCATAGACGAACTAGGATATAATTGTCAACAACCTTCACGTCGATTTGAAAAATAACCACGCTTACGCTCATGTACAGAGTTATAGCAATCATCATCGGCTCAGTAAAGAGAACTTTGAAAGGCCGAGCAAGAATGTTTTCTATGCGCTGTGAGAGTGTTATGCGTTGTAATTCAGTGGCAGCATAATATTTCTCGTCTCCAGTGCGCTTCCGGATCTCTTTAGCTCTCTTGGCAAGAAGCACTGGACTAAAATTATGAGATAAGCGCCTGGCCAATAGAAGACATTCCGTAATATGCTCTCACCTATATGTCTCGGGCATCGTGAAAATGATCTGCAACCAACAGACACCAGCCTAAAAACATATGTGAGTCGTAGTTGACAGAACATGGAGACAGGACTTGCAAAGATAGTCAATATCCAAAAAAGCCAGCGCCATGATACACCAGCTAGAATAAGGTATCCTGATACTACTGGTCCAATACCTGGACCAGCAAACGGAGCCACAGTGAAAACGGCGAGAGCAGTGCCGCGTTGCTTTGCGTCCCAGATGTCCGATATGAGCGCGCTAGAAAATTCGCGTTGTAAGAATGTAACTTCCCCACTGGAGTAGAGAGTCCCTACCCTGAATTTGCTAATGGGGCAGCTGCAAATGTACCCCCAAGGAAACGGAAAATCAACATGGATGTGATGTTCGGTGACAAAGCGCAGCCAATTTGGAAACACTGAAATATAAAGGTGATTGAGTGAAAGGCAGGCAGTGAATGGAGAGGCCGACTGACCATGTATATGAAGAAAGATATAATAAATATTGGGCGTCGTCCGTACTGTTCGGACAACGGTCCCCAAAGCAAAGGGCCAACACAGTAACCGCACACGAAAAGCGAAACGGTCAAGGTTGCAACCTCCTCGGATATGCTAAATTGCTCCATGAAAGTGGGTACTAGCATAGATGGGGCACTACTCGAGAAGGTGCTAGATAGGGCAAACAAACAAAAGTTGAGCGTTTAATATTTCCCGAGAGATGCTGTACGCACGCATTGAGGACCAGGAGACCAGCAGCGGAAGTGAGGTACCACTTTTTTGCAACAGACCAGTTCTAAATGAAATTTTGAGGTCATCGACATGGTAGTCTCGCAGCAAGTGGAAAGTACCTTTGGATTGGCTGGGTCACCCTCATCGAAGAGCACTAGAAATGAGTCTGGGTCGACCTTGTTGTCGAGAGTGATAGTAGAGTTATCCGGAAGTTTATTGGCGGTGGTGGCTGATTGAAATGATAGCCTAGATGAGTCGGCCATGTTTGCAGCCAGAAAAATGAGGGACCGAGTAGATTAGGGTGCCATTTTAAGAGGCTGAGAGGTGATTGATAACAGGACCCTACAGGCGTGGTCCTCGGGTATTCTGCTCCTACTGACTCACTCGTAGTGACATACTGGTAAGTTGGGATGTAGTCTAAAATTTGTCAACATTGTGTCTAGGGGGTGCCGATGAAACTTTGTCAGCTAGACCTGACTGATGCCGAAGTGCCGATGTCAATCTTTGTACTAGTGCGCACATGGAGCATCCTGTGTCCGCCCACAGGCCTTTTCAAGGTCGGCGCACGCCTCCAAATCTGGGATTGCCCACTAGTGATCGCCGGCCGGGGTTTCAGCGTCCACTGTCACTGTCAGGGCTAGTGTTAGCATGTTGGCAGAGCCCAGCATGAGAGCAGAGCCCCTAAATGCGTTTAAGAGTTGAACCAAAGGCTGTAACAAGGTCAGGTGTACGTTTGACCCTTAAGTTGCGCATATTGGAGATTTTGTTAATTTAGAAAGTTTGGGAAATGGCACCATCTCCGTCTCGGGGTACGGGTCCTGTCCACTCTCAACAACGATGACCCGACTGTGTCACTTCAATTTAGCAATCTCCCAGCCTGAATTTCCCAGTCCGAGACCATAGTCAGCACGTGCTATATTGGACTTCCTGTCTCTAGGTACTCAGCTTGAAGACCGAAATAGACCGCGTCCCAAGTCATCATTCAGCCTGAGACACATCCCCCTTAAACTTCTTAGACTCCACTCATCGGGGAACATGACTGCGACTGCAGTACGTGTTGCTCTGTCGATGAAGACACATTCCGTTAAGAGTGGGCGCACCTTAGTAAACACCAGTATCGTGTGCAATGACATGCCTGTCATCGTATGCTTTCTCGGAGGCCGCGGGGGCGCAGTAGACCATTATTTCCTGTTATAGCAGTTTGACAAAAGTATGTATTTGAAGAGAACAAAGCGGAGATCGATGTCATAAGAAAAGACACGTTGAAGATAAGGTGAACCAAAGTAGTCCACTTGGGTAACGGAAGTCACCACCACTTAGCACCGTCCCAATTCCAAATACTCACAATTACATAAGCACTTCAAGTTTAAATCTATTTGAATATCTTCATGAATCATCGACATCAGCGATCATGGACTTTACAGAAATCTACAAACAATCCGGAAACCTCGCGTCGTTTAGCCCAGGCGCTCACTTCATTCTCAACGTCGTCGAAAACACCTTGATTGTCAGGCGCACGGACACTCTACAGATTACGCGCACATGGACAGTCAGCACGCCTTCCAGCACAGCTAGCATTCTATCCAACTCAAAATCAACCCCATTAAGCTCAGGAGTCTCGCCAGAAGCGTGGATATCTCATGCTGGTTGGTCTTGCGACTCTGAATATCTCCTTGCTGCATCCGCGAAGAAAGGCATAGTAGAGGTTTTCAAGCTCCGGGACGAAAATTGGAATGCCCGAATCGAAGCTGGTGTTGAAGGCCTCCTCAAAGCTGAGTGGGCACCCGATGGTCGCCACATTCTCTGTTTTTCTCAGTGGGGCGTAAGTTTAGTTCCGTTTCGACCGTCTGTCGCTTGTTTGATTCGTCGGTAGCTTCGAGTTACCATTTGGTC